TACGTATTTAAATAATGGGGTTTTATTTTTAGCTATATATTTGTTGGTTAAGTAACTAGAAATAAAGATTGTTTTTTTTCTTTTTACAGGAGAGAGCGCATTTCAGAAGATGGATGGATATACTCCACTCCGTAGGAGCGAGAGTGGCGAGTGCGTGCTGGACTGCTGGGGTTGTGTTTTCAGACCTGAATGCTCTCCTCTTGAGTCCTGAAGCAGTCCAGCTTAATTTGTTTCAAGTCTCCACGGTAAAAGTGTTTTCTTTTTCCATAGCTAAGCTCGTGTTGCATTTGCAAGGCGATGGCAACAATTTATACTCCGCTAGTGAAGTGCTGCGGTGGTGCTGCTCCACTAGCCAACGTACTACTACTCCACTAGTCAACCGGCCCACATGTAGGAGTACACAAAAAAATACTTGTAACAATAACGAATGAAATTGGCATGGCATATGCAACCGAACACACCTGCTTGTTATTGCTGGCCACGCCCGCGTGCACATGAAGAAGCTCCTCTCAAGTTCAAGGGATGGATTTCTGAGAGGTGAGCCCACGTCAGAGATGGCTCTCTCTCATGGATCCCTCATCACATGCACCTCTATCTCCCCCACGAGGGAGGACGATTAGATAGCTTAGCTAGGATGACTAGTTTTAAGATATCATATCACTAAATTACAGATAAATTACAGATTTAGTGATGATGAAATTATAACTACAGATTTTAGAGTTCAAAAAAAGTTGTAGTGTTATGATAAAACTGATGTTACATGTGTAGTTTCATAAAAAAAAAAGGTATGATGTTAAATCTGTTGTACACATCTTAAAATGTATAGTTTTGTGCTAAATTGATAAAAGTATATGTGAAATTTATACATAAATATTTGAAGGATGTTGGGTTGAGAGTTGGGACTTGGGAGCAGCCAGCCAACAGCAACAATTAACAACCACCAACCTACCTTCCGCTGCTAGACTCTAGTGGTATGCACGCCATAACCAGATGCCAACTGCCTCATCCTCTTTTATATTCTTTCTTTTGGGTTTATACACACTACACCAGATCCTCACATCTCTGACGGGATACCTGTCACAGGTGAGGTTACCTCACCTCAAACGGGTTTAAGTCCTAACCCGTCACAGGTGACTAGTTATCTGTGACGGGTCGCAGCCGGACAGCCCGTCAGAGGCGAGGTTTACTCACCTCAAACGGCTTTTAAGTCCCAGCCCGTTTGAGATGACTTCTGCCACTGTATATATATGTCTCCTCTCCCAGCGGGGCCCACATGAGGAGATAAGGCCGGCCGGCTCCCTCTTCTCCACTTCTCCTCTATCTCTTCCACTTCTTCTCTCTATCTCTCCTCTCTTTCTCTGTGCCGTGGCGAGGGGAGGCGCGGCGGCGGTCCGGTTGCCAGATCCGGCAGGGGCGAGGGGAGGCGCGGTGGCGGACGACGGATCTGGAGCCATGGCGCGGTGGTGGCCGACGGCGGGAGGGGAGGCGGCCGAGGCCCGACAGCGGCAGCGGTCTCCACCTCCGCCGCCTCTGCCGGCGACGCCTCCAGCTGCGCCTCCGCCTCCGCCCTCTGCCAGCAAGTCCTCTTTCACCCATGTATTTTGTCTTGTGTTGTTCATATTGTTCCAATTGTTGCTATTGTGATTGATAATTCTGAGTCCTATGGTGATTGAGATTCTTGTGATTTTATTTTGTGATTGGGACAACTGCGATGGAACAAAGAAGAATTGTGACGATTTTTTTGATTTGTGAATGCCAAATGCAATCGGTCGAAATGAATGTGATGGTAACCTAGGAGGACGGTGTTTCTCTTTTTTTCCCCTTTTTTTTCACACCAGTGACGGCCCCAATTAGTTGGGCCGTTTGAGGTGACTCTCACCTGTGACGGGTTTTGGTTGGGACCAGTCAGAGGTAACTCTCACCTGTGATGGGTTTTAGTTGGGGGCCGTTTGAGGTGGCTCTTAATTCTGATGGGTCTTCACCCGTTACAGGTGACTCAAGTCATCAGTGACCACTAATCTCTAACCGGGAGCTGAACCCGTCAAAGTTGATGGTTTGAGCCCGTCAGTGCTGACCTGATCCAGTGTAGTGACATACAGTGCTAGTAGTATATACTCCTCGATTATTTAATTTCCCTAGTTTATACTGATACTGAAATTAACGTAGTTTTGGTCTGTCGTACTAGTACTACATAACAATATTTTCTGTGTGTGTTTGTGTTTTACCTTGTGTATGAGTATTGAGAATGGTAATACCCCTCTACCGTAATTTGATCATCCCATAAACAAAAAATATCAAGACAAAAAACACCAAGACATCTATTATTTTAAAATTAATTCTCATCGACTAAAGTGCTCTGTCGTTTCATGTGAAATAAAAACTCATTCATACTTTAAATGTTGTATGGGTTGAACAAATAGAAATTAATCTTGATTTGCTGCATGAATGAGGCATGTTTATTTGGGGAATTTTTTTTTGGTTTTGGTTATCACATTGGATATATGGACACACATTTGAAGTATTAAATGTAGTCTAATAACAAAACAAATTATAGTTTCCACTAGAAAACCGTGAGATGAATTTATTAACCCTAATTAATTCGTCATTAGCAAATATTTATTGTAGCACCACATTGTCAAATCATGGCGCAATTAGGCTTAAAAGATTCGTCTCGTAATTTACCCGTGTAATTGGTTGTTTTTTCTACATTTAATACTTTATGCATGTGTCTAAACATTCGATGTGACAGCATGAATTTTTTTTAACTAAACAGGACCTGAATATAGAGCATTTTATGATGCATATTTCATTTTTTTTGCACAAATAGAGAAAATAATCATTTTGAGAAAACCTTTAAAGTAGAGCAACCGCGAGTGACCAAGGAGGCAAGGAGCAGTATTATAGTTAATGGACAGGAGGAAAGGTAGTTTGGGAGGCAAAGGTACCGTACCGTATGTAATTTTAGATCCCACCCTAAAATTTTATATCCTATCACATCGAACGTTTGAAGACATTCATAAATATCAAATATAAGCTAAAAAATAACTAATCCTATGGATTGCGACTAATTTGGGATACAAATCTTTTAAGTTTAATTGCTCTATAATTTGACATTGTGGTGCTACAGTAAACATTTGCTAATAATGGACTAATTAGGCTTAATAAATTCGTCTCGCGGTTGACTGACGGATTCTATAATTTATTTTTTTATTAGTGTCTAAACACCTCATACGACATCCTATATAATACTCGATGTGGCACTTTACAATTTTACACCCTTAAATCTAAACATAGCCTATACAAGTTGCTTAGGCAGCTAAGCTAGGCTAAAGGTCAGGCATGGCTTGTGATGTCTTATTTCTTGTGTCCCTAGGACGAGGGGGCCGGGAGTACAACAGTACGGAGGCCGGCCATGAAGAAGAAGAAGAAGAAGAACAACAACGGAACGGAAGTGTGAGATCGACTATACAGAAGAGAAGATAAGAGCATCTTCAACGGTCTCTTCAAATCCCACTCTCTAAATATCTATTTAGCCAACTCTCTATTTAATTTGGCAAGTTAATTCGTTGTTTACTCCAACAACCTCTCCATTCATCCTCTCTATTCTAGGTCTATGACAGCGGGACCCACCTGTCAGCCTATATACGTCGTCATCCTGCTCCCCCCTCTTCTCCAAGCCCCTTTTGCTTGCGGCGACGGCGGGCCAACGGTGGCCGTGCGCGGCGACGACAACGGGGCGGCGGTGTCGCTGGCGGAGGTGGGGGCGACGACGGGCCAGTGGTGGCCGTGCACGGCGACGGCGAGCCAACAGTGGCCGCGCGGCGGCGACGACGACGGGCCGGCGGTGGCCGTGCGTGGCGACGAAGACGGGGCGGCGATGTCGCCGGCGGAGGTGGGCGCGGCGACAACGGGCCAGTGGTGGCTGTGCGCGGCGACGACGACGGGGCGGCGGTGTCGCTGGCAGAGGCGGTGGGGGCGGCGCGGCGCGGTGGGGCGGCGCAGAGGGCGGCGGACGGCGCGGCAGCGTCCTGGGGGCGACGGCGGCGGGGCGGCGGCCTGGGGACGACGAAGGTGCGACGGTGGGTACGGCCGCACGGGTACGGAGAGAGGGAGGATGGCGTGAGAGAGGAGAGATGGTGGGGCCTAGTCTGTTTGGATGGCCAAATTTGACCAGTTAGGAGAGGAGTTTAGTCAGTCATTTAACTTGGCCATCTGAGTAGAGAGTCTGTTGGAGTATTATTTTCTGTTGAAGTTGCTAAAATTTAACTTGGAGAGTTTGATGAAGAAGCTGTTGGAGATGTTGTAAGGAGAGGGTAGATTTGCTTGTTAATTTTGTTCCAAAATGAAACCGGCGAAGTAGTAGATGGATGGAATATCGGAGAGAAGGAAGACGTTGGTTGGTTAGTTAGTTGGTTGGGTTGGGTTGGGTTGGTTGGCTGTTCCTTGCTTTCATCCAGCTAGCTACTGTATTACCTTAATTTCCTACTAATCGTAGTAGGCTGCTACTTGGAGAGGCGTCTAGTAGATAGAGTATTGAAAAAGTTTGCGAGGCAAACCAGTCGACAACATACACACATACATACAGGATACTATGCAGCTGAGGCTGAGCTGGGTGGCTATACCAACAGTAGGAGAGGAGAGGAGAGGAGAGGAGAGCCAAGTTGCAAAAACGCAAAACGGATGGAGTCCGTCACGGGCTCTCTTCTCCCTTTCCCGTCATGGAGTAATAAATAAGTAAATAAAAGGAAAATACTACTCCTTTTCTCCTTTCCTCCAATATATAATAACAGTGAAAAATAATAAACAGAGTAGTAGTGGAGTATTATACTACTGTAGTAGCCTAGTTGGGAGTAGTAGTTAGTATACTGCAAGACCCCAAATATAATAATAGAAAAAGAAAAGAAAAACCGGTGCCAGTAGAACAGCGAAGCAAATAAAGCGAAAAGAACATGAGCATATAATAATATAAATAATAAATAAATAGAGAAAGAGAGAGAGAGATGGAGTGGCTGCTTTTGTTTCCTCCTTCCTTCCTACCGCAACCGGACTCCGTTTCATCATCTTCTCAAGTCTCAACCCACCCCTCCTCCTACCCTTTTTTTTTTGTGTGTTTGTGACGACACGACACCACACGAGAGGAGAGAGAGAGAGAGGGGCAACGCAACTAGTCCCCGCGCAACGCACGGTACGCCTCCGTTCCGTTCCCCTCTTTCCTCCTCCGCCGCCCGCCCGCCCATTGCCGAGCTCCCCGCCGCACGCCCCAGCTAACTACCACTCCGGCACGGCAGGGCAGGGCAGGGCTCGCCGCCGGAGGGGAATGTGGCATCCTTACCTTCCCCCCTTGCCGTAAAACAAAGAAAGAAAGTCTCCCGTCTCGGCTCCTTGCGCCATCGTCGACAGGGGAGGGGAGGTGGCGAGCAGTAGCAGGGGAGGGGATCCTCCAGGTGACCATCCTCTTTCTCACAAATTCTTCTCTCTCCCACCGGGACTACAATTTGCTTGCGTTCCTTAATTTCGCACCCTCTTTTAGATCTGGTGCAAGAAGCTCTTCTCCTCCTTAATTTCGCACCCTCCTTTACCGCAATACTACAATCTAGTTTGTTGTCTGTTCCCCCCCATCCAATTTACCCTAGATTCCTCATCAAATCACACCATTTTCCCTCACCCTCCTCAGCCCCACGGATTACCGCCTTCTTTTTCTTACTACTAATTGCCGTCCGTCCGTTGATGTTTGGAAAAAGTACCACTTTTCTTCTTCCTTAATCTTAATTTGACGACGACGCGTAGAGGAGAGGAGGTACAGAACCACCGGTATCTAATCAAACAGAGACAAGAAAGTTGGAATCCTAATTTGGCCCCGGGTCGCTGCAACAGAATGCAAGACTAGATTGACACCTAGATTTACCTTACCTTAGACCGGGCCACAAGTCAACGCGCTCAATTCATTTCATTTACCACCACACCACTAGTCGTTCCTCCATCCTGGAGTACTACTGTAGTAGGAGTAGTTTTTAGTATTCATTACTCTCTGTATGGATGGGATATTACTACTACTGTAGTAGAGTAGTCAAGAGGCGGTCTTCCATTCTTGCCGTGTGGGGTTCAGGGGGCATCTCCTCTCCTCTCATCTTTCTTTTTTGACGATTTCTTCGTCTCTCTAAAATGGCCTGGTCATATCGCATGTGCGTAATTCCCCCCCTCTGACCACGTCCAGTCCACTGCAAAAATTTTAACCTTTTCTTCTCTTTTTCTCTTCCAAGGCCCTACATTTTTGTACTACTCCACATTTATATGCCCTTCTTCTCCTCATCCTCAATCTGAATCCGCCGTTATTTTCTCTCTCTAACTCATGTAATGGTTTCTGTTCGTGTGAGCACCCACCATTGCCACGAATCGTTAGAGATGCAGCACTGCTACCATTTTTTATACAACTAAAATACTAATACAATTAATTAATGGCTGGTTGATTGTGACTTCTGGCTGTGGTAGGGGAAAACCACCCCAATGTGCCGTGTCTGAATCCAATACTGTAGCTTTCTTTGACTTGGTTGGGACTTGCCCTTCTTTCGGTGCTACCTGGCTGTGACCAATTCATACAAACCGTTGGTGCTTGTTCACTCTGCTGTCTCTGTTGGTCAATGCCACTGGCCTTCCCAGATTTTGCACATGAACCTTCTTCGTTGCTCCTTCATTCCGTAATGTGTCCGTTTACCTATGCAACAGGTGGAGGGCAGAAACACCTATGCAACAGGTGGAGGGCAGGAACTGTCTTCCTGCGGAGGTCAGGATTGGCCTCGAGACGCTCAAGAGGCGCCGGCTTGAGAGGATGCGTTTGACTGCTCAGAACAATGCCGGCGACGGTCCTCCGGTGCCCGCAAGGAGCGGTGGGGATGCGCTAAGGACTCCCGCAAACTGCGGGGTCAGGTTGCATGCTAACAATGGCACAGCTCTACCTAGCAGAACCACCCAGAACAAGGACCCTTTTGCAAAGCGCAGGGTGGACAAGTTTGATATGTCTAGCCTAGAATGGATTGACAAGATCGAAGAATGCCCTGTGTACTATCCTACCAAGGAGGAGTTCGAGGATCCCATTGGTTATATACAGAAGATTGCACCTGTGGCTTCGAAATACGGTACTGCTTCCGTTTCTCGTTGCCCTCATCGTCTGTTGACAGTGTATTACTGATTGATCTGCCAGTCTACGCAGAATCTTACTTTCTAAATGAATGATCATGGGCTATTATTTTCTCCCCAGGAATTTGCAAAATCGTATCTCCAGTAAGCGCTTCTGTTCCTGCTGGTGTCGTGTTGATGAAGGAACAGCCTGGTTTCAAGTTCATGACCAGGGTTCAGCCGCTTCGCCTCGCCAAATGGGCTGAAGATGACACGGTCACTTTCTTCATGAGCGAAAGGTGTGGTATTTCTTGGTTCATTTTCATTATTGGCTGCTTATCTCCCAGGTCTCATGATGCTTGGCATGATTTTGCAGAAAGTACACTTTCCGGGATTATGAGAAAATGGCCAACAAGGTGTTCGCCAAGAAATACTCAAGTGCTAGTTGTCTCCCAGCTAAGTACGTGGAGGAGGAATTCTGGCGCGAAATTGCTTTTGGTAAAATGGATTTTGTTGAATATGCCTGTGATGTTGATGGTAGTGCTTTCTCCTCTTCTCCTCATGATCAACTTGGGAAAAGCAACTGGAACTTGAAGGTGACTAACTCTCTTCTGTGTTTGTGTGTGTGGATGTGTCGTCACATGAGTGCATGTTTAAATATTTGCTCACTGGTAGTATGTGTTTTACTGATCGTATTTTTTTGTTTCGTAGAATTTTTCACGGCTTTCCAATTCTGTGCTTAGACTTCTGCAGACACCAATTCCAGTAAGTCATTTATTTACTACTTAATGTGTTTCACATTCTTTAACATGGCCAAAATTTCATGATTGTATTACACTCATCCAAAACAGGGAGTAACAGATCCAATGCTTTATATCGGGATGCTCTTCAGCATGTTTGCTTGGCATGTGGAAGATCATTATTTGTACAGGTATAAATTCTCGGTTCTCCATGGTTACTCTTTCTTTTTTGCTCGTAATTAATACTGGTGTTCTGACATTTTATTCATATGACCAGCATCAATTACCATCATTGTGGGGCATTTAAGACATGGTATGGCATACCGGGTGATGCTGCTCCTGGGTTTGAAAAGGTGGCTAGCCAGTTTGTATACAACAAGGATATTTTGGTTGGTGAAGGAGAGGATGCAGCATTTGATGTTCTCTTGGGGAAGACAACAATGTTCCCCCCAAATGTCTTGTTAGACCACAACGTTCCTGTTTATAAAGCTGTGCAAAAACCTGGGGAGTTTGTCATTACTTTCCCTCGTTCCTACCACGCGGGTTTCAGCCACGGTATGTATCTTTCAGTTTGTGCATGTGTTATAACGCCACTATCATATGCATAGTATTCTAAGGAATGTTTCAACTACCCAGGCTTCAATTGTGGCGAGGCTGTCAACTTTGCTATCAGTGACTGGTTTCCTCTGGGTTCTGTGGCCAGCAGACGCTACGCGCTTCTGAACAGAACACCCTTGCTTGCACACGAGGAGTTACTTTGCCGTTCTGCAGTGCTTCTGTCCCACAAACTGTTAAACAGCGACCCAAAATCCCTCAATAAATCTGAGCATCCACATTCACAGCGTTGTTTGAAGTCTTGCTTTGTGCAGTTGATGCGATTCCAGAGAAACACACGTGGCCTACTTGCTAAAATGGGCTCTCAGATACATTATAAGCCAAAAACATACCCGAATCTCTCATGTAGCATGTGTCGGCGTGATTGCTACATTACACATGTGTTGTGTGGATGCAACTTTGACCCAGTCTGTCTTCATCACGGTAGGAAATGTTAGCATTGCTCTTTTGCACTTTCTTTTGTATTTTACCTAATACTTTGGTTATTGGACTGCAGAACAAGAACTCCGGAGCTGCCCTTGTAAATCTAACCAGGTTGTCTACGTTAGGGAGGACATACAGGAGCTAGAAGCTCTATCAAGAAAATTTGAGAAGGATATTTGCTTGGATAAGGAAATAAGTGGTTTTGACTCATACAAGCAGGCCGAAAAGAATGAGCCATTTTTTGAGATAACTCGGAACCTCAGGAACACTGAAGTAAATTTGATAGAGGATGCCTTCTCAGGAGCAACTGCTGCTGATGCTGCAAAGAGTTCTCCTGCAACGTCAACACTGACATCTTTTGCACAACATGATGTGCCTGTTCTTGCTGAAGCAATTGTAGGTTTACCATCATGCATATATTTCCAGCTGTTATCTTTCTGTTGGGTTAATGTTCTTGTTATTTTATTTAGGTCTGTGCTAATCAAGCCGACCAATTATACTCCACCACCGAGCAAACCATCAGCTCACCTTTAGTCAAAGGAACTGATGCTGTGGGTGCAAATTCATCCAGCATGGCTGATGCTAATAACGGAACTGGTTCTTGTAATGCTTCAGCTGTGGAATACAGTGGAAATTCAGATTCTGAATCTGAAATATTTCGAGTCAAGCGCAGGTCTGGCGTATCAGTAAAGCCTGCATCTGATGCCAAGACATCAAACTTGTCTGATCAACAGGTACGTTAAATTTTCATCTTTTACACCCCTTTGGCTTATCATCAACTTTTAGGTACTCCCTCCGGTTCTAAATTAATTGACGTTTTGGACAAGGTTGAGATCAATTTTTTATAACTTTGACCATCAATAACTTTAAAAATATTTAGTTTAAAGAAACTAAAACAACATATATAGATTTGTCTTTTAAAGCACTATAATAAAAGTAAACATGTATTTATTTATTATATATATTATAGTAGAAAAATAAGGTCAAAGATATATCTTGTAGACCGTGTCATTGTCCAAAATGTCAATTAAAATGGAACCGGAGGGAGTAATTGCACTGTTTAAGGGAAAATACTTCATGTAAGAATAAATGACATGCTATATAAATGGCCAGGCATCTCCAGTTGTCGAGGTCATTTGATAGATAATAATGGGCAATCATGTCATAAATAAATAAGTTGCAGCTCTAGTTATGTATTAATTAAGTTCCTGTACCATTTTACACCAAGGTCCAAGGGTCTTTATATGAAGGATGACATACGGGCCCATAGCATTTAGTTGTCCTATTTTAGATAGTGCTTACTTTTGGTTCTGATGTAAAATACTGGAATCAGGTTCTCAGGCGGTTGAAGAAGGTGCGCCCTGAAATACAACAGCACAATAAGCGACCAGAAGACTATGGTCACTGTTCAGTTCCCTCAGGTCGTATGAGTATGAAGAATTTGAATTCATCCTCCTCATGTGGTGAAGAACACTGGAGGATGAAGCGGCGGCAGTTGGAGACTCAGCAGGATGAGAGCAGTTATTCTGCAAAGCAGAAGTCGTACTCGTATCCATCCACCAGCTATTCTTTCCGAGGAGAGTTTGTGGAAATGAGTAGAGATGCTGCTGCAGAAGTCCGACCAAAGCGACTGAAAATCCGGCTACCTTCTTCTAGCACGAACAGAGTGGTTGAGCAGGGCAGTTCAGGGCAAAGATTTACAAGGGATGACAAGTCGCTTGGTTGTTGGCCTGCAATTTAGAATTTAGAAAAAAATGCTGACGCAGGTGCTAACCTCTGATGGAGATAAAGATTTCCTTGTTTAGGTGGGGCTGTTGACTACACGAAATGATAGGGCTGGGATGGATCGATGAGGTTGAATATAAATGATTAGCACAGAAGCTGACTGACTTTAGAAGGCTGGTTAATCGATTCTTTGTGCAGCAGTGCCTCCAATTTGAGGCACATCTAGGCACGGTTAGAAGAGACAGACACATGACGATTCTTGTTGCTGGAGGTTCTGGGTCACTGCTTTGCTGCTGTTTGATGCCTGCACTGCAAGTGACGTACACACACTATAGGACCTCGCTCTACCCTTTGATTATATCTCTCTATTTTTCTTCTTCTTTGTCAGCAACCTTAGCTGCTGCTACTCTATAGCTAACTGTATTCTTTCATACGCTTGTTCCATCAAGTTAATCTGCTGCTTAATGCCATTGATTCAATAGTGAATCATCGTTCTTTCTGGATGGAATGCAAATATGCAATGGTATGGAATGATGTTTGGTGGTGACTGAGATGTTGCAATTGAATTTTCCCAAACTGTGATGATGCAGCAAGGTAGGCTAGGGTAGGCATCATCTCATGTGAGGGAATTTAGGCCTTGTTTAGTTCCTTTTTTTTTTTCAAAAAACGTTACATTGAATCTTTTAAGCTTAATTAGTCTAATGATGGATTAATTAAGCTTAATAAATTCGTCTCGTGGTTTCCAGACGAGTTATGAAATTAGTTTTTTTATTCGTGTCTGAAAACCCTTTCCGACATCTGGTCAAATAGTCAAATGTCCGATATGACACATAAAAATTAATTTTCTTTTCGCGAAGTAAACACACCCTCGCTACAATGTAAGGTTGGCTCGTAGTGTCTGTCGCACGGTGTTGCATGTTACTGCAACGTACTGTACAAGGCCAGGCCAGGCCCGGCCCAGCCCAAGAAAGAGAGGGAAGTGAGAGAGAGATGGAGGGAGTCATCTTCTTCCTCCTGCGGTGGCGGTGCTGCAGCTGAGCCTGCTGCACTCCTCACCGGCTGCTGATTGTGACTGTGAGTCATGTTGGCCTCCACTTGCTTCTCCGCCCCGCCGCCCTCCTCCTCCTCCCCGTCAATCCCGACCCACCTCGCCACTCTCTGCTGCTGCTTCAGGCCTCCCGCTCGCCCACCTTGGCCTCGCTCTCTTCTTCTTCTTGGTGCCTTCCCACCGCCGACCCGCCCCCTCCCCCGCGCCTCCGTCTCGTCATCGACCGCCCCAGCGAAAGACTACGAGGCAAGCAAAGCAACCTGCTCTTCTCTCCACATACTAGTATTTCATCTTCTTGCTTGCTTGCTCTTCTGCTGTTTAGTTTATCTATCTACGCGGGTCACAGTCTCTGTCCGTTAAATCCTAAACCCAATTAAGCAGCAATGGAGTTTTTTTAACTCACTGACCCTGAAACCCAATTAGGCAATCAGGAATTTGGGATCCTTGCACCGCTAAACTTTGGTACCGTTTATATAGCATAACATATGGGGATTGTTTTGGAAGATAATGTGCAACAATATATCAATATGCCTGTCTTTCATCCCCTGTAATTCACAAGGTCTGTTACGTGTGTTACGTGCCTACTCCTATGAGCTGTATTTTACAGCTTTTAGGGTTTTTTTTATAATATAATGATGTTGGGTAAGGTAAATAATACTCCTACTCCCACTCATGTTGTCAAAAATAATCAGCTGCTCTTGTTTGTCTAGTTTACTGATGGTGGCGGAGAGGTGGAGCTGAGGCTGGACATAGGAAAGCTCGGCATTGAGAATTCAAGAGATGTATTTGTTGACGTCGATGATACGTCTCTGTTGGTCAGAGCCAAGTCGGATGGGACACTGCGGACTTTGATCAATGTTAAACAACTCTTTGATAGGATTAAGTCTTCTGAGACTATATGGTATGCACCAGTCATTTACTAGCTTGCTCTTGTAGAGGTTTTAAGAAAGTTGACCAATTCTATGTTCATCTTGCAGGTTCATTGATGAGGATCAATTGGTAGTGAATCTAAAGAAAGTTGAGCAAGAGCTGAAATGGCCCGACATTGATGAATCTTGGGAATCCCTTACTTCTGGAATCACTCAGCTTTTGACAGGGATTAGTGTTCATATTGTTGGTGATTCCACAGATATAAACGAGGCAGTTGCTAAAGAAATAGCTGAGGGAATTGGGTATGTGCATCTCATTTCTTAATGATTCAAACTGCAATTTGAATTCTGCCATTCTGGTTTCTTTTCAACCTTCTAGTTTATACTATACAAGTGCAAATGGTAGTTCATTAGAATGAGATTTATATAGTTACATACTGAGTATAGATCAGGTATCCTTTTACAATATTTGCTACCATGCATGAACATATACAATTCATTGCTAGTTTATCGCATATAAGGCCCCTGAAATATATTTGCTGGTTGTACCTTTGCAGTTACCTTCCAGTCTGCACAAGTGAGCTGCTAGAAAGTGCCACCGAAAAGTCTATTGACAAATGTAAAAATTATCGCCTCATTTCTGTTGATAAAAGTTGCAACAACCATGTTGTTTTACAGGCATCAGAAGTTGTTATGTGTAGTTCATACTGTTACAGTGAATTGACAAAAGTGCTGTTATTTCTTGTAGGGTTGGCTTCGGAAGGAGTGGATTCGGTAGCAGAAGCTGAATGTGTTGTGCTGGAAAGCCTTAGCAGGTTGCTTTTGTGGGCTACTCCTAGTTTGTTACCTTTGGTTGATGTCTTGCTCAGTATGCTTAAAAGACTATTTCTCCCTCGCAGCCATGTTCGTACAGTCGTAGCAACTCTGGGGGGAAAGCAAGGAGCAGCTAGCAGATTTGATAAATGGCAGTATCTTCATGCTGGATTTACGGTTTGGTTGTCGGTCTCCGATGCCAGCGGTAAGGAAACTAGGAAAGGAAGGCTAGCATTGTTCTGTTCCTAGTACACTACTACTATATATGTACATAATGAAGTCCATTAATCTCCAGAGGTTACTACTCCTAGTTACTTTACCTTTGATGAGGATGTCATATGTACATAGATGAAGCTTCTGCCAAAGAAGAGGCCCGTAGAAGTGTGAGCTCGGGAAATGTTGCGTACGCGAAAGCTGATGTAGTAGTGAAGCTTGGTGGATGGGATCCGGAGTACACACGAGCTGTTGCCCAGGGTTGCCTTGTGGCCTTGAAGCAGCTAACATTGGCAGACAAGAAGCTAGCAGGTGAAGTATCTATCATCCAATTAGCTAGCTAGCCTTGTTATTTGTTACCAAAAAATTGAATTAAAATCATCTTAAATTAGATAAAACTTGGCAATGATAATAAGAGTGATGACATGAAATGTAAAACTAACACACTAGTTAGTTTGGATGGTGACAGGTAAGAAGAGCCTATACATGAGGCTGGGATGCCGAGGGGATTGGCCCAACATCGAGCCTCCCGGCTGGGATCCTGACTCCGACGCACCACCCACCAACATATGATTTTCATACTCAGTACTCACTAGTAGTAGTATATATACAGTACATGATTCTCATTCTAGCCTCTTCGTCGTCGCTTTTCTTCTCTCTGGAGGCGCTTCAGTTCCATGGAATCCACATTCACGGGGCATTTCCCAGATTCAGCTTTAGCTGTGTCATGGCATCTTTTCTTTGCAGCCAGCTACTACACGAGATTCTTACTGCTAGTAAAATACTCTTGTGTTACTACAGTTTGAAACTTTCGTGCCACTATTTTTTAAGCTGTGCCAAAACTGCCAGATCTCATGGCAAATATAAACCATAACAAAACCTTGCTTCAGCTATGCATGGTTCATGGAGTATGCACTTTTGCAACTGCGAGAAATTATGCCAAATTTGCACTTTGAAGATAGCCTTTGCTGAAGTTTTGAAGATAACTTTAGTTTGTTAAAATATAATCTAAATTTAAGCAAACCGTGAGGGCTAGCAAATATAACCGTGAATAAGTGTAGTCATTAGCTATGGACAATTCGCGCCTGTCATCCGAGTAATAATTTTGCCAAGTTTGGCTTAAAGACTGAACAAGGCGGCAAAGCACAACACCACGACTATGGCGAAACAATAACATTAAAGCACAACACCACGACTATGGCGAAACAATAACATTAATCAATATGTATATAACATTACATGTTTTTATGCAAAGAGAAGAAAAAGAAACAGGAGGGTAAACAAGGAACTTTTATCAATTTTATGTGTAACCTCAGGTCCACGAGTAAAGCTGAAATCATCATTTCGCATCGGAAACCGATGACAGAAATCTTGACAACATGAATCCTAGGACCGAAAAGACAAACCCGCATCATATACAGACGCAGACAACTTATGTGAGATAAGCTTCTCTCCACTAGTCAAGTCGGCCAGTTGCTTCTCTCACCATCCGCACCGACGACTTCATGGTTTAGCCATCATCTTGGCCCACGTGTTTGGGTGCTTCATGCCTCGACATAGGGGGCAACTGTTGAAATGCAAGCAAAGTATATTCTTCTTAGGAAGCATGAAAAAAGATAAACAAAAACATGATTATGCTCTTATGTTCTTGCAACTCGTTGCAAGTATTTTTCTTTTATGTATTTGAAAAAAAAGTATTTTTCTTTTATGTATTGGAAAAAAAAGTATCTTCAGAACATGAAGATCATGACAGCTCTAAGGCAAGGCGGCCGCCTTTCATATCACACATGAATCAGGAGCTAAGATTGCCTGGAAGAAGTGCACACCTTATCTTGGAGTCGCATTATTGTTGATATAAGCATTCTGTCACCAACTATATGCCTTAACTTCTTCACTAGGTCGACTCGGCTTATTTTCTTGCTCTGGTAACACAACAAAAGAACAAAGGAGCTCAAACACCAAACACCAGCAAAAAGGAGGGCAAACTCAGTAAAAAATATGGTAACAAAATAGACAACCTTGAATTCTTCGTAACAACTGTTGACCATGTCCATATTCTCAGCAGAAACTTTGGTTGAAATCGCTGCAAATAACATGGAGAAAGGCATCCAAGGCGTGCTTGGAGCCCTTTCCACTTTATCTCCTAACATGGGGGCTTCATAATGACCTCCCAATGCTGGAGAAGCCTGAAGGTTCATGTCCTGTTTGTGGAGAAGAGGATGTTTGTTATTTGATTCTTAAACCCACCCCAATATAGATAGCATGGTTAACAGGAAACTTATCATATTTGGAGGTTTCTATCAAAGATAAAATACTACAGTCAGCTTGAAGTCTAATCTCAAAAGCAAGCACAAGTCAATAGTTGATTCAGTCACTGTCTGAATTACTGCATGCTGCTGCTGCTCCAACAGTGGAACTTGTCTGTATGAGAACAGAAGTTGACTAACAATAGCAATGTTATCAAGTCCCATTGATAAGTATCTTCTTACCTGTGATACACTATCAGGCGAACCAGAGCTCAAGATCAGTGATGAAACCTCTGATAAATTGTGACAATCTTCTTCGGTGGCAGGAGAATCTAGCACATAATGAAAAGGCTCACTCATAAGAAAATCTGGGGCTGCCAGCTTTACAAGTTATGCAAGGCTAAACAAAACTTTTTAAAGAATGACACAACAGTTGCGATTAGTTACCTTTGACTCTAGAAGGCAATTTGATGGTGACTACAAATTCAGAATAGATGTGACTATTCACATTCATATCCCACACAATGTAATGTTGAGGGTTTTTAATGTCATCTACACCACTATCGAAATACTCGTTACTAGGCCGATGCTGCTTAGATCCATGGTGAACTATTTCTACGTTCCCCATTACAACACGGCACAACATCATATGGACAATGCCATTTTCATCAACATCAGAGTAATTCACACTGCAGAAAGTAATACAAATATTGAATTTCGCAATGGTTAGGAAAATAAAAACTTGGGAACAAAAGAAATATATAATTGAAGTAGTAATTTGATGATATCATAAGAAAAAAAAACATGTGAACAGCAAATAAATGAAAAATGTCAGTAATATTAACAACATGTGAGCAACAATTTATCTAAAAGATAAGAAAAAAACAGACTGGAAGTATCAATAGCAGGCTTAGATGATCATTATAATCACAACAGGTTTGGCCCACTGGATGATTCATAGATCAGGAGCATACCAGGTATTGGAGCAATTTGCTGGAGCAAGGATTGTGCCAATTCCGTAGTCTGGGCACTTAACAGTCTTCTCAAAGTGCATGACACCATTCAACATCATTTCATCCACAGCATCTTTTGAGCAAGCAAGCCAGGCATAGCGGACATTTGCATTGCCACGCTTACATTTAGTATGCTCTGCCTGCTTTTTGAAAAGATTATAACGAAATTCTTTATGGTTATCTACTGCTGGTGTTCTGTAGATCCCAACGATGTCCTTGGAACCAAGAACAGTGCCCAGACCCTGCAGCAACAATTTCTGAACAGCAGAAATAGCTAGTTGAACACGTGAATGGTCACCCAGCTTATCTTGTGGTAGAGATCTGCAGGGAATAGGCAGCAAGGCGTGTGGCTCATTCTCTCCAATAGTTTCTTTGACACCACCAGTTTTGTTTCCTGCGACACTCCTCTCAGCCTTGGCTCTCTTAGGGCTGGAAACATCATCAGTGCTAGATTCAAAATTCGAGCTTTCTGCTGAACTTTCTGATGTTCCAAAGTGGTCGTTCATTTCTTGTGTCCCATTGGGCTCGACAATTATGTATACATTATTACCATTTCCCAATTCCTTTTTCCTATACAGTGTCTTATCTTCAATAAAAAATTCTGGGAAGTACTGCTTCCCATTCTCATCAATCCAAGCTATTGGCCTCTGAAGGCCTGTCTTTGAGTCTATGAATGTCATGTGCACAAAATCCAGCAAAAAAAGATGGGTCTGGTGTTCACCTTCTGTGATTGTCTTCTTAGTCCTAAAATCACTGTGGGCAAGCTTGACAATTTGCTTTGGAAAGTCTTTCCATTCACCACCTTGACGAAGCAGAATTCGCTTAGGTAAAGCACTAGTCATGAAATTCTGATAACTCTGTATAATCTGCATTTTGAAATGGCACTTGATCTTTGCCTTGTGACCTTCATCAACATAAAACCTAACAACAGAGTTATCGGCGGGATGCTTATGCAATTTAGAGGTGTTGCCGGCATCAGCGCAACGTGCAGCTGGGTTGTCCCGCTTTCTCTTGAGGCTACTTATGTTTCTTCCACATTTATCCAATACCTTTTCGTTCATCGCAGCCATGGTTGCTAGCTGAAATGAACCAGAGACTAATAATTTCTAACAAACTAAACTCCAACAAGCCTACTATTTACACTAAGCTAATAGGCAAGCTTCTGAGTGTACTCAAGTTCATTATCGACGAGGCAAAAACCAAAAAGAGTCGGGTCAGAAAGAGGCAGAAGCGAAATGATCCTGAAAATGAAAGCCAGATATTAGAGAACACTTCAAAAACACAATATTTTAAATCATCAATACGACAGACTGCATGCCAAAGTCGCTCAAAACAATAGCCACTGTTACTAGCATAAACGTAGTTTGTGTGGTACTTTAGGCAGTAGGAATAGATTATTGGAGAAAAAAAAATACAAGACAAACACCAACAAGAAAATTTCCTTCAGCGTGATTGTGTGGCGACGAACTAGCATGTGGGGCTGTTCATTCCCAGTTTTGAATGAAACTAGCATGTTGCGGAAATTACCAAAGTTATATACAGCATGACACAAAATTCATCGGAACTTCATAGAATTATTCAGTTAACTTTAACATCGAAAACTGACAAGCATAGACAGGGGCAACCCCTTGACTAAAATAGTGATTTAAGAGGAGTCTAACGCGAATTCATATATGATAAGTAGAAAAATTAAGTTTATAGCAAATCAATCGTACAAGTATATAGGTGGGGAATTTTAAATCTACCTAAATCGGCTGGACAAAATAAAAAATAAAATAAATTGGGAAGGAAGTATACAGGTAGGGAATCTTAAATCTACCTAAATCGGCTGGCACAAAATAAAATAAATTGGAAAGGGAGACGAAAAAATTTGCTAAAAACAATAAACAAAAAAAGCAGATCCAGATGAAGGGAGGATTAGGGTGACGAATCGATCGATGGATAATAATTACCTATAGTTAGCAGCAGCAGCGTGAGTAGATACAAAGATGATAGACGATATGGATTGCTTCATCTTCCTCGATCTATAATCCCAAACCCCCAAACCTACCGCTCCCTTAACGACCCCACTTTATCCCCGGCAACGATTGCCGAGGAGAGGCGGTGCCCGCCGGTGGTTCCTTCGCCGGCAAGTCTGGTCAGAGCAAAAAAAAAAAAAAACCTAACTCAAATCACGGCGGCGTGAGGCGGCGGCGAAGGCAACGAGCGGGAGGCGGGGAGGAAGGAAGGAGGGGAGGAAGGGAGAGAGGCGTGCGGCGGTGGAATTATTGGGCCGCGAGGTCCACGCCTTTGTCGTGTCCCATCCTCCTACTTCGCCTACCGCTCACGCCCTACACCCCGCTCACCGACATGTGGGCCCACCCGCACGCGGGGCCACGCTGGCGGTGAGCGTTTGGCGCGCATCTTCCTTGGATGCCAAGTTGCCTTCCCTTCTTTCTTGCCGCGTAAGCAAAAATGGGGACGTCGTGAGGGAGGCAGCCACCATCCGACGGTTCACATCTGTAGTCAACGGTCTCTGCTCCAACGCCAGCCGTCCATCTAGTATTCTGCTACTAGTTCAGACTTCTTAGTTTTTGTTTCTTTTGCGTGCATTATTAGATTACCGGTGACGTGGCCACGGAGTAACTTCCTTTGAAGACGCTTTCTAGTCTTTATGTTTATATACCAACAGTTAGCTAAAAATTTCACAATTTGACCCTTGCAAAAACCATTTTTATAAATGAACCGCCGTCAAAACTTATTTTAAAAATGACCTTTTTTTTTTGTCAGCGCCAAATCACTCGGCGCTGAACTTAGATACCTCAGTGCCATGTCAACCGGCGCTGAATGTCGTGCCATCGCGGATGGGAGACTAAGTCAGCATGCCAACGCATATTCAGCGCCACGCTATTTGGCGTTGAGGTGTCTAAGCTCAGCGCCACATGATTTGGCGCTGAACAAAAGGGTTATTTTTGAAATAAGTTTTGCGGACGGTTCATTTGTAAAAATAGTTTTTGCAAATGGTCAAATTGTGAAAATTTTTGAACAGTTAGGCCCTGAATAGATCTCAACCAAAAAAAATTTTACCCTATCACACCAAACGTTTAACATATGTATCAAGTATTAAATATAGACTAAAAATAATTAATTACACAGATTGCGACTAATTTAAGAGACGAATCTTTTAAGGCCCTATTTCTTTCAGCTTGGGATTATTATAATCCAGATTATTAGGAGTAAGCTGAAAGAAACAGACAACTTATTGAAGTAGCTTATTATAGTATGAAACCCAGCTTGCTATAATTTGATAAGCTCATTTAGGTGAGCTTTTTCTAGATTATTGGGTGAAAAATTACCCATCATGCCACCCCACTCCCTATTTAGACTTGCAAACCCAATAATCTAGGCTCTAATAATCTAGGAAAGAAACAACTAACAGCTTATTCTACTACAGATTATAACAATCTAGCTTATAGTAATCTGACTCAATAATCTAGATTATAATAATCTTAAGCTGAAAAAAACAGGGCCTAAGTTTAACTGTTGTATGATTTGACAATGTGGTGCTACAATAAACACTTGCTAATGATGGATTAATTAGGTTTAATAAATTCGTCTCGCGGTTTACTAACTGATTAGTTTTTTATTAGTGCCTAAACACTCACGCTATATAATACCTGATGTAGTATATATTTGCACCTGACCTGATGGAGTTTCAAAAACACATGTTTCCACTTTTTTTACTGATAGATCCAATACGTATCGTCTTTCAAAGTCTAGAAGAGCACTTTGTAGCTGATTTTCCTCCTCCTAAACTCCGCGGCTGAGGGGGAAAAATCAACAACAAATTCTCAAAAAAAGTTGGCTGGCTGCTTTATTTTTTATCTTGGTTGTATATTAGATTCTAGAATGTCTCTGATTTTTTTTTTAAAAAAAGGTTACTATCAAATGAGTATAGTTTACATAATGACTTTGTGAATGGGACCTTTCAAGTCATTATGATTGACTATATGGTGAGCTTAAATCCTTGATAGCGAATGACTTGCGGTATGGCAATTCATTTGTAATTGTCAAGTCAGTTCTAACCTGCAGTGCATGATTTTTAGTCGTTTGATTCAATATATCTTGCATAGGAAACTAGCTAGAAATTGGTGTGAATGGCTTATAACATGAGAATCACCGTTACAGTCTCCGTTACAATCACCATGACCTCTAGGCTCTAGCTTGCCATCGACCATGGAAAACATGCCTTGTCGATGTACCGTTTACCAATTTCGCATACCCGGCCCCTCCGATCCGTTCTAAATATAAATCGATTTGTCATTTTTTTAAAATTTTAATCAAATTTATAGAGAAATATAATCATTTTTATAACCCCAAATTAGTTTAGTTAAACCAAACATTGAATATATTTTGATACGATGTTTGTTTATTATTGAAAACGTTTATATTTTTTATGAACTTGGTCAAATAAAGAAAATGAAAGCGTCTTATAATATAAAATAGAAGTAGCAACTTACATTATTTACGTATATGCTTTTATCAAAATTTAACAATGCTTATTTAGTAGGCTTTTTGATTAATTTAGGTCTATATGTGTACCGGATAAGAGGGGACTCCTTGGATCTGGTGGTGATGTGCAAGCCTACCTGGATTTAAATCCTTCCTTCTACAAATATTTGAGGGAATATCGTTTTTTATTCAGATAGCTGGAGACATGATTTTACTGCTCGTTTATATTTTTTTTAACATGTATAAGATACACACATCATTTTATATATTAAGCAAGATAGAAAATAACAAAGGGTGCGGAATTAGAAACCCCCTTCCCCTAACACCAACATGTCTTGCAACAAAAAATATAACAAGAAAATACAACTGCAAACAAACACCCTACGACACAAAAGGGCTATAGAGTTTGTGTTTAGTTCACGCCAAAATTAAAAGTTTGGTTGAAATTGAAATGATGTGATGGAAATTTTTGAAGTTTATGTGTGTATGAAAGTTTTAATGTGATGAAAAAGTTAGAAGTTTGAAGAAAAACTTTGGATCTAAACACACAGCTAGAGCCAACTTCTCCTAGAGCTATGATGCTCTAGTCAAGCATCAAAGTGCACCTTCATTAACCACATCTTGAGTGACAACCGCTACACTAGGAGTTGCAATATTGAAAAAGCACAATCGGTTCTATATTTCCAAATGTCCCAAGCGACCAAGATAACGAGAGTACTAAAATATTCCTCATAGTTGTTCCTTCAACCATTAAAAATATACTGTATTTTTTTAAGTACATGTTTCAATTACCTTGTGTATATAAACTTAAACTTTCTGCATTTACCATAAACTCAAGAGTGTTTTATCAGGAAAATCAGAATGAATATAGTAGATAAGTGGAGATAACTAGGAGAAAAAACGAAGCGGATAGTTTTCAGCCGGTCCAGTGAAAACGAAGCATATAGTTTTCAGCCGCTCTGGTGAAAAACAAATATGGATACCATTCTGTGCGTATAATTTTTGGATAGTCTAGATACGGATACAGATACAAATATTCTTTTCTCAAATATGAATATGAATATGGTATCATAGTTTTCGATAGGTATCTCTATCTCTACTACTTAAAAAATTAGAAGTGTTTCCATTGTCCGTCCGTGAAAAAGGGCGAAACGAAATCGAATCAAATTATATGTGATGCGGTAAAAAAAATGCGACACAATAAAAAAAACAAATCGAATCCGATTCCGTACGTGAAAAACAGGGTGAAAAAAATCGGGCAAAAAAAAGTCCGATTCAATTTGCTTCCGTTGTCCGTGAATTTTTTTCATCCGTAAATCCGATTGAAATCCAATTGGACAATCCAAAGAAAGAGAAAAGGAACATGAAAAATAATAAAAAGCGCACAAATCTTATCTCAACCCCGTGGGAAGCCGCCGACGCCGCTGAATCCGTCCGTGGGAAGTCACCATCGCCGCCGAATCCACCCGGGGGAAGCTGACGCTGTCACTCGCGGTAGGGGAGGGCAGCGCCGCCGCCACTTGCAGCCACCAACGCCATCGGATCCTCCTAGGGGAAACCGACGCCGTCGCTCGCGATGGGGGAAGGGCACCGCCGCCGCTGCTGTCGCACGCGGAATGAGAGAGTGCCGCCGCCACCGCCGCTCGCTCATTGCTGGGAGAAAGGATCAGGATCGAGAACGGGGGAACGTGAGGGTTAGGGTTTCCAATGCACATGCATCTTCAATGGTGCGCAGGCGATCCAAGCCATCTATCAAATCGAATGGCTCAGATCACCTCCGCTTCGGGCCGCCTCCATCGCCGGGCTGCACACACTTGATGGCCCTGCCATCAAGTGTCTACAACGCAATCAGAGGAGGAGTTGGGGGAGGCAAATTAGACTTGATTTGCGGGCTGAGATAGTAAATCGACTGAAAATGGCCCATAGAGAAATTGGGATTTTTATTTAAATAAATGCTGAAATGATGTTTGTATTGTCAAAATTAGCAATTAAGTTCCGAAAATTCCAACAACAAATTTCAAAGAGTGTTATTAATCATGGTTAATTTAATAAAAATTAAATCGAACTATATCATATTATTTCGCTGCACAGGTGGGGAAATGTGCCGCCGCCATCGCTCTCGGTGGGAGAGAAGAGGAATGAATTTAGGGTTAGGTATAGATTTAATTCATTGTTTATGTTTAGAACTATCTCATATAACTCCCATGGAATTATAAAATAACTATAATCATTATCATAACATTAGTTTTTTTCCCATTGCAACGCACGAGCACTTTTTCTATAAATAATAATACAGATATCCGGTGCACAATAATATTTGGATATTCGCTGAAGGCATAAAAACATACCCCATTTCGTTCTAGCTCTAGTTCTAGTCTTTTAACATTAGTCCACACTAATAATTTTATTTAAACTTTTAAATATTTTTTTATAAAATATACTATATGTATTATGTGTTGTAATACCAGTTAGACATGTATTTATACCAATAATATTGTACATGTTTAGTTTATGATCAAACTTTGTGTATAAAATGAGCTTAAAATATATTATGGTATTTGTCTGTGGTTTCGTGTTCTGATAAATATTTGTTTCTGTATTTGTGTTCGATCTTATTTGTATTCAAGGTAATTTGTATTCGTTTCCGTATCTAATAAAAGAACTACGAAAACAAATCGTATGATACAGTTCGTTTTTGATATCGTAGGGGGACAATAGGCAATGATACAACGGAAGTGAAAATATATACAAGAGAAAATAGAAAAAGAAATAATTGGGCTGGAGATGGAGATGGAGATGGAGATGGAGGGTGGGTTTGGCACAAATCCCGAAGCGCTCCGGCGACCACTCCCAACCCAGTCCCCACTAGGGTAACAACCCCCTTTCGGATTAGGTTTCTAGAAGCTTCTTCTATGCAGGCGCCGCCGCTCGCCTCCTCGCCGTCGCCGGCGTGGACCGCCATCCTGCCCGCGCCGGCGAGGCTCTGCTGCTCCCGCCGCGGCGCCCTCCGCCTCGAAGCCAAGGCCGCCTGGAGGCCGGCGGCCCGAGGGCCGCGGGTGCCGGCCAAGGGCGCCGTCCTCGCCTCCGAGGTGGTGGGCCCCTCTCCCCTCCTCGACGCGCGCAACGAGCAAGGTTCTCTCCCCTCCATTTCCCAATCTCACAAACTCCATTCGCATTCGCATTCGCATTGCTACTTAGTATGGGGGTCGCATTGGAATCCTCGATGCATGGACATGGTTGGTTGGTGAATTGCTCGATTATTATTATCCTTATATTAGTTGTGCCTTGGATATATTGGACCTAGAAAATCACTCTACCTTTAGATGCTCTAGAATCTAGATGAGATGAAACCACGAGGTGCTCTGCTCACTTCTCGATTCCTGTCATGTGCAGAGCTCATTTTGCATATCAGAAAGGAAGTGGAGAAAGGGAAGCTGCCTGCAGATGTCGCTGCCAATCTAGAAGAGCTATACTACAACTACAAGGACGCGGTAACATTTCTTCTTTTCTATCTGCTGCAATTGCAATTAGATCATCGGCTCATATGGCCACGGGGATACTCTGCCTTATCAGGTTATGCAGAGCAGGGATCCAAATGCACACGACATCGTGCTTTCAAACATGGTGGCCCTGTTCGATTGTGTTCTGCTCGATGTAGAGGTTCTACCTCCTGTCATTATCTTCCTGATTTCCTCTGACATTTTTCTTTTATGCCCCCTTTTATACCAAGCTGCCTCCTCCTTTTGCAGAATCCGTTTACCTTTCCGCCTTATCACAAAGCTGTCAGGGAACCATTCGACTATTACATGTTTGGTCAGAACTACATTAGGCCCCTTGTAGACTATAGGTAATGCAAATCTCTTCCCCTATAGGTATCGAGGACCCTTTCAATCTTCCCCTTTTTTTGCCCATTCATGGTATTTAGTATATTTCCACACTTTGTAGCACAAATGCTTTAATCACATTTCACATAGATGGCAGATATTTCTGTCATGTCGCGCGACATGACCGTATTGTTTTGATGGGTGCAGTGAGGATATAGATACCCTGTATAGGTGAAGGCAATATTCTTTAATCAAAGCATAAGATATTACCTGCTTTCCCAGTCCTTGAAGACATTGTTGTTCCCATCCTCTCCATAAGTAGCTAGTTTTTTTAACTAATGGCTTAGTCATAGATATACCTTCAACAAGAAAAGTGATATCTATTAACACATTTTGGTTTTGCTTATTACCGTGGCATGCCGTCAAACTTGCAACATTCACATGTGTTATAATTTATCTGTATAGCTTATAGGTATGTCTTCCTTATCATGCTAACTTTTTATTTCATATGCCCAGAAATTCATATGTTGGTAATATATCCATTTTCCAAGACATGGAACAGAAGCTCCAACAGGTTAGTTCATCTAAACTCCATTGTACTATCTATTTTCTGTATTTATTTCTGATCAAACATCTTCTTTGATAATCAATCCTCTTCAACATCTTGGTGAGTGCAAGCTGCCATGGTTTAGTAAACAGAACAAACCAATAACCCATGAATCACATATCTAGGGTTAAAAGAACTAGGATAGATAGCACCCTCCAAAGACCTCTCTGGAATCGACCCTTCATTTTTTAGATGAACAGGAGAGGTAATCCTCCCAGCGTCGTTGATAGTAATATCATGATACATACTAACAGAGGTTCCCCTCCTTCCAAGGGTTTTGATATATAAGCATCAACAGCAAGAGACGGCCATAAGAAAGCTTCAACTAGATATGATCTACCTCACATCAATGTTTGATTTTTTGGTTTCATAGTTATTTAGAGATGTCTGATAGAAGAGAATGATGAGAACAAACATCATGTGCCAATTCTTATGCTTTAGTGATAAAAGTGTTTCCAGTGTATGTCAGCACATGACGTCCCTCACACCGGATGATTTTTGTGTAAGTTGCTTCTGACCTTCTGTCATTGCTGGAAGCACCCGACGCTAGGTACTTAGGTGTTTGTAGTAATTATCCTAACATACTTCTGTCATGCTTTAGAGCTGTCGAATAATTCTTTTAATTGTTTACTAAAGATTCTTATGCATTTTCTGAAATTGTTTGTTATTGTAGGGCCATAATGTTGTTCTGATGTCTAACCATCAGACAGAAGCAGATCCAGCAATCATTGCTTTGCTGCTTGAAAGAAGCAACCCATGGATCAGCGAAAACATAGTACGACAGTAATTTGGACATACTTGGATAATTTACATGTGAATCGTCATATGCTATTGACTAATCACATTATCACTAATATGCCATCTTTTGTAGGTTTATGTTGCTGGTGATAGGGTTGTTACAGATCCTCTCTGCAAGCCATTTAGTATGGGAAGGTTTTTTAATCCACCCCAGAAGCTCATATGGCTGAGTTGTCTTTTCTGTTTCTAGTGTTTCTATTGCCTGGAAATATTAATTTCATAAAGGAATTTTCTCCCTGCAGAAACCTCATTTGTGTGTACTCAAAAAAGCATATGAATGATTTTCCTGAGCTAGTTGATATGAAGAGGAGGGCAAATACTCGTAGTCTGAAGGAAATGGCTTTACTTTTACGGTATTCTTCCCTTATAGTAACATGTTAGTTTTCATCCTTTTTACTTATAAATATTAGGCCTTTTTGACTTGATTGTTTAACCATGTATAATAGAACATATATAGTTAGTACTTAGTAATAGAAAATATAATACACATGCTAGTTTTATAATGTGTCAAATTTAGCACCTAGTTGCAGTGCAGTCAAGACTATTCAAGGAATTATTCTGCATTCACCATTAATCCGTCATAGATCTGAATTTGTTTCTTCTTAACGCAAACGCATGTACTTCACCTCCTTGTTACATTGGGTTGCTCATGTTTTATCTTTTATGACATGTAGTGGCGGTTCACAGATAATTTGGATAGCACCAAGTGGTGGTAGAGATCGTCCGGATCCTTTGACAGGAGAATGGCATCCGGTATGTTATCTGGCTTGGTTTTGTTGTTCCATATGATTTGATTAGCTTATCATGTTTACCAAATCTAATTTCTATTTTGTTTGCCAAATGTATAATTCCAACTTACCACTTGTCTGTATCTTGTCTGCTACTTACAAAAACAAGGACAGGCACCATTTGATGCATCTGCAGTGGACAACATGAGGAGGCTTCTGGAGCATTCTGGTGTTCCTGGGCACATATATCCACTCTCACTGCTCTGCTATGAGGTTATGCCTCCACCACAGAAGGTATATTCAGTTGCAACCTCTTACTGTATTACTTTAGACATATTTATCAGAGTATTTGTTTGACTTTTATATTTGAATAGGTTGAGAAAGAGATTGGTGAGCAAAGGGTTATATCCTTCCATGGTGTAGGCTTGTCAGTAACTGAAGAGATAAAGTACAGCGACATTACGGTTCATACCCAAAATGTCGACGAGGTTTGTTCTGAATGTTGGTTGTAGATTATCATGTTTAATATCTGGATAGTGTTATGCTCTGACTTCTAGTTATTTTGTTAAGTAACACTGTAACAGGCATTTCTAATGATTTACCGATTTTACTTATTTTTGTGTAATTCCCTTTGGTGGGGGTGGGTGCTTCTGCCCAGTCTTCAGGTAGAACAATAACCATTAGATTAGCTTTCAGGACTCTGTTTGCCTTCTTACTGATTATTGATCATGATGAACTCTTGCCCAAATTTCATTGTTTTTTCTCTATGCTGGGAATGGCTGAATATTTATAGTGTTAGGGTAGCTGAAATTAATGGATATGTCAAAATCATGCATCAAGTGTTGGCCCCATCATTTAACCTATTTTTCAGGGTGAACAGACACATTTGTGCATATATCTTCTTCAGAACGTGAAACTAAGCTACATCAATTTACTTTTGTAGAGGGTGCAAAATAAGTTGTAATTTCATCATTGTGCAGCTCAGTTTATATTCCACTTTTGCATATGATATTCACCCATGCTAGCTTGAGATTGGTAGTTGGATTTGAAAATTCTCATTGCTGTTACTCTTGTAGGCCCCTTGTCTCCAGGGTTTAGGCTAAGAACCTTTCTTATTTTGTAAACAGTTTACAGAACTTTGAACTTTCAGACTTGCTCACTGATAGTGTTACTTATTGATATTGCCTCATCTGTTTAAGCCTTCCTTTTTTTATTTGTGAAGTTGAATGTCTTTGGTTCTTCTTGTTTTTACAGTGCAGAGAGAAATTCTCAGAGTCATTGTACAACTCAGTCGTTGATCAGTATAATGCGCTCAAATCTGCTATCTTTAGAGGTCGAGGAGCAGATTCATCGGACAGTGCCATCTCACTCTCACAACCATGGCGATGAAACTCCGCTTTCTCAGTTTTGTTCTGTACTGACCTGAGCTTCTTTCCCTTCTATTTTTTCTTTGTTGCACTGACGCATGGTGGCACCTACTATGTTCCGTTTACTGGGTTTTGAGTTCATTAAAGCCTTAACTCTTCTACTTCCTTACCGTGTTTTGATTTCATGGAGCCAGGTTCTAGTTGATCAGCATATACAGCAGACATCATAATAATTTCTATAGAAGCTTGCTATATACTCTCTCCATCCAAAAGTCTAAGACCTATTTCATTTTTTGGTTTTTCCAAAAGTCTAAGACCTATTTGTAATCTCTGTGTTAAATTAAATTGTTGACTGGAACCTAAGAAGCAATCTTAGTATTTATTGGTTACATGCATGTGTATAGTTCATTGGTTTTGTTACATGGTGGATGAGTTTCGGATGGAGTACAACTTACATTTAAAATAAAATCAGCTGAACATAGATATAGCTGGTACCATGCTAGAGCATACCTTGCATCATTGCATGTGGTTGCGCCACATAATGCACAATACACTTTGACTTAAAAAATCTTTGCACATGGTGATTCCTTGTTTCTGTACGATACATCTGGTTTTGTAGTTTATTAATTATTATTATGAAGCAAGCATTATAGCCGCAAGAAATTACCTTTTTTCATGTTTTTTTTCCTCATTTACTGCCTCCTGTGATGTACTGTTCCAAAGGTGATTTGCTCAACAACAGGAACTATCTGATGAATGACATAACAAATGTGCTACTCCTTTTATTTTTCAGGTCTGGATTTCTCAATGAAGTTACCTTCATTTCTTTTCGACACAGCAGATGAACTGCTGCCGACATTGCAATTTTTCCTGGCAGAACCTTTTAAACTTCGGTATCCTAACCCATACTAATCATGAAGGGGAGGCTGTTACTGTCATGCAAATCTTGTGAGTTATTGAAGGCCCTGGTCAGGTGGCTCTTCACGGTATCATTTGGTACACACTTGAGTTATATGTAGCAATAACTGATAAAATCCCTGTGATTGTTGACAGGCCTAGTATGATGATTTTACCCAGCTGAATCCCAGCCACACATGATGCGTTCGTTCATTGTTTGCACACAAATATTATTGCGTCATATGAGTATTCTTTGGGTCAGAACTGCACAGCAACGCGGCCTGGGCACTCAATCTGGCATGTTGTCTATGGGGTGCATGCTTGTTAACAGAAGAAGCCCAACATGTGGGATTTTGTTTTTTGCGGTTAATTTTTTTCCTGTTTTCCTTTTGTTCCATGTATATATATTCGATTTTGATCTCCAGGTTTGGAGATACAATGGTCAAAGTGTTATGATAGTCTCTTAGTTTGTTGCCTCGAAGTTATACTCGGGCGCAACATGTCTGACTGATATTCTGATGATGTTACTCGTTTCTGAACTTCCTGACGCCAATATGGTGCTTGGATGTTGATAAAATAGAGCTGCTGTCTTTAAGTTATTCATTTATGTTGTTTCTGGGGATAAATTACTAGTTCAGTGATCTAAAACTACTATTGCGAAATTGGTTGTTAACACTGTTGGCACCTTAGTGATGATCAATATATTATGACAAAGATGGGCTGTGTAGAACAGTGAAAATGTTGATATGCGAGGGTGACAGGAGAAATAACAAAAGGAGTAATAAATGAATGGGACTTGTAAGCTGGGTGCTGAAAAATAGATTGAGCAATAGAAAGCGTGTGAAGTTGAGAATCCAGGCCAAAGGCCATTACTGTCAAACAAGCGAGTCATTGGCTTTGAACCCGTCCGTCCCTGCGACCGCAAGCTCTGAATTCAAAGAGTTTTTTAGCTGAACTCTGAGTTCTGAAAAATGGGATTTTCTAAGGCTAAGGGTGGTGTTATATACGGAGTACAGGAGTATGTAATAACCATGTAATCAACTCAGATGTTGTAATAATCGTACTATACTCGTTCGCTATTTTGTGTATGTGCGAGATGTGAAAAATAAAATCCTTTTAGTATGTAAAATACTCACATATGCACACGACAGCTATTAGGACTCTCGAAATGTGTTACTACTACATTGTTATTGTAGATTTATATTTATTATATTAAGAAAACTGTTAGTGTTAGGGCTAAATTTAGAATGAAAACCCCAAACCTCAGTCATATTTATTAATCTTACAGTTAATCTGTAACATTTTTTTTTGCGGGGAAGTTAATCTGTCACATTAGACATAAATAAAATATTTGCGAAATGTGGAATTCAGATTATTTGATGATTACGATAATGATCTATCCAAGGAAAAACTCTTTTGGTGTCTTTGATGGAATTTGATTAAAAAACAAGGCAAAAATCCCTATGCATATTGGTGAGGTTTTAAGAAAGGAAAACCCTAATAAGATGTGGCATTGCCCTCCGTATGATTACTATTGGAATTTTATCTTATCTCTACTATTATAAAAATTGAAGATGTTTTTGCTAGTATTTTGGTATGTCATCCGTGTATCACAGTAGGTTTTTAAGTTCGTTTGTTTTTGGAAATACATATCCGTACTTGAGTCGGTTATTAAGATCGTTCACTTTTAGTAATACATAAGAAATCATATAAGAAATATGTTTAAAAAACTCGCATGCTAACCTGAGACGATCGGATTCCTAACTGCAGCTCATGATTTTATAAAAATATATATATCTAAGCAAACTCTCACAATAAATTTTATCTTAACTAAACCATATAATAATAGTAAGATTAAAATATATTTCACCCGTGTTGTAATGCACGGGTATTTTTTCTAGTTGATAATAATAACTGAAGTATTAGAGAACGTGAGGGTTTCCATAAAATCCAAAATCGATAATACTCCTACTTATACCAGTAACTTTTAGATAGATGCGAGGAAAGCAAAGAAGACTAGGCAAGGGGGAAATACAGAAGAAGGAATCCATCGACTACTAGTCGTCGTCCTCTTGCGTTGGAGTTGGGACCAAAGCGAAGGGAAAGTGGAACAGCGCTCGCGGGTTGCGCTTGCGCCGGCGAAGAAGCGCGGCGGACGCCAGGTTAGTCGCGCTCTTTCTTTGCCGATCATCTCATCCATCGCGCCTCATCTCCATCTCCATCTCCATCTCCTCCTACGAGGAGAGACATAGATAGACTCGTTCGAGATTAATTAATTACTGTTGCCCCCGGGTTCGAATGTTCGATCCAGGTTACTAATTACCGCTTAATCCATGCCCCCATATGATGCTAAGCCTAAAACCCTATCCCCAAATTTCCACTTCTCCTTTTCTTTGTTTAACCATCTCTACGATACTTGAGTTCATGCCATGTCTTGACGAGTAGGAGTAATTTCTTGGGTGCACCTGTATCATCTACTGTATTCTCTCAAAGAAAATCGCTCCGCTGCCCACATCTTGTATCTCTGTATTTGGGCAGACCACACAGACACAGTACACTCTTTCTAGTTGTATGTGTGCTGTAGTATTACACAAAGATCATGTCTATTATTTCAAGGCTCATCTATGAATTACACACTATATTCCTTTTTTTGGGGGTTAATAGATCGGAATTCATATTCTTCACTTTGTTCATCTACTTGCATGTTTCTCTTGTGTTGGCTAGCCTTGTCATAGCTCTAGTAGCACACGAGACAAATATTTTCTTCTTCATTACCTCATCTTGATGCGGCCTCTCTATGCTGCTGCAGATAAAGCCCTCCCTCCATTGACATCAACATGGGTGACAATCTGATGGATAAGGTCAATGCCTTGGGTGAGCGGCTCAAGGTAAGTGGGGCAGAAGTTAGCCGGAAGATGTCAGCTGGTGTCAGTAACATGAGTTTCAAGATGAAAGAATTCTTCCAAGGCCAGAACATGGCGGACAAGATAGTCGATGAGGCCACGCTGGAGACCATGGATGCTCCTGATTGGGCCACCAATCTTGAGATATGTGATATGGTTAACACTGGAAATGTCAACAGCATTGAGCTGATCCGTGCCATCAAGAGACGCATCATGTTGAAGAATCCACGAGTGCAATATCTTGCTCTTGTCCTCCTTGAGACCGTTGTGAAAAACTGCGAGAAGGCTTTCTCTGAGATTGCTGCTGAGCGGGTCCTTGATGAGATGGTAAAACTGATCGATGATCCACAGACTGTAGTCAACAACAGAAACAAGGCACTTATGCTTATTGAAGCATGGGGAGAGTCAGGAGATGAGCTCCGCTACCTTCCGGTGTATGAAGAGACTTACAAGGTACATAACAAGTAATGATTTCTGCTTACATCAATTTAGTGCACTTTAACCTGAAACAATAATGCTTATGAACGATCTACCAAGAACAAATGCAACTATTATTCTCCTTACGCATTTGGTGGATTATTCATATAAACTTGCTGCTTTTATATATTCGATAAAGAAATCTGATGTATGTCGATCGGACTTCATTCGTTGACCACATACATAGTTGTGTCTGAAAGGCTGAAGTAATCGTTACATCTGGACACTATTACTGTGGGTTTCTGTTAGCCAGGCTTATTCAGTTTACATTCAATATTCTTCGCAGAGCTTAAGATCAAGGGGAATTCGCTTTCCTGGGCGTGATGATGAGAGTCTGGCACCAATATTTACTCCTCCCCGTTCAGCACCTTCAGCTGAACCATATTCTGCTGCAGCACAGGAAGGGTATCAAGAAATTCCAGATGAAAGTTTTGCGCCAGTCCACGTTGTTCCTGCTGTGCAAGTCAATGAAGCTTTTGAGGTGGCTCGTAATAGCGTTGAACTTCTTTCCACGGTGCTTTCTTCTTCTCCACAAAAAGAGGCTCTCAAGGTGAGCCTGCTCTCTCTCTTTTTTCCCCTTGATAAATGGTCATCTGAGTTTGGTAAATTATATATATACATCTAAGTTTTGGTTTGTAGCAATATCTGAAGTTAACTTACAGTTACTGGATAACATTACTCTACCATATGTTAATTTTATAGGCCTTCCATCCAATAAATAAAATTGCTAGTGTTCTGTTATCGTGTTAGTGTTCTAAACTTCTGGTTGCACCTCAAATGCATGCAGGATGACCTGACTACCACCCTGGTTCAGCAATGCCAACAGTGTCAGCGCACCATCCAGAGAATCATTGAGACGGCTGGTGACAACGAGGCTCAGCTCTTTGAGGCATTGAGTGTCCACGATGAACTTGAGAAGGTTCTCTCCAAGTATAAAGAACTCAAGGAACCTGTTGTTGCAGAGCCTGAGGCAGAGCCAGCCATGATTCCAGTCACCGTGGAGCCAGAGAACTCCCCCCGCACTAAAGATGGCACTGTAGGGAAGCGAGCAGGTTCTGGTGCTGATGAGTTGCTTCAGGATCTTGACGACATGATATTTGGCAAGAAGGGCGGCACCTCATCTCAGCAGGACAGGAAGGAACAAAAGGACGATTTCATCAGTTTCTGACCACCAGATCCAGATACAGCAGGGCCGCAGGGAGACACTTGATATGGATTTGTGTGATATGCCCATCTTGCTTGAATGTATCCCAGGGATTTTGTTTGGTTTAATGTCTTGGGCATGACTAGTTTCTTGCTGTACAGGAATAGATAGATGTAGCAGTCCCCCTTACTGTGTCAAGCCAGTCAGATTTTGGCTCATGACTACTATCAGTGTCAGAGGTTTCATTACTTGCTGTACGCTCGGTGAAGGGTTTGATGCTGAGTTTTTTTATGGTACATTCTACTGCTAGTATATACTACCAGTATATTTGATTTGACGGTGTAAATTTATCTGATTTCCCTCCTAATTATACTGCAGTATAAATTGAATAGGGTATATTTGTCTTTTTATCTTTTTTCATGGGGGGTATTTTTGTAAATTAACACGAGCTCACTTAGTCAGATCCGTTTCACATTTCACCGCATCGACTCAAACCGAATCCGCTCGGCTCGCATGGGCGACCGCCACCGCTGTCTTCTGTCGGCGCCGCCCTCGCCGTCGACAGCCACAGTCGCTGCCGCCACCGGGAGCCAAAATCGGCGCCGCCGCCATCGAAATCGATTCGATTTCTCTCCTTTCCTCCTCTCGTGTATTTTCCGGCCACCGAAAACCCTATCTCTTCCAAAAAAATCCCCAAATCGGCGCCGGCTGCTGGGTCTACGGGAGGTCGCCGGCTGCTGGGTCTACGGGAGGGCGAGGCCTGCTGGGGACCTTGACTGCCGCATCGGCAGGGGCAGCCGGCCGGCGGTAGGTGGCAGCGGCAGGGCAGCATGCCGCAGCAGCAGCAGGCCATGGCTGTCGCGAGGCAGACCCTCTTGTTGCATGCTATGGCTCTGGCTCTAGCTATGTCACAGCGTGAACAGGCCCTATACCGAAGCTGCCGATGGAAGAAAGCAATGTCATAGCTGCAGCACAACAGAGGTACATTTTTTTTGAGAATTTCAGAACATTCCAAATAGAAAGGTTTAAATTTATTATTGAACTTGCAGTTGTGTAATTGTTTGTGGAGTTTTGATTAGTCTAAAATAACACCGCTGATACTAGAGTATGTTGCACAAAATGGTACACGCTCAATTGCTCTGGACAGACTATTGAAAATACTAACTCCTTATATTAAAGGAATTAGAACAAAGTCATTGATTTCGACTAGTATCTTGGAAGGTGTAACATCCATTAGTTTATCTTTTTATCCTTCTTCTGAGCACCCCCCAAAATTGCAGCTAACTTCCTTCTAAAATATTTTATATCTTCCTGCAAAATTCATAAAGGTATTTGTTAGATAGAAACAATCAATTGAGGACTTGTAAAGAAGATGCAAAAATATTTAGTGCATCTTACATGCGTGTATTCCTTCGACAACCTATTGCCTTGCCAGTGCTCCATGTTTTTTAGTACAAAGAGCCCACATGAGACGCTGGAAGAATTGAATTATATTAGAGAAGTGATAACATACATTTAGGTAGTGAAAAAAACTATTATTGTAGTGGCTGCATAACATACAGATCTCCTTGTAATGGCAAATTCTGTATGACCGTGACTTCCCAGGAAGTAATATGATGGTCAGGCCATTGTGTTGCTATGTGCTTTTCTTCTGGTTCCAACAGCTGAAAATATTGTTGTAATCCTTCTAGCTGTTTTGTGAGAAAACGTCATTACTGCGGTATGTTCATGTCCTTTTTGGTTTATTTCTAAGTAGAATACTTACAACTTTTCTTAGTTCCTTGCGTTGTGTGGATGAATTCGCCATGGAGTCAAGCACTTGGATGATGCGGCGTTTGGCGTGTATGACTGCCAGGTACCGATGTTTTTCTTTTATGTTCATGGGGAGGAAAATCTGTACAAAGAAATCATTTGTAGGATATATTAGTAGTATAAACTTGCTGAAAATTTGATAGTATTGTGGCATAAATATTACCATATCATGCTTTAGATATCTATTTGCCGTTGCTTTAGCCATTGCCCGATCGATGATGTCTTTGGAAACATAGTGTTCGCCATCTCTTTGTAGCAACCTTGTTATTAACGGTTTCTCTAGGAACACCGTACCTTCTGCCCTAGTCCCTGTACCTTCCTTCATATCTTTCTCACGTAGACAAGTAACGTATGCATCGATTATTTAAAAGTAGAGGAAAATGGCAGGTTATGATTGTGCTAGTAGTTGCATGAGAGAATAGTTTCACGGGTTAGTAAACTTACGTGATCATCCAAATAGCTCGTACTTGATTCAGTCACTGGATTAGTCAGAATTTGCATTGTTTTTTGGGAAATTGAGACATCATCGATATGCACCACTAGTTGTGATTCTGGTGCACTCATTATACTTTTAATGGTTTCCTCATCTTCTGCGGTGCACTTGAACTCTGCCATTGAAGTTAAATCTGTAAGTGAACTGCAACACAAAAATTAAGCAGAGTAGGATGTGATGATAATTATAGGACTTTTACCATTGGATATTAAATTCTTTGCTTGCGCATTCTTTGGTTTCTTCTTTGTAGCCCCTAAATTGTAGATGAAATCAGAATTTGATTTAATTGTTGATTTACGCAATCTTCATGTTGATCCTGAAAGTGACTTGGCAATGACGGGCGTTTGAGTTGGTGGGTTTGGTTTCTGCTATTCAATTGGCATTTTAAAAATAATTAGTATTAAATTTGACAGACACTGAAGAAGTAAGATGTTGTCTTACCTTTTTTTTAATTATATGTGTTTCTTTGTCGAAACTTTTGCAAACATTTGGCTTAGAGTTCTTGGAAGTTGGTATTGTCTTTTCCTCTTTGAATGCAGCTATTATGTTGGTGAGTGATTGAATTTGGTTATGCATGGACTGTTGATTCTGCTTCATCTCCTTCATCTCCTTTCCTTGCTCTTCTATCAGCATGATTAGTTTTCGGGTCAGTGACTCAGTTTCTGGCCTATCCTGCATAATATGTGTTTGTTAAGTTTTGAGACATATGCTGTTGTAATTCAAATAAATAGTAACAAAAGTATAATTTTTTGACTACCTTGTGTGAAGTGGCATGTGTTGTGCTGTCGACGCGTTTTTCTGATGTTTTTATGTCGCTGTCACTTGGTATGTCTTGGACATTCTATGATGAAATGACATTTTTAATGGATATTAAACCATGCGTTGTGATGTATAATTAATGCAAGTACAATTAAATGAAACGATTACCTTATCAGTATGGATGCATGACTCTGATTGTTTGCTCTTCTTGCTGTCACTCGTTATGTCTTGGACATCCTACGATGAAATATCATATGTAATGGATATTAAACCTTGCGTAGTGATGTATAATTGAATGTAAGTACAGATGAATTATTTGATTACCTTATCAGTAGGGATGCATGATTCTGATTGTTTGCTCTCCTCGCTGTCTCTTGTAATGTCTTGGACATTCTATGATGAAATATCATATTTAATGGATATTAAACCATGTGTTGTGATGTATAATTCAAAGTACGTAGAGATGAATAAAATGATTACCTTATCTTTTTGGATTTGTGAGGATTTGGAGCATTCTATAGCAAGTGTGATGTCGTCAACAATCTAGTACATAATAACTCATTCACGTTAGCTGGTCCAAAATAGTGCTCGTACATCATGCTTATCCATAAGTTATTTTCATTGAATCCATACTTCGCTTTATACTCAACCCAACATCTCTCAAAGTCATCAACATCCATAGCATCATAAAGGAATTTCTTAAAATCTGCAAGCTTTTGCCGACGGAGGTGACGTTTCATGTTCTCCTCAATGTGCCAACTACACAATCTATGATCAGTATTGGGCATAACCTTCCTAATTGCCTTCGCCATTGATGCATCCCCATCAGTGATCAATGATTTCGGATGTTTTTGGTGCATTGCCTCCAAAAGAGTTTGCAGCAGCCAAACATATGAAGAAACAGACTCATTTGACAATATACCACACCCAAAAATAACTGTACTTCGATGATGGTTAGCTCCAACAAAAGGAACAAATGGAAGATTGTACCGGTTCACACGGTATGTACTATCAAATATTACCACGTCACTGAATGCTTCATAGTCAAGCTGGGATTGACTGTCGGCCCAAAATAAATTCCTCAGACGACCCTTTTCATCTATACTGTATCTAAAGAAAAAATCTGGGTCTTGTTCTTGCTGAGCCATCAGATGGTTCACCACGAGATCAGCGTCCCTACCTTCAATTCTCTTCTTCTTGTACCGGGCAAAAAAATTGTACAAGTCTCGCGTTACGAACCCAACCTTATCATACCCACCATTATTATTCTCCATTACTTCCATTATTTGACATGTTCGAAGCCCGCCAACTCCAAGCTCCACGGCCTCAGCTTTTTGAGCATCATTTACCTCACGATGAGATCTTAAGAAAGCTACCAGGTCAAGGTTAGCAAGTCTATGTGAATGTCTAGCTTCAAAACCTGATACAAACCACATTCCTGTCTCTCCATTGAGCTCAATTTCAAGCATTGCCTTACACCCACAGCGGGTCAACGCACGTGGCTCCCTTTTCCTATTGGTTCTCTCAAAGTTCTTCAACGTCCTGTAACCTTCACATGAGCAATAAAATCGCCTCCAGAACACTAGCTCGGTACCACTAAATCGCTTCACTTTGTCCCTTCTAATGCTAAAACCTTTACACCTTGCATATTCATTGTAAAACTTGTAACCATCTTCCTCGCTTCTAAAAAGCTTACTAGCAACCATGTTATACTCCTCCATCTCCTCCAAGCTAACTTCGTCCTCGTCCATTGTGCAACACTGTTAATACACAGTAAAAATACACAAAGAGAAGAACCATATCAGCATAATTAAAATATAGGTTAACATCTTGCGTTTCATACATCACTAACAAAAATCTTTACAAATTTGCAAGTCTTCACATAAATCAAGTATCTACAAAGATGAGATTTTTCACACACAGATCACAACACAATTCGAAAATTGCATGTAAGAATAATGATAAAAGTGATACAACTTTGCGAAAAACATCCTGCAAATTACAAAGTAATAAAGGCTTGATAGACTGTTGGCAAATATTAAAACAAATGATTTATGATAACCTGTGATATAAACGTTCGATGGAACCAGCTTTATTACATATATGGATAATACCTTAATTTAAACCAAATTTAAGTTGCAAAATTTGCACCTCTGCTACATTAATTTTACATAGCACACTCATCTAGCTATATACCTAGGATTAATGCGATTCTAGTTGCAGAATGCAGATTTTCATCCTACTTGTCTCATCAAATACAACCTAGTGTTCTAAGGCAGATCGTCCAAAACAAAGTCAATCAACAAGATAAAATCTCACCTCTTTTTCATAATGAGATAGTAAATTTTCATATCGACATTAAGGTTAAGCACAACAAAAATTGCAGAACAAAACAACCATTGCATAAATTAATCAATACAATAGTACCAAATTTAGGTCAGCTTCTTACCAGGAGCACTCCAGTGGCTGCAGGGCAGGCAGGGCAACCAGGACGGAGATGGGAGGCGTGGGGAGGCTGCCGGCTCGACGAGTGCACTCTCACCGCCGTGGTTTGGGCAAAGCACAAGCTGTGGGAGGTCGGATGCGGGAGAGAATAGGCTAGGGCTGGAGGCAAGGCGCCGGGGCGAGGGAGACACCGGGCGCGTGGAGGTTCGGCTTCTCTCGGCGCCGGAGGAATCGGTACGGAGGCATCGGCGCGGGAGCGATGTGCGCCAGGGGCAGCGACGCCGGAGACGCGAGAGGCATCGGCGCGGGAGCGATGTGCACCAGGGGCAGCGACGCCGGAGACGCGAGATGTGACGAGAAGAAACAGATGACGACATCCCCAGGAAAAACTAACGAAGGAAAATTAATCCGGCTGAAATTAATTCTCTAATTTAAATGACCAAAAAGCCCTTTTCAGACTCTTACCTAATACCAAAATTACCCTTGTATATACTGCTAGTATATACTAGCAGTAGAATGTACCGTAAAAGTCCTCTTGATCCTGAGGCTTTTATATTGGCATGACTAGGTGCTGATTTTTGCGAATACATATAAGATTGGTATCAGGAATAACTGAGTAATCTGGTTTATATACAACTATTGATTTGTCAGGTTATAACCTTTTGTCTGAACTGTTGTATCAGATATATATCCAGAATAAGGTAGGTCCTTTGTCTTTATAAAAAACCTGGATAAATTAGCTAGCTGAAAGCAAGATTGATCGTGCATGCAAGTTAAGAGGGAACATGCGGAGTCAGTCTAGTAATGCTATGGCATGATGAGCACAATCAGTGAACCCATCAGCTTGTTAATATCCATCCATGGGTTGGATTTTGGATGGAGTTGACCTCTGGAAGGTCGTCTGAAGAAAGTCGAAAACCAATAACACCACCACTGAAGTAGTAATCAAGTTGACAGGGTCGAGCGGCTGGATTTACTGTTTGTTTTGGACTAACTAAACTTATTTATAGCAGCGAAGAAGGATAAGAAATTTATTTGGAAATGGTTTGAAAGAGTAGAGAGAGGGAGACACATGTCATGCCTGACCTCGAACTTTCACAAAAAAGTCATCTCCCGCCCCCTTGAAGGGACACTAGTTTATTGATTGATTGGTCAGAAGATAATTTGGCATCAAATGCTTGTATGCATGTATCTGCGCATGTTGTCATACAAATACAGTAGTATACAATAGGGAGGTTGGATTGCGTCGCGTGGCATTATTTTGGTTTTTGACAGACAGACATTTCAAGACCGACCGGGAGGGAGGTAGTCGCGAGCACGACGATCTTGATTTGGATTCCTTGTGTTGTTGTGTGTGAGTATGAAGTCTGACTGACCACGAATCCATTCACGATGGGGGGAAAACAGCAGCAATTTCCAAGAAATCTGCATGGCTTTGCTTGCAGTGGCAATCGACACGAGCGAGACCGATAATCCCATCGTGCGCGCCACCAACTAAACTCAACCGATGATGGAACAACTAAGAAGAATTAAGGAAGCAAACGATCGAGCAGGAGGGAGGCCATGAAGGGAGCACCAACACACGCTTGCTGCCTTTGGACCTTCAAATAACACTACGCCCTCTGATTTCTTTCGACATCTCTCCTCTTCTCTTGCACTGCGGCTTCCACTGAATTCTTTCTTTCTTGGACCTATCTGCTGTTTCTCTCTCTCAGACTACCCAAATTAAACTCGTCCACCTGCAATGCATTGCCCCACCTGAAGAGGACCAACAGGTATCGATTGATTCTTCTTCTTCTTCACCTGATTTGTTCATGTTTTGGTCGATCAATTGCCACTACAAATTAAACTAGCTTGATACTGTATGTAATGTTAGTAATCCTCGATCGATTCTCAGGGGGCTATTATAATGTTGCATGCAAAATAGGAATGTACCAATTCGGCCAGTAAATTACTGCAAGTTTTCAACCCGCCTGCATCTAATTTGTTTCCATTTCCATTTAAGAAGCAGAGTCACATTTTTCCTATTATTAGGACTGATGATTTTGGATCGCCATTACTGGGGTCGGGTCAAAGCCACCCAAAATATGCTTGATGCCTGAATTGCTGATGCTTGATTCAATTCATTCCTATTCATATTTTCTAGCTAGCTAGCTGCATCACGTTGATCGGCGGCGAGACAAGCTAGCTAGCTATACTCTCTTCTTGTTGTTGTTACCAATACCATACCAACACAAGAGAAGAGAGAAACATAGCAGAGCAGGGGAGCTAGGTGTTCGATCATGGCGTCGAAGGGCATCCTCAAGAACGGCGGTAAGCCGCCGACGGCGCCATCGTCGGCGGCGCCCACGGTGGTGTTCGGTCGGCGGACGGACTCGGGGCGATTCATCAGCTACTCCCGCGACGACCTTGACTCGGAGATCAGCAGCGTGGACTTCCAGGACTACCACGTCCACATCCCCATGACGCCGGACAACCAGCCCATGGACCCTGCCGCCGGCGACGAGCAGCAGTACGTGTCCAGCTCGCTCTTCACCGGCGGGTTCAACAGCGTGACACGCGCGCACGTGATGGAGAAGCAGGCGTCGTCGGCGAGGGCGACGGTGTCGGCGTGCATGGTGCAGGGGTGCGGGTCCAAGATCATGCGCAACGGGCGCGGCGCCGACATCCTCCCCTGCGAGTGCGACTTCAAGATCTGCGTGGACTGCTTCACCGACGCCGTCAAGGGCGGCGGCGGCGTGTGCCCGGGGTGCAAGGAGCCGTACAAGCACGCGGAGTGGGAGGAGGTGGTGTCGGCGTCCAACCACGACGCCATCAACAGGGCGCTGTCGCTGCCGCACGGGCACGGGCATGGCCCCAAGATGGAGAGGCGGCTGTCGCTGGTGAAGCAGAACGGGGGGGCGCCCGGCGAGTTCGACCACAACCGCTGGCTCTTCGAGACCAAGGGCACCTACGGCTACGGCAACGCAATCTGGCCCGAGGACGACGGCGTGGCGGGGCACCCCAAGGAGCTGATGAGCAAGCCATGGCGGCCGCTGACCCGCAAGCTCCGGATCCAGGCGGCGGTGATCAGCCCGTACAGGCTGCTGGTCCTGATCCGGCTGGTGGCGCTGGGGTTGTTCCTGATGTGGCGCATCAAGCACCAGAACGAGGACGCCATCTGGCTGTGGGGGATGTCCATCGTGTGCGAGCTGTGGTTCGCCTTGTCGTGGGTGCTGGACCAGCTGCCCAAGCTGTGCCCCATCAACCGCGCCACCGACCTGAGCGTGCTCAAGGACAAGTTCGAGACGCCCACGCCGAGCAACCCCACCGGCAAGTCCGACCTCCCCGGGATCGACATCTTCGTCTCCACCGCCGACCCGGAGAAGGAGCCCGTGCTGGTGACGGCCAACACCATCCTCTCCATCCTGGCCGCCGACTACCCCGTCGACAAGTTGGCGTGCTACGTGTCCGACGACGGCGGGGCGCTGCTGACGTTCGAGGCCATGGCGGAGGCGGCGAGCTTCGCCAACCTGTGGGTGCCATTCTGCCGGAAGCACGAGATCGAGCCGAGGAACCCCGACAGCTACTTCAACCTCAAGAGGGACCCGTTCAAGAACAAGGTGAAGGGCGACTTCGTCAAGGACAGGCGGCGGGTGAAGCGGGAGTACGACGAGTTCAAGGTCCGCGTCAATGGCCTCCCCGACGCCATCCGCCGCCGCTCCGACGCGTACCACGCCCGCGAGGAGATCCAGGCCATGAACCTGCAGCGGGAGAAGATGAAGGCCGGCGGCGACGAGCAGCAGCTGGAGCCGATAAAGATCCCCAAGGCGACGTGGATGGCGGACGGCACGCACTGGCCGGGGACGTGGCTGCAGGCGTCGCCGGAGCACGCGAGGGGCGACCACGCGGGGATCATACAGGTGATGCTAAAGCCTCCCAGTCCCAGTCCCAGCAGCAGCGGCGGCGACATGGAAAAGAGGGTGGATTTGTCGGGCGTGGACACCCGGCTGCCGATGCTGGTGTACGTGTCGCGGGAGAAGCGGCCGGGGTACGACCACAACAAGAAGGCGGGCGCCATGAACGCGCTGGTGCGGGCGTCGGCGATCATGTCCAACGGGCCGTTCATCCTCAACCTGGACTGCGACCACTACGTGTACAACTCCAAGGCGTTCCGGGAGGGGATGTGCTTCATGATGGACCGCGGCGGCGACCGCCTCTGCTACGTCCAGTTCCCGCAGCGCTTCGAGGGCATCGACCCCTCCGACCGCTACGCCAACCACAACACCGTCTTCTTCGACGTCAACATGCGCGCCCTCGATGGCCTCCAGGGCCCCGTCTATGTCGGAACTGGCTGCCTCTTCCGCCGCATCGCGCTCTACGGCTTCGACCCGCCCAGGTCCAAGGACCACACCACCCCGTGGTCCTGCTGCCTGCCACGTCGCCGCCGAACAAGATCCCAGCCCCAGCCCCAGGAGGAGGAGGAGGAGACGATGGCCCTCCGCATGGACATGGACGGCGCGATGAACATGGCGAGCTTCCCCAAGAAGTTCGGCAACTCGAGCTTCCTGATCGACTCCATCCCGGTGGCGGAGTTCCAGGGACGGCCGCTGGCGGACCACCCGTCGGTGAAGAACGGGCGGCCGCCGGGGGCGCTGACGATCCCGCGGGAGACGCTGGACGCGTCGATCGTGGCGGAGGCGATCAGCGTGGTGTCGTGCTGGTACGAGGAGAAGACGGAGTGGGGGACGAGGGTGGGTTGGATATACGGGTCGGTGACGGAGGACGTGGTCACCGGCTACCGCATGCACAACCGGGGGTGGAAGTCCGTCTACTGCGTCACCCACCGCGACGCCTTCCGCGGCACCGCCCCCATCAACCTCACCGACCGCCTCCACCAGGTCCTCCGATGGGCCACTGGCTCCGTCGAGATCTTCTTCTCACGCAACAACGCACTCTTCGCTTCCTCAAAGATGAAGGTACCTAGCTTGCTATTCGATCGATTATTTTTCTTCTTCTTCTTCTTCCGCTGCCGCCAAACAAACAATTATCCATTGCATTTGCAGGTTCTCCAGCGCATCGCTTACCTCAACGTTGGCATCTACCCCTTCACCTCCGTCTTCCTCATCGTCTACTGCTTCCTCCCGGCGCTCTCCCTCTTCTCGGGGCAGTTCATCGTGCAGACGCTCAACGTCACCTTCCTCACCTACCTGCTCATCATCACCATCACGCTCTGCCTCCTGGCCATGCTGGAGATCAAGTGGTCCGGCATCGCGCTGGAGGAGTGGTGGCGGAACGAGCAGTTCTGGCTCATCGGCGGAACCAGCGCCCACCTCGCCGCCGTCCTGCAGGGCCTTCTCAAGGTCATCGCCGGCATCGAGATCTCCTTCACCCTCACCTCCAAGCAGCTCGGCGACGACGTCGACGACGAGTTCGCCGAGCTCTACGCGGTCAAGTGGACGTCCCTCATGATACCGCCGCTCACCATCATAATGATCAACCTCGTCGCCATCGCCGTCGGCTTCAGCCGCACCATCTACAGCACCATCCCGCAGTGGAGCAAGCTTCTCGGTGGAGTCTTCTTCAGCTTCTGGGTCCTCGCGCATCTCTACCCCTTCGCCAAGGGCCTCATGGGCAGGAGGGGAAGGACACCCACCATCGTCTACGTCTGGTCTGGCCTCGTCGCCATCACCATCTCCTTGCTCTGGATTGCAATCAAGCCTCCTTCTGCACAAGCCAACTCACAGCTAGGAGGATCCTTCTCTTTCCCCTGATATACATATATTCTCATTCCACACACCCAATCCAGACTACCTGTCTCTCTGCTATCTGCTTGCTTAGGATTCATTCATATGCTAGCTGGTCGATCGAGCTACCGCAGCCTAGGGAACATGATCATATCACCCACAGTCTGTTTGCTTCATGGAGCAAACTGCACTTCACCCCAGTCCAGATCTGCTTCTTCACAGTGAGTGAGATCACTATTTTTGCTTGTTTGTGATTTTTTTTTCTAAAATTGTTTAGAGCTCATTGTCATTTGAATGGCATTCCTAGAAAAGGGAGAAAGAAAAGACACTTGACATCAACACAGGTGTAATACATTGTTACTAGAGAATCGGCAATATAATGTTACTAGAGTATCCAAGCTCGGAACTTGGAACCTGTTCCTATTAAGTCTGTAAAAAGAAACCACACGTTTGACAATATTTCTTCTATTTTTGTCAAAAAGGTTGAGGAACAAAGTAAACTAAGACCATGGCCGATGGAAGCTATACCCTCATGAAAAAGGAGATGCCAAGTGGGATGAAATCACACTTGTTACATAAGCCACAGCTCTATCTTATTTTTGCATTTCAGCACCTGTCAGTCGATTACATTTTCCATTTAAATCCTCAGATTTTCTATTCATATATAAGTCCAATATTTGTAGTACGCCCCCCAAAAATCACAAACATATATAAAGGCTCACCCCGTCCCTCCTCCCCGTCTTCCTCCGCCTCCCCTTCCCTTTCTCCGGTGACGCCACCTTCCCTTTCTCCGGCGACGCCACCTCTCCCCTCTCTCTCTCTTCGGCGACACCGCTAAGAAGGCGGGCGGAGGTGGGGATCAACGTGGCAATGGCGGATCGAGGCGGCAGAGGTGGGGATCGACACGGCAATGCTCGGTGTGGCCGAGTAGCAGGACCGGCGGTGGCCGTTGGTGGCAGATCGGGTAGTCGGTGGTTGGCGGAGCTTCCCGGGTAGGCCCTTCTTCTCCCCCATTCACTCCCTCGCCATCTTCTTCCCCGATGCGGGAGTTAGTTGACCGCAACGGCTTAGGTTTTGTACCCTGCCATAAAGAAGAGGTCAGAAATCATGAGTTGAATTGATGGCATAATCAATGTACAAAATTAGAAAGAAGAAACCTTAAGATTCAATCCTTATCGAAACAAAGACCTATAAGTTTAGCAGGGATTTGTTCATAGTGAGTGTTAACGTGGCAGTTCCTTTTGAGCATTTCTTACAGTAATCTCGGTATAGGTCCAGCAATATAAGCATTAGATTCTTTCTGACAGTCAGAGATACATAAAACAAAAGTTTAAGTGAGGCACTGTATAGAACCTGCAGTAGCGAGAAATAACAACAGTTTGTGGCTTCTCTGCTGCCTGCAATATCAGCTCAGAAGGAACTGATCTTAGATTTGATTTGGCCCTAAATTGCAGGATGCAAAACCAGCTTGCATTCTAACTTTGACATCAAAATCCAATAACCTCTCTTCAAGTGATGCTGCCAAATAAATCAAAACTTCAGCATGAAGATGCCAATATAGAACTCTGAACAAAAGAACAGATAAAAAGAAGCAGCCTTACTAAGAATATCTTTTTTTTCATTTCCTGATGTCACGGCCATGTAACAGGCTTTTGCTGCATCACGTGCAAAAACTCTTACTCTGCAGATATGTCAGATAATCTCTTAAAAAATTCCATTAAAACTAGTTGGTTTTCTTGACCAAAATAAAGATGAGATACAAGCCCCCAAATCAGGGGAACTGCCTCCAACCGGATATCTGGTCACTCTAAGCAAGCAGAGAGTACGTAATTACAGAATACCTGAGTGCAGCACATTTTCCAATAGCAAGATCTTCTTGGAAGATATGGACTGTTTGTTTCAGCAAGGTGTGCAAATGTGCTGATAAAGAGCCTAAACATCTCTCCTGAGAAAAAGGAGTTAAAAAGTGTAATGAGAGTGTGGTCCTTGTTCAAATTTTCTGCCACTAAATATAATTGCTAAAGTTCAAACATTATTAATATTTCAGAAATCCTGTTCAAAAATGGTCATCAGGTATCAGTATGTCAGTAATGGAAACAGTCGAAGAAATCAGTAATACCCAATCATCCGTGTCAAAGGTGGATCAGGTTAGATACCTTAAATATTTCATCACTAAAAGGTGGATCAGGTGCAAGGACCTGCATAACTTCAATAAAGCAAGCTGGAACGAAAAGTTTGACATTCTTTTCTTATGGTCAAGTAAAGTGATCTTGACCAGAGATTTACTCCAAGGATGTAGTCATGTAGAGCCTCCTCCGGAGAGGATTGGATCAACTCTGATAAAGCAATTTCAGCTTGCTGCAGACAATATCAGAAGCAGTTATAGAAGTACAGAATAAATATATTCAGAGAAAAGATAATGCAAAGAAACAGTTGGTCAGCAACAAATTATAAAGCCAAGAACATCAATTCATATTACTTGAACTTATCGTCGTTAAAGTGATGCCAGTTAAGTATTTGCATGTTCATCGCAAGCTCTATGGCTACTTCAAAATCGCAGGAAGATCAAGTTAAGCCACCGAGTCCTCTATGGTTCCACTGTATGCCATTTAGAATATTCCTACAGCAAAACTAATTTCAACAATAAGGAAAAAATTCCTTACTAATCAATTTACCATAAGTATCATATATCCTCAGTTCTCCACTGAGTTGACACTAAATCCATAAGTCAGATACTTACTCTGACAAGCTCTATTGACTAAAACAGTTGGTATGGACAAATGAAAAAAACATACAAGGCAAAATAAAAAAAAATCCCATATGCAATTTTTGGTTGTTTGAATATTAGACATGTAAATGTTTGATCTACATAAATAATCATCCTTACAGACACCATCTCCACACAAACTCTGCTCCAATCATTTGACAACCCCCTAATGTAGATAATCAAAGGGTTTGTTAAATACGAATTCCATCTGAGCTTTTGTTATCAGTATACATATACGAGGTTCAGTACTGAAGTTTGTATATTTTCCTTCTATATCGGAGATGATTTCCTGAATTATTTGAAAGGTTATTGAAATCATCTGTTTATTCTCTCTAACACAAATAAGATTGTTTTTTACTGAAAGAAAACCATTCAGCACGTATAGCAGTGTCAAGCCTTGGAGCTGATTGCTAGTGTTCATTCTTTTTGACATGTGGAACAAAACTTTGAACTCCCGCCAAATGATAAAAAATGGTCAAGTTACAAAACATAAATTCATAAAGATGTAGTTTACAGGCTGTTCAGGTCAAACCATGGACGGAGGCAAGCCTAGAGCAGATAGAGCTTGAGCCCTAAGCTTGCCTCCATAATAATGTTTAAATCATCTTAAATCACAATGTAAATTTTGGAGAAAAACAATAACCCATTAGTTCAGCCCTAGCTGAGCCTATGTGGCAGGACACAAAAAGCAGGTAAGTCTTTCTTTTTAATTTATTACTTGCAGATTTTTTTTGCATTTCTGTGTGTCTCAGCACTGAGTGAGAATTGTGACCAATGTTCTATAGCAAAGATAAGATGAATGCAATAGGAGGGATCTTGTTTCTTTCTTGCAATCAAATCCTTCTTTTTAAATAAGAATGTACTAAGTGGTGATATCACAGGGAAAGAGAAAGTATATACCAACATAATGGCGGGGGGCATGTAATTGAGCAGCCTTTCAGTGGCCATGGTAGGTATTTGTTAGATAGGCAATGGAGGGAGATAAATCATTGAAGATTTCACCAACCTTTAATAGTGTGTATCTGTATTTAATTATGCACCACCAAACTGAAGATGTACAGAAGCAGCATGGCTGTTTAGTTGAAAATTGACTATGAAGCTGAGCATGCAAGCAGATCATTAGTTGAGTCGGAATGATCATTTTCAGCAATGTTAGCATCCTCCAGAACATACTCATGGCCCATGGACTGAGAAATCAATGAGGAAGTTTTGGCACTAAGTTCCATGCCTAGATTAACCATTTCTCTTACCAAAGCAGTGGCTGAACTAATATGCTGCAACTTGATTAAGAACACAACCAGAATATTGTATGAGATACTATCCATCTCCACATCAGAACATTCCATTTCTCTTAAAAACCACTTGAGTGCATGTGTATCCCTGGTTCTACAAAGTCCACGAAGCATTATGTTGTATGTGCAAGTGTTGGAAGCCATTCCTGAACGCTTCATTTTGTCAAACAACATGCAAGCCTCTTCAATCAAATGAGCTTGTAGAAGGCCATGTAGAACAACAGTGTAGCACACAGCGTCGAGAGCATAATTTTGACGTACAGCCTCATTCAAAATCATTAGCGCCATACGGTTGTGGCCCTTTTTAACAAGGCCACAGAGGATTGCAGCATGAACATAAGCGTTTGAATCAGGATCACTTGAAACAATACTGTGGTAGACATTGATTGCATGGTCAATCCTTCCCAACTGGCACAGACTGTCCAAAAGACCAACATAACTGTAGCTGTCAGGCCTGATGTCACACTTAATCATATTGATGAAGAACTGCACGGCTTGAGATGGAAATCCAGATTTGCGCAGAGCATTCAGCACAGAATTGCAGGCCACGAGATCATAAGGGATATCAGCTGAGTCCAGAAATAACCTAGGAAGAAGGCTTACATTCCGTGACAAATGCAACGCGCGGACTAAAGTAGATAAAGTGTATGCATCTGGCTTCATCTGGCTCTCGTGAAGATTTAAGTAAACGCCTAGGGCTGCATCATATCTCTTATCCTTGGTCATGCAGTCCATGAGAACATTATGGAGAACAAGATCTGGGCTGCAATTGGTGGATGACATGGATGCGAAAAGCTCAGTGGCAATGTCATGCCTTCCAGCACGATAGAGAGCTCTGACGATCGGCGTGTAGGTGACAACTGTGGGAGGAGAACCAGAAGCCAGCATCTTTGCCAGCATCCTGATAGCCTCATCTAGTTTTCCCTCGCGGCACAAACGAGCGATGAGACATGTCCACATGGCCGAAGTGAGCTGATATCCCGATACAAGTGTGAAGCCCAGAAGCTGCAGTAGCTCGGACGTGGCAGCAAGTTTAGTGCAGCAGGCAAAAACCGCATTGAGAGAGGCGGCGCTGGGGAGAAAACCCTGGTGCAGCATGGCTAAGAAGCAGGCCCGCACCCCTGGCCAGTTCCCGGACCTGCAAAGGTGGGTGAGGAGGATGGCGTAGGTAAGGTAGTTGGGCGAGGGATTGTCCCGTAGGAAGCAGAGCGCGGAGTGGTGGTGGCGCGTCCTGAGGAGGACGTCAAGGACGACGTTGCGAGCGAAGGCGTTGGGGTGGAAGCCCCAGAGGGGCATTTGGTCGAACAGCTGGAGCACGAGCGGGTAGATGCCCCCGCGCCAGTAGAGCCTGAGCAAGAGGAGGAAGGTGTGGGGGCGGATGGGGCAGCCGAGGGCGCGGAGCTGGTGAAGGATGGCGGGGGCGGTGCGGAGGCGGGAGGCGAGGCGGGCGGCAGCGGGGAGGAGGCGGTCGAAGGAGGAGGGAGGGTGGAAGTAGGCGGGGCAGCGGGCGCACCAGAGGAAGAAGGTGATGGCGAGGGCGTCGGAGGGACATCGGGAGACGGTGGCGTCGACGAGCCTTGGAGAGAGGCGCGGCGGCGGCGGCGGTGGGTGGGACCTGGGCCTGGTGGTGAAGAAGGCGGCGGCGGCGGCGGCAGCAGAGAGGCGCGGCGTCCGCGTGCGCGTGGCGTGGAGCATAGAAGCAGGAGGCAGCGAGGGGGAGATTACAAGGGGATCGCATTGCAAAGCAAGAGCGTGGTATTGTTGGTGCAGGCAAGTCGTCGTCGTCGGCGGCGGCGGCGGCAGCGAAGGCTCGCTCAAACGCCGGCGTCGGACGACTAGCCTAGCCACGGGCCACGTCTCGTCACAGCCCAGCAAACCAACATAGAAAGACCACGCCACACGGCCCACCACTCAGAGCGCTACTGTACTGTTTGTCCAGCCCAGCATAACCCAGCCCAATTCAATGGACGCGATTTCCGGTCGGGCGCCCGGATTGGCAAAAATCGGACGATGACGTCAGCGCCACGCATACGTGTAAAACAAATTTAAACTAATTTTTCTCTTAAATTATTTATCCAAATCATGATCCGATTACACCATTTAATTTGTTGCAATTAAATCTTCAAAACAAGACCACACATAGATATATTCCGAGGAAAAAAATTAGCTTATTATTGATTTTTTTTAAATGTTGCACGATGTTTCACCAAGTATATCGGAATTGTTTCGCTAAGTATATCGGAAATGTTTCAATCGTTTAAATTGAGTGTTGTTTTACCTTATATAAAAACAATGTTTCAGCAGATAGCAAAAGAATGTTTCAGTTCACTACAACATTAGATCTATTCATAGTGAAACATTGTGAATACACTAGGTAAAACATTTTTGGTGGAACAAAAAATAAAACGAATTTCTTTAATAGAGGGTTTCCAAAATATGTGGGCGATTTGTTGCAAAAGAATGTTTCGTTCACTGCAACATTAGATCTATATATAGTGAAACATTGTGAGTACACTAGGTGAAACATTTGTTGTGAAACAAAAAATGAAACGAATTCCCTTAATAGAGGGTTTCCAAAATATGTGGGTGATTTGTTGCAATAGAGTTTATTTGTGGACACATGGTGGGCCAAGGGGAGTGCACGCGCACGCGCCCCTAGCATGCGCGCGTGCGCGGGGGTGGGGGGAGCGCCCGATTTCTGCACACACACACCCCCTCCACCCGTCGCCCGGCGATAATCATTATCGCAATTTAATACCTGCCGTGTGCAAATCATCAGGATCACGCCAACATAAGCGCCAACCATTTCAAAACTGTAGCAGAGCCAAACGGTTTTAACTCAACCTAAAAAGATAGCGGAGTAGGTTAAACTGCTCTTATAAAATGAACTAGAGTAGTGAAGCCGGTTTAAACTAGTCTACAACTCTATTCCGAACTTAGCTCTTCGAGTTAAATTTGGAAGTTTTAACTCCTGACAAATAGACTTGAAATCAGCTCTTCGAGTTAAAATAGACTCTGAATCTTTCGACACAACGAAAGTCAGCAAGATTTTCGTGCTTCCATGTCTTGAACAAGGGGAATTTTTTTTCCCTAAACGAACCAGCACAAGACAATGTCAATTTCACTGTTTATAGTGGCACTAAAAGTATTTACAAGGAGTGTGAGAAGAAAAAGAAAAGGAGTTTCACAGGAACTAGGTTAACATTTTCACGAGTCTTTTCACTTCCGCCCGCGCCCAAGTTGTCGTTGGGAATTTTGTTGTGATGGAAGACTCGCTGGTTCCTTACTGTAGCAGAACCTAACATATAAACATGCAGCTTTCCATTGATGATCTCTGAGAGTGCGAGGGAATCCAGCAACGAAGCTTCATTCCAAGTTCTCCAAATGAGTACTGCTATAAGTAGAACCTAGTTATACAACTCATGTACAACTAGAGATATACAACCACAGATCAATCAAATGAAAGTATGTTCATATGCGCCTGCAGCCATTTACAACCGTTGATCAAATTTAGTCGTACATGAGTCGGACAATTGAGCTGTATGCATAGCAATTTCCTATCAAAATCGACCACACCACATCAGTTACTCCTAGAGCAATCAAATTCCTCATATCCTCCTTTCCCAAACAAGTGAGGAATATTATGAGCTCACTCCTAAAATTGAAGGTGCTACACTCGAAACAAATCGAGGCAGTGTGCATTTTGTAAACAAAAATGCGGCACTATCTCATCTGCGGTGTAGAGTTGACCTCTCTAATTTTTCTTTCCACCCTCTCCTGATGAAGTTGTCCTTCATCAAGATGTTATTCCGAAGCATAAGCCACAGGAAGATGTCAACTTTCAAAGCAAATTTGAGTGAGAAGGGGATTTGCATTCTTTTGCAGATGCGAGGCTTTCCTTATAAAATGATGATTCCACAGAGAAGTTACGTACAGTCCTTGGTAAAAAAAAGACCCCCAAATCAAATCAGTGCATCATCCTCATTGTTGAGCCTTGGCATTGGCATTCCTCTTTGAGCTTATTGCACAATTAAATTGATCACCTCAGTGACAGCCTTGTTCCAGGATCCCACCTACAATGGCAATGGCAATGAATCGATCAGGGCTTCTGCAGCAGGGCGGTGAGGTAGACGTGGTCATGCTTGGCTCCGGGTGGCGCCGTGGGCGTGGGTGTGGTCTTGTCGGCGACGGCCCACTTGAGGGTCTTGTAGCCGAGGCGGCGCAGCATGGGTTGGTAGACGGCGGCGAGGTCAGGGCGGCGGCACCAGAAGTGGTCGACCCAGAGCAGGCCGCGGGGGCGCAGCACCCTGTCCGCGTCGTACCACAGGAACTCCAGCGCCGCCTCCGGGATCCAGCGGTTCACGGCGTGCCCCGCCCGCACCAGGTCCATGGTGGCGTCCCCCACCGGGAAGCGCTGCTGCAGCGGCGCGTGCAGCGGCACCACCCCGCGCGCCGCCGCCGCCTCCGAGTAGGGCGCCCCGAGGTTCATAGTGGTGGTGAGCACGGTGGCGTTGGCCGCCCGCTTGAGGCGCGCCGCCAGCGTCCCCGTCCCGCCGCCCACGTCCAGCCCCAGCCGGATGGGCCCCGCGCGGCTGAGCGATGCCAGGCGCAGCAGCTGCGGCACCGTGAGGTCGAGGGGCCCCTCCGCCCGCAGGAAGCGCGCGGCCTCCGTGCGCGCGAGGTCGAAGCCGAGCGAGGGCGGGAGGCAGGAGAAGGAGGTGCATTTGGCCCCCGGAGGCCAGCGGACGGCGGAGTCCGGGAGCGGGGAGAAGGGATCGGTGGGCAGATTATTCAGGTTGTGAGAAGACGAGATCGAAGATGATGAGAAGCACCTTCGCCTGGGCAGCGGGTGGCAGCCGCGGAGGAGGAGGGGCTCGGCGAGGGAGAGGGCGTCGTCGGGGCAGGGGGAGAAGGGCGTGTAGGACATGAATCGGTGGAGGAGGTCCGGGTGGGCTGAGCAGGCGGAGGCGAGGGGCGCCAGGCGGGAGTAGAGGAGGAGCTCCGGTGGCGGCGGCGGAGGCGGGGGCGTGGAGGAGCGGAGGTGGTTGAGTTGGGAGACGGTGGCGCGGATGGCGGTCAGCTGGCGGAGGAGCTGCTCGTCCTGGGCCTGGGCCTGGTGCGCCGCCGGCAAGAGGAGCGGCGGTGCGGTGGATGCGCGGGTGGAGAGGTGGTAGAGGGACAGCAGGTTGGTGGCAACCATGGAGAGTAGGAAGGCGATGTTGAGGCTGCTGGAGCTGGAGACCGTCGTCTTCCTCATCGCCGGCACCCCATCCAGATGTGAATCCGCCATGCCCATGCCCAGAGTGAGTTGTCGGTGAATACAAGAGTGTGGCACCTCTCTCTGCTTTCTTGATCTGCTCTGCTCTGCTAATAATAATAAAATCACTTTGACTTGTGTTGACTCTTGTCTGCTTAATTTGATTTTGATGATGCTGCATTCGCTTTAACTGCAATCAGCTGCTTCATTCCACCAAGTCCAGGTCCTCCCTTACAAAAATTAATTACATATACAAATAGTTCTCCCTTCCATGTTACTCCTACCATATATACGTGTCTCTGTATATACAGTATTTATTCGGTCGTAGGATTATTAATCACAATATCAATCTGTACTGGGTCTGTTTTTCATGAATAGTGACAGACAAACAAATATATATCCAAATAATACTAGTAAGAAAAGTGTTGTGTTTGTGAGGCAGAGGCATCGCCAGCTATGAAGACTAAGCTGTGCCTGATCGCCGGAAGAGAGCAAAATAACGAGGCGACGACCCCCGTTAGGGCGTAGGCGATGGCGCAGAAGGGCAACGCTTCAGGCTCCTTGGCTGACACCGCTGCCGTTCCCAGTCCATGGGCACTGCATGTATGTATGGATCAGATTGCACGCCTAACATCACCCTCTTATTTATCAATTACTGCTCCCTCCGTTTCCCTCTGTTTCATGTTACAAGACATTTTAAATTTGGTTAAAGTCAAACTTATTTAAATTTGACCAAGTTTATAAAAAAAAAGTAACAACATTTTTAACCCAAGACAATTTTATTATAAAAATATATTCAATTATTAATTTGATAAAACTAATTTAGTGTTATAAATATTACTATATTTGTCTATAAACTTAGTTAAATTTAAAACAGTTTAACTTTGATCAAAATCAAAACGTCTTATAGCCTGAAACAGAGAGGTATTATGCAATTAAACAATAAACATCCATCGTCACACAAAGCAAACACACGCCTAGCAATTTCTCCTTTTACCAGATCTTCGTATATTTGGTCGTAGTAGCCATGTAATCCACTCCATACTACTTTGAGGCACGTCAAATGTTGGACGTGAAAACCCACATTTAGAGCAAGTATAATAGTAAGCTATAAGCTGGCTAAATGCTGAGGTGGAGGAGAGAAGAGAGGAGAAACGGGCTATAAACTTACAGCCGGTTCGAACATAAGAACCAAAAAATTCTATGAGAAAGATAAGTGAGCCATATATTAATTGTAAAGAGCTAACTATTATATGGGTACGCTGAGCTTATAGCCAATAAATCGGCTGTATTATTACCGTTGCTCTTATATTGTGATCCTACCTGGAAGCTGTCCCTATTCCTCGTGCGATGGGGTCTTTGAGGCGAAGCTTGTCCATCACTGCTTGCGCAAAATTTGCGCCGATCAGCCCCGTGAGGACAACCACCGCTGCGGTTACTGAAGTATTTACACCTGCCCACCCAACACACCATTATTATAGATGAATATTAATCTATATGCATTTCATTATTAATCTGTCGTTGGATACTAGCTATTCACTTTTTAACTTTGATAATATGTCTTTTTTTTAAAAAAAAATACACACATATATATACATACTTAAAGTACAGACACCATATTAGTAATGCATGTTACGATATAAATACAACTATATAGTTTTCATTAATCATAGATAAATCGTCTAAAAGTTAATAATGGTTGAAATATCGATGATTTCATTTCATAGTGACAAAAGAAGCAAGGACGGAGGAGCTAATACAGATCGAGGAGGGACAAACCTTCAAAGAGAGAAACTACCCTCAAAGCTAATGCCACGGTTATACACCTGGGCAATATTGATATGGTCAATATTGGCTCTAGCTCTACCACTCGTCCTAGGATGGCAGTTGAATATAACGAGAATGTTGATGCCACAGCGATTGATGTGAAAATTTCCGCTGCATGCCTCCTTACAAGCTGAAATATTATATTATCCAACACAAAAACATTAATTAATTACTCCTTGGTTGGATGCATGGTTAATTAGCTAGCCAACAGCTAGGCACACTCGTCTCGCAACAAATTAAACAGAGAGCTTCGAATATGATCATGTCACAACATATATAACCATATGCTAACTACTAGTAATACTACTAACTGAGAGAAGGGTACCTACCTTTCTCTGATTGAACATTGAAAATGCAAACGATATGATGACAGACCCAAGAAATCCCATGAGGATGTCACCAGCTCCTGGATTTGACGGAGACTCTGTGAGGTAATCACCTGGACAACCATACATACATATATATTTGAGAGCATTATATATATAGGATAAAACTGATCAGGGAGCACGACTTTGCGATTGATGCAATTTGATTATAGGAGTATCGATCAGGGTTGGGGGTTAAGCCTAGAACCTAGCACTGCATCCACTCCAGACCGGGAGAGATACCCATATGCTACTGCCGCCAAATCTGCAGAAAGTGCACAACAGATGATTGGGTGTAGCACTTTCTTGACACCAGATGGTAACCTGTGAGAATTATATTGAACGTTAGAGAAATTAATATAATGGAGTAAACTAGGTTGCACGCTAAAATTTGAATTTTAAAATTTTGATCTTAGAGTTGATGTTGAAGTTTTCTCAAGTAGTAGTAGGTAGTAGTAGTTTTCTTTTTCAATAGTGCGGGATTTTAATCGCTATCAAGATAGATATAGAAGTTTTTTTTTATTTTTAATTTAGAAACACGGTGCAATGTTTTATTAATTATTATAGGTACTTTATGTATGACTCATATATTTGCACTAAATTTTGAGATGAGGTTAATGAACAAAAGGTTATGTTTAAAGTCAAGAATAAAGAGAGAGTAAATATAAAATGGAGTAGTACCGGGAACCAAGGATGTAACCGAAAACAGTGGAAGCAAGCAAGAAAGGAAGGCATGTTGTTGCGGTGGTACCAAGCGCAGTGGGGGAAACATACGCAACAGCAAAGGAAGCAACAAAGACAGCAGCCCAGGCCCAGAATTCAAGCGGCCCGAAAGGAGACGGTCTCTTCATGGGCTCAGCTGGTATAAGCTGTGTCTTCACTATCCTTCTCACACTCAGCGCCGTGTAACCAGCCACCACCAGTGAAGCAAACCAGCCACCAACTAGTAAATTATTAATATTAAAAGAAGAAAATTCATGAGCAGAGCAGAGTCATGTCGATCATCTGTACGTACGTGGAACGAATTATAAATTAAGAAGAGTAGTGTTAGTTACAGTAGTTAATTATTACATGTGATGAAGAGGATCTTGAGGGCAGAAGCAGGCGAGACGTCCCTGACGGCAAGCGGCAGGACGACGAGGGAGGGGACGAAGAAGAGGGGCAGCCACCTGTGGATGAAGACGGTGGCGGGGTCGAAGAAAGCCATGAATCCGTTGGCGAGCGAAGGAGGTAGGAAGAGGAGGAGGGCGAAGACGCAGAACATGGCGAAGAGGGCGCTGGGGAACTTGATGGAGGCGGCTGCGAAGGCCTGCTCCACCAACTTGTCGGCGGCGACCAATATGCCCAGCGACACCACCAGCTGCGCCATATTCCGCACAAGCTGCATGCGCCATCTATTATTTCAAATCATACTTCTTACTTACTACGCGTATGTGATAGATAGATAGATAGATGAACGAATTAATGCAGGTGATCTGATCGATCACAGAGTGAGTTAATTAAAGAAGAAATTGCTCACGGTGCGCAGCCCACAATGGGCGGTGGCGGCTTCTTCTCCGACTCCGACGGCGATGAGGTGGTGGTTTAGATCGTCAACAGCCATGGGGACGGAATGCTCGGGAGCAGGAGGAGAGGAGAGATACGTACGTTGTAGAGTTTAATGACAACTAGCCGGGAGGAAGGCCTAGCTCGATCATATATACTACTCCAATTCCAATATCGATGCGTGCGGGCGGCGACCGGTGGAGGTCGGCAGCGACGGGGGCAAGGAGAAGGCGCAAATCATCATTCAATAATGCACTGCACTGCACGGGGGACGGCCTCTTCCTGCCAGGCCCAACTGCCGTCACTGTTCCATACGTACGATTTGCTTCGTTTTCCTCCTCTCATCCCCTTCCCCTCCCTCAAACACTAGCCTCTCTCGCTATCTGGAGTAAACTCCCTTCCCTCGCCGGCCACTAGAAGACTATTCATTCAATTTCTGGGATTGGGATTGCTGGCCACAACTTGGGAGGACAGATAAACACACACCAACAATGGATAGATAATACTACACAGGTACTAATAAGTAAATTACTAGTAGTAGTATAATATCACTCTGCTTGTGTTGTGCTTTCAGCCAGCGTCAACATCTCTCCCTCTCGACGTTACAGACAAAACCCAAGGGAAGAGAACAACAACACTACAGTACCACTCAACTTCATCTGTCCAACACCTACTACACACTCTGGATTATGCACCAAACGCCTCTGCTATAGACATTTGTATACAAGGAAACCAACACCCCCACCCCCCGCAAAAAAATAAACAAGAAACAAAGCCTCTCCCATGTAATTAAGCTGTAACAACTCGTACAAGCATCACATTCCATGACACAAGCACACACTCACACTATAACCGCCAACCAAGAAGGCATCTTCACTACATTTCTCGTCCGTGGTGACCCCAGGGCAGCTTACTCCAACTCAACGTCATCTCTCCTCTACAACTTATTACGCTGCCACCGGTTGCTGCATTAGACCCCCAATTATCCCTCTGCTTGTTTGCCTCCTCAATTTCTCCTGGATACGCCCCTTGATGGCAGTTTCCTGACCATACCAACGAGGAATCAGTGTTGGGTACCACGTCCAAATAATTTTGCATTTTACCCTCAATCTGGCTGTCGACGAATTCTCGGCAACCTTGTCTCAAGTTTCATGTATAAACTTACCATGTTGTGGCAGTGTTCCTCAAACTTCTCCAAGAAACCAGCAACCCAGCGATCTGCATTGGCCAACCATTCTTCATGATTTATTCCAGCTGTCTTCGCCACCGTTTGCAACTGCACCAAATAATTTACCCAGCGGGTCAGGATATCTGTAAAGTCGTAAACACAAGGGGAACTCCCTGTCCTTCCATGTGACACAGCAGAAATATCTTAGAGTCACATGCATGGTTTACCTTTTCTTGATGCGCCTTTACAGTCTCTCGCAGTTTATTTATCTTCATGTTGACCTGGAGTTGCTTTTCCTGATAGAATGATAGTAAGAACCCATAAACAAGCATGTCATTACTTGCAAAAGCAGCAAAACCATGCAAATAATAAAAATGCATCTGAATTTGTCTGCAAGAAGATGAAGGTAAACCAACACAGAGATGAGACTAACCTTAACATAGCTTACGCCTAAATCTTTCCTTGTGTATCCACGTGCTAAATTCCTCATGACATACTGATTGTAGTCCTTCAATATCCTCATTATGAGGTCTGATGTGGATACACCGTCTGTCCGTTTCGTTTCCTTGAATTTGCCAATCTTTTTAACCTAAGTACATGAAGACAGCCATCAGTAAGGAGCAATGCAAGAGAAATATCTGTAGTTACTAGTAGCAAATATAGCTACTCTGACTTACAAATTCATAGACATCATTAGCAGCTCCACTAGTATCGGCATAACTGTGGCAAAAAAAAAAGGAACTCCGGTCAGTTAAGCTGAAAGAGCACAGTATTAAAGGGACAAAAAATGGGAATTCGATAATAGTTGGTGTGCTGCTGAAACTTACGGCAGTGCATCATGAGCAACATAGTCAATCTGATGTTTGTCAATGAACTCTTGCGTGAGGACCCATGGAGCATCAGGAATGACCTCATCAACCCATCTAAGAAGGCAGACAATAATGAAGCTTGATATCAGCACAACACAAGAGGGAAGGAAAAAAATTGACTGATGTAAAAAAATATCCAGGATCAGTGGAGCTATGAAAGTAGCTGAGAGGAGCAAGGTGAGAAGTAATTATGGAACCTAAATTTACAGCACTAAATTAGAGATTAAGAGGCCCCTTGAAATAAGTTAATCCAGAAATGTAGTTTGCAAAGAGCACAACAGAAGGGAGACTCAAGCCGCGAGCATAATATTGTGGCTAGGAAAGGGAAATAGAAACGTTGGTGGCTTCCTTGTGTGCTTGTTAATCCAAATTCTGTTCTCTACGTGTTGATTAAGGAGTCTAGTCCAATCCAATGCAAATGCAGTTGTTGCATATATATTGATATGTAATACTAGAATCCAGTAAGAGCAGTTGATGAAAATCCATGTACGTATGTGGTAAGGTGAAGAAGGAAGGAAGGAGACGGACTTGCAGTGGCGAAGGGACTCGTATCGCTCATCCTGGGTCATGACGGTCTTGCCCTTGTAGCGGTTGGTGAGCTCGTCGTTGCAGCAGCCCACTAGCAGGTACGTGTTGGGGAACCTGCGATCGCCATGAGCAATCAGGAATTGGAATTGAACAGATCTCTCGATCTATTCTAACATAGAGGCCCAGATCCAAGAGAAATCGATCGGGGGGATCCATGTAATGTAATGTAAAGAAGAGAAGAGAGAGAAACTGACAGCAACTTGGCCTGCTCGAGGGCGCGGGCATGGCCGAAGTGGAAGAGATCGAAGATGCCGTCGGCGTAGACGCGGACAGGGCGGTCGGTGAGCTCCGGCGGCGGCGGTTGGGTTTGTGAAGTGGGCTTGGAGTTGGAGTTGGAGGGAGCCCTAGTCCGCTTTCTGGAATGCGAAACGCGCGCCATCGATAGATCAGATCCTTCCTCGTCGCCTCTGCCTCTCTCTACCTCAAAGTCCTCAACCGGATCGAGGAGAAGAAGAACCCCCTCCCTCTTCCCTATTTTGGACGATCGTGTCGACACGAGGGAGGGGATCCTCTCAATAAAAAGGGAACAAGACTCCGACTCCGACTCCAGGTGGGTCACGCGTAATTTCTACACTACGCACTGTTAGTATCTCTCTCTTTAATATTTTACACATCATCAATTACTTACTCCCAACATATGCATAATCCGCCACCCGTCTCATGTTCTACTCGAATCGAATCACTGCTTCAAACACGCCTTCTTCGTCTCCTTTATTTCTTTTTTATTCATTTTATTATTATTATTATTATTATTATTATTAAGGTAAATTAAACACACGCACACACACACTCACATGACAACTTATATATGCGATACGATACGATGCGATGCGAGTGTATCATCTCCATTATACGCGCGAGGGCGAGGTTGAATCAGCAGACTCTTGGAGAGAGATGTGTTTCTTCAGTTTTTTTATCTTTTAACAAAGAAAGAAAGCAAATCCATCATTTATCCGCGTCCGCGGTGGCATAATAATATGCAGCGGAGGACACGCACCCACAGCCTCGCCACGACGCCGCCGCGATGCGACTAGAAACAAAAAAAAAAAAGCAAACAAACCTCCTATTACAATCTCTTTCTTTTGCCTTGTTTACCGAAAACAAAATAGTTAGAATCCAGGGGCCTGGTAGGATGCCTGCCCTTGGTTAGTTGGTTCGTTAGTTCGCTGGAGTTTGTTGAGCAGATAGATACACAGAGATCGATTTAAACGCATCCTACCATCCATCAGAAAACAAAATACCAGATGATCGATAACAAGGCCCAAGTTAATAGTATTACATATATATGTTTGCAACCATAGTATTATATCATTGACACCTTCATCAATCCCACCAGTATTCCAAGAGCATATGCTCTTAAGCATATTCCTACCCATGAGCGACTACAAGTAACAATACATAAAAATTGACCACTTCTGGTCAGGATCTACTCTTCTACAGGGAAATTAACAGGCATGCTGCTGGACAAGCCAGCCTGGACTGACCTCGTTTGTTTCTTTGTTTTTCTAAATAAAAAAAATCTTTGGAACGAAGGCCTGCCCGGACCTTTTGCTTTTTCGTTTTAACAAACGGGAGGAGGCCTGGCCTAACTTGACGGCCAAAATGAATCTTTGATTGAATGCGTAAATGTTGCTTCTTCTCTGATCATAGCCTGGATCTGCCACTGGAAGCATCAACAAGAGAGTCCTTGAGAAGCCTCCTCAGAACCTTGCCAGCAGCTGACTTAGGTATCGCCTCCACGAATATTACCTTCCTCACTCTCTTATACGACGCCACCTGCACCCACCATAACAGTATACAACATCACACTACTTGGTAAGCACTCTACTAGACAGCATCAGCCCAAGGATTATTACTTCAGGAAAAAAAAAGACATATTGTTAATTTGGATGGGCAGGGTCAAAGAACAACCAGCTTCTGGATGGACAATGTCTTCTATGGCTGCGGCCAAACCAACTGACAGACAGGCTCATATCAGTTACACATTCCCATCGGTACACACGGGGGCTCAACTGACAACAACCACATCTCTGTTTTCAAAACAGGTGGGCTGGATGCAGAGGAGCACACTGACCAACACGACTTGAGACTAACTAATATCTGCCATATTTATTTGCACAGGTGGGCATAAAGCTTGTAGTGATCCATTTTTACTGGAATTTGATACTCTAGCTAACAAGAATGCACTCTGTGCACTTGCTGTTATTATTATCTTGTAATGTTCCCAAGCAAGAAAATATGGTGAGTGTTGTGTTGTGTAGGACCTTCTTGTTCTTACCTGCTTGGCCACATACTCCATGACATGCGTACAAGAAAGAGTGCTTCCAGATTTTCTCACCACAAAAGCTACAGGTATCTCTCCAGCTTCTTCATCTTCATCACTAAGTAACGAGAGAATCAATGTCAAAAAAAAAAAGTAACGAGAGAATCAAAGAAACACGTTGAAGGACATGATAACAGATAAAACAGCTATAATATCACGCTGTTTAGAAATAAAAATCTTACGATGTCACAGCAACATCAATAATTTCAGGGTGCCGGATCAGAACAGCTTCCAAGTCAGCTGGAGCTATCTGAAGGCAAGAAAAATACACCAATTTGTTACAACCAAAGACTTCCTTGCATGATACCTGAAATTCCTTGAAACAAGAACAACGATATTGTATTCCAACTTCCAAGGCCTGCTACAGGAGGCCATACCTGAAATCCTTTGTACTTGATTGTGTCTTTCAAGCGACCCACTATGAACAAATACCCATCTGAATCAAAGTAAGCAATATCACCAGTCCTCAACCAGCCATCCTTTCTAGTGAAAGCATCATCATCATCATTCAAGTAACCTGTGACGAAGCAAAATTCTGACAACCCAAATACAAAGAGGTAACAAGTACAGCATACCATGATTCAAACCTAAAGCGGGATATGATGTTACAGACTAAAGTATGGAAGCTAAACTAAATCCCCATTCCCCATGGATCTCAGGAACCTTGCCTAACTGATCTCAGGAACAATACTTAGTGAAGGCAGCTAAATCTATTCCTCGAGAGCAGCATGCATTGGGAATCTTTCTTTTTTGGCTAAGCATGGCAACCCATGGGAGTCCTAATGCAGTACCGTATTTAAAAAGAGTTTAGTGTTTAGCACTGCAACGATTAGTGTTCGGCAGAGCAAGTACACAAGGTTAAAATCAGAATGATTCTGTTATCTGCAGTGGAAAAAAAAAATGACCACCCCACGTTTTTATCTAAAAAAGAATGACCATGTTATCTTCAGTCAACAAGAATAACCACATTATCTAAAGGAGCTAAACAAGATGGCAGAGAGTACAGAAGAAACTAGAGTCAGTAGAAAAGCGTAGTTTTCATATAAGATTCCAAGCAGCCAGATCATACCAGCATATGTGAATAATTAGGCTTGTTAATTAACTTTTGAAATAATTATCAAATCTTTTGTATCAGACTGCAAAAATAGTAGAATTTTGAATAAAGTAAATTTTTTTTGACACGGTACCTTTCATTATAGCCGGGCCATGGAGCCATAACTCCCCATAAGAGCCTGGAGGCAGACAAGAACCACTTTCCAGATGAACAATTTTAGCATGCATGTTGGGGGCTAAAAGACCTACTGAGGCATACTTCTTGTGCTTGCATGTATTGAAGCCGCGAGTTCCTACGGCAGTAGATTCAGTCATGCCATACCCCTGTGCAAACATTGCATGAAGATATATTGGAGATTTCAGAGCCCATTCCACATATATACTATTCCCTAACAGCTGAGTAAAATGTAGTACATGCAGTAGATAAAGACAAAATATTCATTAGCAGCCACATTTTTAATTGATACGCTAACTGAGAAACATGGGACAGAAGCAATTAATAATGCATATATATATATATATATATATATATATATATATATATATATATATATATATAGAGAGAGAGAGAGGGGAAGGAGTGGAGGGACCTGAATGAAATCAACGTGGGGGAAGGCGTGAAGGAAGTGGTGAATGAGGGTGTGGTTGAGGGGAGCAGCGCCGCTGGAGACCTGCAGCAAGGAATCCAATTCCAAGGGCGGGTTGGCCCTGAGCAGTGCCGACATGATGGGCGGCACGAGCGGCAGGTGCGTCACCTTGTACTTGCGGATGGCCTTGACGGCGTCGTCGACGTTGAACCTCCTCATCACGACAACCGTGCAGCCGAGCGAGAGGAGGCCCACGGCGAAGAGGGAGAGGCCGTAGACGTGGAACATGGGCAATGCCGCCAGGTAGACATTGTCACGAGCAGGCCGCGTGTACTGCGACGCCTCGAACCGCACGAACAGCTCCACCATTGCGATCAGGTTGCGGTGCGTCACCACCACGCCCTTGCTCCGCCCGCTCGTCCCCGACGAGTAGAGGACGGCGGCGGCGTCGTCCTGCCCCACCCCCACCCCCATCTCCACCGGCGTTTCGGGGTCGGTCTCGAGCAGCGCGTGGAAGAAGAAGTCGAACTGATCATCATCATGTTGCTGCTGGAAGGTGTCGGGCACGAGGACGAGCGGGGCGGCGAGAGGCGGAAGCTTAGCGGCGTTGTGGGTGGAGGCGAGCACGAGGGAGGGGGCGGTGTCCCGCAGGCGCGCGGCGATCTCGGCGGGGGCGCTGGAGGGGTTCATGGTGGTGGCGACGGCGCCGGTGGCGAGGACGGCGAGGAAGGCAACGGGGAAGGTGAGAGAGTTGGGGAGGAGGAGCAGGACGAGGGATCCCCTGGCGATGTGGAGGCGGCGGCGGAGGCCGGCGGCGAGGGAGGAGACGAGGCGGCGGAAGTCGGCGCAGGAGAGGGTGGCGGCGGTGGGGGCATCGACGAGGAGGGAATGGTGGTGGAGGGGGAGATGGGAGAAGAGGTGGGGGACGAGGGAGAGAGAGGGGTCGGAGGGGAGGGGTAGGGGAGGGTGGAGGCTGCTGTAGAGGCCCGTGGCGGCGGAGTAGAAGCTCAAGCTGGGGTGGGCGGTGGCGGCGGCGTCGGGCTGCATTGCGGTTTCTTGAGGCGGCGGGTGGAAGGAATCGGAAATTAAGGTCGGCGGCGGCGGCGGCGGCTGCTTTCAGTTGAGACTTCAGAGATCGAGAGAGAGAGATAGGAAAAAAAGAAATCGCAGGGAGGAGAGGAGACAGAGGAGGAGGTTCACGCAAAAAAGGAAGACGAGCGTGAGGCTCCTGCGCTGTGAGCCTGTGACTGACTCTCTGCGCTTTTCAAATTATAAGTTGCGTGTTTGGTTTTGGCATCATCTTATCTCCTCCTATGGACTAATATTTCCTGCGGCCCCAATCCGCCATTTCACAGCCCATTCTAGCCCAATAGAAACAAGGAATAAGTCCACTCGATTTTAATTGATATCCCTAAATCGCAATACCTATACCTTATTAGAACCAACAACTTATAAAACCGGGTTCCTTCAGCAGTATAAATGGTTGGTTTCCCTGACATTGCAAATTGACCTGTCCACTCGTTCTAATTAGGCATTTATGTGCCAAAAAAAAGTGGGAGACCTCCACAACACATGTGGGCGCTTGATCTTGAGGCCACGACGTTTTGACTAGCCCATCGACCCCGCCTAGCTTCCTCAACTTGATCGAGCTCCATCCAAACTTTGCTTCTCCGCGCGGTGCCCTTGACTACTCCGCGCTCTTCGGCCACCATGATCTAGAGGACGTTGTTTGGGAGGCATAGCTCAATGTCCGCCGTGGGTGCTGTAAGGATGCCGTCAGCGGCTGAAGAGTTCGAGGCCAAGGTGATTTGCCGCCTTGACCTACAACTCTAGCTACCTCTTCTGTCGGTTCTAAACCGCTTCAGCCTGGCAGGCAGATCACCGAAGCCCTCGCGAACAAGCTCATCGGCCACTGCCCCTCTCACCATTGGCGAACTCCTAGGGAAGAGAAGGGAGAGGTGGAGTGAGTGGGAAAAGAGGATAGGTCAGGAAAGGTTGAGGTCCGATTACATGTGGGCCTCACATGCCTTTTTAATTTTCTTTTTGTGACTAGGATGCCATGACAACTAAAACAACCATCCATACTATCATGGGACTTGATTTTGAACGGTTTGGGTTTGAGATTTCTAATATTAGGTTTTAGGGATGCCGATTAAATTCGACGGAAAAATGAGGGACGGCAAATTGACTTATTCCTAAAAAGAAACAAAGAGAACTTACATGGAAAAAGCTCAATTTGAAATATAGATTGGATGTGATTTGTATCTCTCAAGTATAAAATCAGGTACAATAACTCCAACTATTAAAATCGGTGCAAAATGACTCCCAGATAGTATTGTTGGTGGTATTTGCTGACATGGTGTCTATATGGCAACCCAATCATTTGAGAAAATTAAAAAAAATATGAAAGAGCCCATATATCATCCTCCCCACATTCTCTTTCTTCTTCCTTCTCTACCCCACTCTCTCTCTCCTTAGTCATTTTGGTGTCATCAACAAGGAAACGATATTATACCTAGTTTTACAGGCTGAGGGATACGGATCAGGCATACCTGGCCTATATTCGAGGGAGTCAAATTGGAATTTTTCCGATTTACGTGCATATACACACTCAATCAACTCACATATTCGCATTTACAACAGATCATTAAATAATTATCAGCAGCCAGTCGGTCGTTAATTAGAGGAATAAAAATATCACCCCCAATTGACAAAAGGAAAAAACAAAAGAACAAACAATCTAGTGATTCAGAAGCTAAGAGACTATCTGGGCGATTATCAAGGGTCGACGCCATAATGGTAGACAAAGTGCGGCGGCGAGGGTGAGTCAGCTGTGTCGGAGGGGCCCATGTGGTAGTGGCTCATATGCTCATGCTGATGGTAATGGTGGTGTGTCGTCGTTGTGGTCTGCTCATGGTGATGGTGGTAGTAGTGTGTTGTAGCCTGGCTGCTCTTGCTCTCCTCCTCTTCCTCCTCTACCTGCCGATGATGATGTTGCTGCGCCTTGTCGATTCGCACCTCTACCTTCTCCTCCCGTTGCTGCTCCTGCTCCTGCTGCTGCTGCTGCTCAAACATGTGGAAAATGGGGTGCAGGTAAGCGTTCTGCAGGTACGATTTGAGGTTCAGGTTTGGCTCCGACGTGCGCTCCAGATTGTCCTTCTCCATCGCTTCCTGCCAACACCACAGGTTATTCCCTCGTTAATTAGATGTCATTGTTGCATATACTTGAACAAATTATTCTTGATTTCACAAAGAGAGTAATGAGAGATGCACGCACCTCTAGAGGGTACTTGCGGAAAGCAGGCTCGAAACGGCTCTTGCAGTACTTGTGGAACCATATGGTGAGGAGTGGCAGAAAGATAAGCAGCGGGGTGGAGTAGGCAGCCTTCATGGTGCTCATCAGCCCAAACAGAGTTACATGCGAGATCAGCAAGCTCGCTATTATGCGAGAGTGCACCTGAGGCCAAAACGCAGCAGCACTCTCGTATTCTTGGTTGTACACGTTGATGATCTAAACAAAAAAAAAACACATTTTAGCGCCTAACTGAATAGCCAAACCAAAACAACCATCACTTTCAAAGCCAAAGCCAAAGCCAAAGCAGCAGGCATGACCGACAGACAGACTCACCTGGTGTCTGTACACGAGGAAAGCGAAGGCAAAGAAGATGATAATGAAAGGGAGGAGAATGGGGGTGACCACAGCATACACAAGCCCAAGAAGAAAATACAGCTGCAGTGATGGGAGGTTCTCTGCAAGCCCAATGCTGCCCGGATCCATTGCCCTCTCCCTGTCCCGCTCCGTCTTCACAATAAACATGTTCTTCAGGTGGTATATCACCAGCGGCTTCACTCGAAGAATCTCGTTCGCGATGCCAGCCCACCCGTCAACCATTATGTATGTCATAAAAAATGTAGCTTTCATTGGTATAGCTACTCCAATGGTCCTTGGTATTCTGCAGAAATTGGAAGGAAGGATCATATCAGTATATTTACTCGTATATGCCATGATCGCATTAGTTAATTGAGGACAAGGAAACAGTAGCATATGTGACAAAAGAGAGGTTGCTCGAAGAAATTTACTGTGAAGGTGGCTGATGGAAAAATGCATTTAGCTGTTCAAAAGCTGTGCCAGCGATTATGCTTCCAAGAAATACATTCACCAGCATGAAGTAGTAATATTTTGAAGCAGCCCTCCTTTCCAGAGATGATAAAGACACATAACCTTCAACCTTTGACATAATCATCAAAACCGTTGGGAGGATATACAGAAAAATCTTCAAAGCCAAACCCGGAAGGAAACCCTGCAGGAAGGATTTCACCACTGGTCTGCAAGTTATACAGCAAGCCATATGATGAGTGAATAGCAAAAGGGGCGCAATTTACAGAACCTCGACAGATATAATGGGAGCTAACTTACGTGTCTATCACAGGCCTTAGGAAAGGTGCAACTTTTTCAATACCCTCAAGATTGGCAAGTGATTGCACAAAAGCTATAGGTATCATGTAGAAGAACACCAGAGCAAAAACTGCAATGGATATCAGGAACTTGCGGATACTGAGAGAGAAAAATGGAATGGCAAGATTCTGCCAATATACATCCCGCGGTTCAGGAGCCCAATCAGTTAGCCATTGGGTAGGATTCTTTGACTGTTGTGTCTGTGCACATACAGCAGCTCCCCATCTCGAGTCAAATGTCACAAAAGCAACTGGCATAACAGCTTTTGGGTCATTGAGAACTCTTTGACGCTCAGATGCAAGCTAAAAAGATCACAATAACAAACAGCTTGTGTTAAAAGTTAAAACTGAACAAGAGCCTCACTCATGCATACAAACATACATGCAACAGCCTGCAAAGTTATGCTGAGTGCCTGTGAATGGTAAGAAACACGACACTGTGGGTTCTAGCTCTACCTTCTTATCAAGCTCGCTGATTCTAGCACGGTAATAGTCGATTTGATCCACTTCTCTACCGCAGAAACCAAGGCACCCTGTCTGCAGAACCAAAAATATTCACAAGCTTGAAACATTTCTTGGGGGGAACATGAATTCAGAACGAGTTGTCCAAGAACTTGGTATTGATGCAAACGAAAGGACAGGATCAACGTTTATAAAATACCCTTCCAATTGGTCTTTTTCCAGGATGCCTTTCAAACTTCAGCTGGTAGTAATCCAACCAGTTTTGAAGCCTCTCTTTTTTCTTCACAAGTTTAGCATACCTGTTTGCGTTATAAACAGCCTGAACATCCAGATTGAGGTTAGTTTTGCGGTCAGTATATTCATCAATAACCATGGTTTGTAAATTGAATATCGGTCAGAAATCAAGTAGAGCTTTAAACATCATTCCAGTTTAAATCCATGATGAGGCATAAGCAATGGTGAGGATTAGGTACCTGCTGACCAAGATAGTGGTCTGGATGATTCCTACGGAAGAATTCATCCACTGTTTCAGATGTTGAATGGCTTGAAACATGAGGTATGTTTCTAACAATCACCTGCCATGCCAAAATATATTAGTAAGTGATATAGTATAACTATGGATCTCAATATTAAATGGTATCCCATTGAGTTATATCACAATAAAAGGAGTATGCCCCAGTCAGCAAGACAACACTATAGACATTAAATCCAAATATTTGTTCAACTGCTCTTCTATTCCTTTACAAAAAATTTAGTGGAGCTTGGTTGTGATACATAAATTGTAGTAGAACTAAATATAGCATTGCCTAGTTATTTGCACTTACAGTGAACTGATCAGCACAACGCTTCTGAGAAGCCAGGAAGTGCAATCTCATAAATGCCACATTGCTATACTCTTTGTATAGCATAAAGCAAGTCCAAAAAGTGAACACATATGCCATTAATAGATGGATAAAGAACCTGAAGTGAAATGCAGAGGACATGGTCAGACAATTTCAAGCAATGCTACAAATGAAAGCATAAAGCCAGAGCAATGTAGAGTTCAAGTACAGCAGTCATCAACAATTATACGAGCTCTGCCAAAGAATAATTAACACTGCTAAGAGTTCATGATTAAGATACTTGTGGACAAACCTGTTGGATCCAGGGTTGACATTTGATATGGAAAGCTTATCAATATCACTAAAGACAATTTCTTTTCGTAAATTAAGTAACGTGCCACCAGAGACATTAACTGGAATAAGAACCAGCAAGGCGACAGTCATGATGGGCAAAAATATCTTGAGGCTGCCAAAGAAACAAAACAAAAGGGTTAGTGTGCAAAACATAGAAACTGGTTAAATAAAATTTGATCATTTGTCTCATGGCACAAACTCAAAACTTTTGCTCACAGGAAAGTGGGGAAAGGGAAAAAGAAAAGGTCCAAGGCGCTGCCTGAGGAACTATGGCTGAAAAATCCTCAAACTTCTAGCACAAGTTAGTTAGTTAGTTTCCCCCCACGTGATGGTGGAGTTATATATACTTTGTTCTGTACAGTACTATAAATAAGAGAATGACAAGAGTACAAGTATCAAAATATGACTAGTACATCCTGTATAGGTAAAACTTTTTGAGTAAATTTCATGCAAGTTCCAAAGTGGCAAGAAAAGCATCTCCAGTTGTAAAAGAGCAGTCCCCACCATCACACGGATTGAGGAATCGTTGGAGACAAACAAAAGTTGGACGGCAATTTTCCAAAGGTAGTGGGCGAGCATGATTCAAGAACATGAGCAACACGCCAAACATTAGAAATATATGTGTATATTTTAATTTAGAACTGCATTATGAATTCATAGGAGTACCAGTCGTGTAGGCTAGGCCCCAAACAAAATATACAGGCTATGGCTCTTCCTCCATGAAACAAGGCCAGGAATTGCGGTGCACATCAAGTTAAGATTATCCTATCCGCCGACACCGTTTTCAACGAAGGAGTATTAACTAGTCCAGTAACTAATTACCGCGGGATCCATCACGGCCACAATGTCGTCATCACCAAACACATACAAGCAATATAGTAATATTCTTGGCAAGCAGCACTCCTCCTCAATTTGTGAGGTCCAATCAATCAATTGTGGATGGAATCGGAAATGAGCGAAAGTATTCAGGAAAGAGCTCCTTAATTAGCGGCAGAGAAAATAAAAAGGACTACAGTAGTGTAGCAAGCAAGGATTTTCTTTACACAAAAAAAAGAAGCAAGAAGAGTAATTCCTATCGCATACTCCATGCAGCTGGAAACAACCATAATTGAAGTCCATAGTAGTACTGTATGAGCAGGACGACTTTGGTAGGAGACACAGGCAAGCAAGAGCACATACTAGACACAAATCAACAAGAGTTGCACTAGGAAGGGAGGGATGCCCATAATAATGTGCAGTGCAGGGAAAGCAAATGCAACTACGTATACGGTGGTGCTTAATTAATCTGGAATACCAGTAGAAGTAGTGTAGTAAAAAAGAAAAGGAAGGGAGGTGTAGGAGGGAGCGAACCAACCCGAGCGTGTAGATTCGGAGGTAGACGGCGGAGTCGAGGCCGGCGTGGTGGATGAGGTCGGGCTGGGACATGCGGAGGGCGCCGGGGACCCAGGCGAGGAAGCGGAGGTAGGAGCAGAGGTCGAGGTTGACGAAGCCATGAGGGTGAGGGTGGTGGCGTCGCTGGCCAGTGAGGTAGAGCTTGGGGAAGTAGACGCGGTCGTTGATGGGCTGGAGGCGGAGGGCGGCGAAGATGAGGAGGAAGACGAAGGCGCCCAAGATGTTGATGAAGGCGGACACACCCAGGTCCGGCAGCGTCGCCATGCCCTTCCCTTGCCTTCTTCCTAGCTACTGTACTGAGTATGGGGAGGCGAGAGCGGCAGCAAGTGTGCAGCCTTGCCTTTCTGGCTGCACGACTCCAGGCGTGCAGTGCAGGCCAGCTACAGCCTACTACTACATTCTTTTTTCTTTTTCTTTTTGGCGCTTGGAGTTTTGTAACCCGTGTGTTTTGGCTCTCTCTCTATCTCTCTGCTACTATACTGATCATTGAGATTTGAGGAGGGTGCAGCGCTCTACTTCTTCCGTCCCAATAAAAACTAATTAAATTCAATTCTAAATTTATCTCTGTCCTAACAAAAAACCAATATAGAATTATGTTAAATCCAATTTTAAATTGGTTTTATTGAGATGTGCTCCGTCCCAATAAAAACTAATTAAATTCAATTCTAAATTTATCTCTGTCCTAACAAAAAACCAATATAGAATTATGTTAAATCCAATTTTAAATTGGTTTTATTGAGATGTGCTCCATCTGTCTGAAAACCAATCTAATACAAATATAATACATTTTAAAACTAAGAATCTGTCATATCCTAATTTTAGATTTCTTTTTTATGGTACACAGGGAGTAGGGAGTATTAGTATTTTGTTGTTAGCGACTGAGCCGATTGATTGATGCCAGATGATCAATCAAATAAAGACATTAGGGCCGTGTTCTAAACAGCTGGTTCAGCTTAGCTATTTCTCGTTTCCATCAGTACGTTTTTTCAAACTAATATTCGTGCAAAAATTTTCTATATAAAAACTTTATTTAGTTCACAAAACAAAAACTTTTCATCTATCACATCGAATGTTTGGACACATGCATAGAGTATTAAATGTGAAAAAAACCAATTACATAGTTCTGACAGAAATTGCGAGACAGATCTTTTAAGCATAATTGCACCATGATTTGATAATGTGGTGCTAAGTAAACACTTACTAATGACGGATTAATTACGTTTAAAAAATTCATCTCGCAGTTTCTTGGCGGAATCTGTAATATGTTTTGTTATTAGACTACGTTTAATACTTTAAATGTGTGTCCGTATATCCGATATGACACCCCAAAACAAAAAATTTTGAGAACTAGACCGGGCCAAAATATGCTTTAAAAAATCAAATAAAATCATTTTTAATTTTTTTAATAATTAATACCTAATTAAAATGCTAATCATGTTTCTCGTTTTACGTGTAGCTAATAATATAAGGTGGTAAGATGATGTTTGGGTGGGAGGGATCCTCCCTCCCAAACATCACTTAAACCGGCTAGCCGAGAAGAACACGGCCTTAATATAATGAATCGAGATAAAGATCTATCATATTCGTTTAATTTTAAATTGTTTTATTTTGAAACAGAGAGAAGTAAGTATCATTCACATGCACGATCCATCCATTCATCATCGATTCGATCAGTTAAGTCAAATAAGCACGCAACGGACACAAAAAGGCAGTTGGCACATCACATGTATTCCTTGGACTTGGAGGGAACGGTAATTAGCCTAGCCATACATGTGCAACAACTCTACGCAACACATACATGCTGCCACGTCTTCCTTCTCATCTCTCATTCTTTCATCTCACATGTTCCACAACTGTATCCAACAAACTGAATTCACAGGTCAGACTCATGTTCAGACCTACTCTCTCCATCCCATAAAAAATAACATAGTACTGGATATTTGGATGTGACGTATTCTAGTACATACTTCACTTCTGTTCAGATTCATGTAGTCTCAGGTTTTTTTAGACGAAGGAAGTAGCATTCGCATTCCCTTCTTCACAAATTTATTTATTACTCTAAAACATAAACTAGAGCTACAGGTTAGCACTACACTATCTTTTACACCTAGTTCCTTGGTTCTATAACACTAATTGTATTTCTACCATTTAAATTATATCCTAAAAAGATTGCATTTTTAATAAAGTCTACATACATACAGTGTAATCATTAAATAAGGTTATTGTGGTCATTTGTGTGTGCCGCTAATTTTTCTTTAACCTCCATGAAATGTAATTATTCTGGGACGAAGACATTATTATTTTTAGATCATGCCAAATATTCAGCAGGTGCCCAATAACATGGCATAAGCCAACTGCTCCTGCTGTACAGCATTAATCACACATATATCGTTCTCAAGGAAAAAAAATGATGTGCTCATGTATTATGAACAACAACCCAGTATGGACATATATGTTTGAACTATACTCTTTCTCCAACCAAAGCAACGACCGAAAGCAACATAACTCACTCTCAATGGATCTCACTGTGTTACCTTACCACACCACAAAGATAGTCAGTCAGTCAGTCCAACAGCTTGCAACATCTCTGAATAATAAGCAGTTCTCCTACGTGCCAGCAGCCGCAGGGCAGCTGGATCTACAGGCTGGCTTCAATTTCTTCCAAGGTGAGCCCTTTCGTCTCGGGCACGATGAAGAATATGAAAACAAGAGACGCCACTGCAATCACCCCAAACGCAGAGAAGAGGATCCCAGTTCCAATCAAATCCTACACCACAGTCACATATATAAGAGCAGTCAGTACACTCATACATAGCCTCTTCTTGGCTGGCATGTCATGTACACTCCATTGCACAAACCAACTTGAGACATACCTCCAATGGGGAGAAAGCAAAAGTGACTAGTGCATTGGAGGCAAAATTCACAAGAACAGCAATACTCAACCCACGCCCTCGCAGCCTTAATGGGAAAACTTCCGAAATCATAAGCCAGCCAATTGGACCGAATGACAGCTGCAGAATAACTTATCATTAGACAGATAGCCAAATATATATACACGGGCAGAATATCAACTGAAACTTTGCTACATAAAATTTCTATTTTTTTTCATTCATGCCAAACAAGGGTAAACTGGCTGTGAGTACCTGGTAGCAGCCAACATAGAGTAGAAGTGCTATTACAGCCACATAAGGAGCATCCTTCAATAAGGTGTAGTACGAAGATAACAAAAACAAGGAAACAGCCTGCACATTAAACCAATTAACAGATAAGTTGAGTGAGGCAGCAAAATCTCCTTGAAGATTATTGTATTATTTCACTCAAAAGAACATCACTGCATTTTTCAGAAATACGAACAAACCATCATGTGAAAACTATGCCTATAGCACCTATAGTCAACTCATCCCTACAAATTTCGATGCTACTTTGTTCCACAGAAACATACAACTGAACATGAAAATATACGATTAAGTACTTTTTTTCAGAAAATAAGGAGATACAGTTCTATTGAGATATCAGTTGTGTATCACATTGAACAGAGAAAACGAGCATGTGAATGATTGAATTGATATTTATTGAAGAAGCTCATGACTGCTTTTATCATATTTAGATAAGAGTGCATATGTTGAGGCTAGACTTACAATCCCACTAACACCTCCAATCAGTAATGGTCTTCTCCCAAGTCTGTCAACCACAAGAACTGCCACACCAGTCATAATCAACTACAAAAGAAACACAACATCAGTTGAAATGATGCAGAGAGTATTTATTTGTTGCAACTTGTCTTCCCAAAATTAGTCACAAGAGTTATTTGTTGTAGATGTTCATGTTTCTTTATTTCTTGCACCAAAACCAACTGTATCTGCAATAATGTTGATTTGTTGCACTGAATTGATGCAGCTAGGACATGTAGCTCACTAGCTCACTGTTTTGTTAAATTGGTATTTGTGGCAGTAGGTCTATCGATTTGTTGCGCGAAACTTCATAGTTTTTACAATTAGTAATTGCTCATTGTTGCATCATGAGCCCTTGCATGTTGCATGGTGGTGTTAGTATTTTTGTGACAAAGGATGTTGTTTTTTCTCTGGCTTACATGGTGATGATATTCTCTCTCTTTTTTTTTGCTGGGATGGTAAGATATTCTAGTGGAGACTCAAAACACTTGAAACAAACAAGCTTCACTTTTATGGATGCACAAATTAATTTTAGATGAAGAGGAGAGGAGATGCAGCACATAAAAAGGAAAAGGGGATCCTCCCAAGATGGTCATGTCATCAGGTATTTGGTGCTGCCGTCTCAATGCCTGAGTGCTAGCTGTGTCCTTTTTTTCGTTAGTGTTGTCGTATCGAATAATATCAAGACAAATAGTGGTACAGGTTATTGCTCTTATGGGTGTATCAGTTTGTACTATTGTAGTAATTTGTTGCTAGTTCATGTTCATTCATAGGGGAATGGCAAATATGGAACAGCTTAAAGTTTGAAAATATCAGCGTGTGTTATATGTGAACTAATATTAAGAAGTACTATATACCTTCAGTAAGCCAAGAAGAACTGATACACGAGTAGCATCAGATGCACCAGAGAATCCAGCACTCTGCATGAAAGAAAAACGACAACTATGAAAAATACAGGAACTAAAGCGATGAAAGCATGGTGTCTGGAGGTCCCGTGAGCCCCACTTGACCTTACAAGAATAACATTATTTTTTATATTCTTGAGCAATACGGGGTAACATCTTATAACATGTAGGGGCTTCCATTTTTTGAGAGCCAACCATAGCACCACAAAAGGACATAGCTGAAATACGTAATTCATACAGAAAAGCATCAGTACCTGAAGGATTGTCGCAGCATAATATAGCACACTTGGTTGACCAGTAACCTGACAGATTCATACAGCAAGTGCATAAGAAACACACCGTCAGTTTCATCTTTACATCATGGAACATACGAGTATGGCTATATGATGACTTAAGAGACCACCTGCTGAAAGAACACCAAGCCACATCCGATTATCATTGCTTTGAGGCATTTTCCCTGAAAGATCTCACTGAAGCCTGCTTGCCTCTCTTGATCAACGTATGACAGTTCATCCAGAATCAAATCAACTTGTTCCGAAACCAAATCAGGAGAAGCTTGACCCCTCAATCGACATAAGCAACGGGTAGCATTTTCTTTTGACTCCATAATATTCCTCTTCCCTTGTATGGCACATAACAGAAGCCACCTAGGTGAAGCAGGTAACCAGCACATCCCAATTCCCATGATGAGACATAATGGTGTACTGGTGGCATACATGTAGCGCCAACCAGAAACCACTTCGACAAAGAGACTGCCTGCAATGTAGCCAAGCTGCAAAAGAGAAACGTAAGTAAATGACTAAGTAGTCTGAGAGAGAAAGGAAGAGAGGGGGAAAAGGGCAGGTCATGTAATGTGAACTTACAAGCATCCCAAGAACAATAAAGAATTCCTTGAGAGAAATGAGCATGCCTCTTATCTGACTTGGAGCAGTCTCTGCAATGTACATTGGAGCAGCATGCATAGCCTGACGAAAGCAAAGAGTTAGCGTAAGCGTCATAAACACCGTGTGGTGTTTGTATGTGTTTTGCAGTGTCAAGTATGGCATGAATAAGATAATTGTGGTTGATTACCAATCCTATTCCTATGCCATAGAAAAAGCGGCCAACCACCATGATAGGGAAGTTAGGTGCTGCTGCTGTGAGAAGAGCTCCAATCAAATATGAGACAGAAGAAAGAATAAGCTCTCTGCGCCGTCCTGTGGTAAGAGATAAGCATAAGCGAAAACAGAAGACTAGGGCAATGTTAAAAGAAAAGAGAGGAGGTGGGTGGGGGTATTAGACCTAGAAAATCGGCAATGTTGAATGCCAAGATGGAACCGATGAGAGCACCATAGAGTGAGCCACTGACCTGCATAAGCATAACGAGAATTGGGAAGAAGAAATGAAATTGTGGTAGTGTACAAGGAAAAAAAAAGAGAAACAAATGGAGGAGAGGGTAAGGGCATTACGACAAGGCCGGTTTGCAGCGATGACAAGTTGTACCATGTGGTGCCACTGAAGGTGGATGACTGCAAAGCAAAATGATGGGTAATCGCTCAAGTAATATATAGTTCTATTATTAACAAAATCGATGAATAGTGGAGTATAGTAATAGAGACCTTGAGCGATATGGTAGCACCAGACGTTGCTCCGATGTCGTAGCCATAGAGAAGGCCGCCCAAAGCTGGAAATAGGAAGCTGCAGAAGAAGGTGCCAGCCTTATTACCGACCAAGGAAGAAGAGGAGGAAGAAGGAGGAGGAGAAGAGGAACCCACGGGAGGATTGCGGCGGAGAGGCGGTAGGACTCGTGTGGCGCGAGCAGCAAGGGCGCAGTGCTCTCGCTCTCGCAGTCGCCGTGCTGGAGCTGGATCCCCTCTGCCCTCTGAAATCAATCAGAAAAAAGAAGAAGCAAACAATCAAATCAATCTGCCGAGCCGATGGAGTAGTAGTAATTGGAATTGGTAGAAGCAAGATCGACAAGTACCTTGTTGTTGGTGGTGGAGTTGGAGAGAGGATCGTCCGCCATTGCCTTTTTTATATATATATAACTTGGAAATTGAAGTTATGGAGGTGTGGGTTCTCGTTCTCGGAGGAGGAAGAGGAACTTCCTAGTTGCCCCCTTATTCCCGGACTCGTAGCGTCTTTGTATAACCAACCAACCAACCCACCCACAAAGCTCAGTCCTCCAAGCTAACTATACGAGTCATTTGGCTACATAACATGGACTACTCCTATGAACGGCACATGGTCAATCAAACCAGCCGCCTTCTTAACAGTCTTTCTTTTCCTTTCCTTCCTACGTGCCGAAACTTTAGCAACCGTCTTAGCAGTCTTTCTTTATCTTTCCTTTGTGAAACTTTGACAGACATTGCTGCTGTCACAAACTCAGCAGCAGTCTTTCTTTCCCTTTCCCTTCTTTATTTTTTTTTTTGTTGGGGGTGAGCCTTCAGCAAATATTAGCAGTAGGGAGCTACTCCATTTGTCCATAAATATAAAAAATTTTAGTTGAATGCGACACATATAATGAATCTAAATATGAAGCCGGTCCAAATTACTAGGATACGTCATATTCAATCAAAATATCTTATTATTAGGAGTAGCCAGCAGAAAATATTCACAAACAACACATGCAGACACTACACAATGAGTCGTGGCAGCCGCTTCCGCCCCAATTTCATTCCACCGAGACGAAGCCAACCACGTAGCCAGTAGCCCTCTCTCACATCCAGATCCAGCAGCTACCAGCCCAGTCAAGGACGGACGATACCGACGTTCTATCACATCACAAATCCAGACAATCGACAATATTTCATTTCAGCAAACCAGCATTCAACCCTCGTCCATTCAATGGGGACGACGCTCCGCTCCATCAAAAATAAACAAACATATCATATGGGAATTAAAACTCCATCATGTTCTTCCATTCTCAGGTAAACAATCCTCAAGACAACATTATTCAGATTCAGCCCACCGAGCCGGCTGACTGTTGTTTTAGACACCAAATCAAATGACACACTGGATCAGTGCCTTAATTAGGTTGCCTCTTCTTTCTTTGGTTCCCACGGCTGGTACCTCGTCCAGTCCCTTTGTCCTGGGTTTAGAGCATGCCCCTTGGAGTGGTAGATCAGTTCCTCACCCTCGCCGGAGAAGTTCTCCTTGTGATCCACGATGTACGCTTTAGCATTCTGCTCCAGTAGCTGCCACAACATACCCAAGTATGTCAGAATCACCTTTCCCATCCAACCACAACACCCACCCACATTCCCAGCAACTATTACCAGTGGCAAAGCCAGCAATTTTTGGAAGCCTGGGTGGTGCTCAACCCTAATGAAAACCAGTATGATCAAACATGTCTATAAGCTCAAATTTCTATCGGAGTCACAATTTTGTTATAAATTTATGATCCAATGAGTATATAAATTCCAGCAGATTTTCTAGTAGATAAAAAGTAGATAAGCCTAATAAAAAAGTAAATGAAGTCTCTTCGGAGACGCGAGATAAAAAAAGATAAATGAAAATTTATAGAGTAAATTTCACAAAACTACATATTTAGTTTTAAATTTATCAGTTTATCACAAAACTATAGATTTAGATATATGGTCACAAAACTATAGATTAAGTAGCAAATTTATCAAAATTACAGGTTTAGTGCCAATTCAATCATAAAACTACAATGTTTATAGCTCCAATATAATGGTAGTGCTAATGATTTGACCTCTAAATTCTGTAGTTTTGTGATAACGTCGATATTAAATATGAAGTTATGTGATACTTGGCCTTAAATCTGTAGTTTTGTGAAATTTACTCAAATTTATACTACATCATAGCATCATAACAACTCTGCAAGAAATATAAGATAAAAATATTCCTTTTGTATGCCTTTCCTGGGCTATGGGATACATGCTGGCTGAGTAGACTGTGGGCCACATCAACATGATTAACTGAAGGTAACTAAATTAGGCAAGGATGACCTTGGGCCACCGGTTGCTACCTTCATGCTGTGGGACACAGCCAAACAGGCCTGCAGCTTGCTACCTGGCACCTACAACTAATTAACTTGCCAGGGAATCTAATCAAATCGGTGTTGTTTTATCACTAGGCTAAATGGTTCAATGGCGTTAAGCCTAGGCAGCTGCCCGGGAGGTGAATTCACCGCTGAATATTACATAAGAAAACGCCTAAAAGGTAATAACATTTCTAAGCATCACACTGGACAGTACAAGTAACAAGCACCACCAGAGTTTTCATCATATACAGACTGCAGTAAATTCTAAAGGCTCCCCTGTTTGCTAACTTAACTAAACATGCATGTTTGCTCATTTAGCCATGGGAAGCAATAACCAAGATTTGCCCTTTTCAGATAAGCTTTCCTTGACTTGTCTGGACATTCGGTTGTTTCACTTTTGATGCCAAATTTGTGTCTACTTGTTTGGTTTTGAGGGCAAGACATTTTTTTTCCAAGATCCAAATTCCTAAGTCAGTGGCATACGATAAAGCATTACCATAACCTATAGTTATGTCGGAGGACCAAAGCTAGGAAACACAGCCAACACAAAGAAGAAAACTTGCCTCGTCCCCAGTGCTGTCGGTGATGTGGTGCAGCCATCCATGCCATTCAGGGGGCACTTGGGATGCATTGTAGCGCCCTTTCTCTGCATATTCTACCCACCTGTGCCTTCCTGCAGGGTTACCAGTATTTAGTTTTGTAGAAAGCACCTCTCTTTGGAGGAGACAGAAAGTAAGAAACGTTACATTACTACAAAGACATGCATACCAATCAAGCCCAGGGTGATCACTTATGAGCAAAGTTACAAATCTCAGAAGTGGAAGAAAAGAAAACAAGATGGCAAAAAAAAAAAAAAGCAAAACAGGATAGCATAGCATGTCTTGTTGTGAGAAGATAATTGATGCTACTCTAGTACATTCCATGATTGAAATGAATTAAAATTGCATAATAGAATAAAATGTAGCGTATGCGAGAAACCTCACTCACCATACTGAGTGTCATGTAGTTTTTCATAATATTTGTTGCCGAACTTGTCTACTCCTACAAGTGTGGCGCCGATATTGTGGATTTTAGTTTGCCTGAAAAGAGAGGATGATAATTACTACATTAGGCTGCGGCGACCTGTGGGGAGACAAACAGACACATCCAGATATGTGTAAAAAAAAAGAATAAACGGAGAGCTAGTAAGAAGGGGGAACTTACAAGAGGTTTCCATCCAGAAGGCATTTGCTGCAAATGATACAAAAGCGATATTCAGTTTGATGGAGCAAGCAGATGGTATCGAGAAATGCAGCGAAAAGAAAAGCGAGGGTCGGATAGCCATTGGCCAATCGGTTGGGCTGGGCGGCATGAAGCAACAACCCTAATCGAGGGGATTCGGTGCTGAATCGAAGGGGAGAGGAAACTAGTATGGATCGGGGCCTAATTAAAGAGGAGAAACAGGTAGCGGACGGGACGCATGGAGATCCGGATCGGCGCCCTGCGTAGCATAGATGGAGGAGGAGAGGGGTTATAGGTAGCTTACAAGTAGCCTTCGTCGCGGGCATGGCGGAGGAAGTTGGAGAGGCCCTTCTCCCGGATGCCGTTCAACACGCCACGCACCACCGCAGCCATGGCTCCTCCTCCTCCTCCTCCTCAATCTCTCTCTCTTTCTTCCGATCTCCTCTTGGGTTCCTGCGGCTGCGGGTCGGAGTCGGAGGAGGAAGAAGAGGAACATGGATGGGCCAACCACCCACCAGACTTCATCTGTATGGGCTCCTCATTCACCTGGGAGCCCATTTCTGGGATGGGCCGAGTTTTAGGCGCTGCCAAAACTTAATCCAAATCACTTAGTATACTACTCCAGTACAAGTACTCCCTCCGTTTCACAATGTAAATCATTATATCATTCCCACATTTATATTGAAATTAATGAATCTAGACATATATATTTAGGTTCATTAAAATCAATATGAATGTGGAAAATACTAGAATGATTTACATTGTGAAACAGATAAAGTAGTAGATTATTAGAAATCTCCAAGAGCTCCCTAATACCAGTTCTAAAAGATAAATTATAGGAATCTAATCTAAAACCATGTCTTAAAGAGATATCCAAAGACGGTCCCAATATTTACTGACACCCAAAACCATTGATGAAATCATGGGAGGATTTTGCCGCTCGCACCTTTTCTTCTCCTCTCGTGACAATCTAGAGTTGTCGCATCCTGCCGAGCGCTCCTGGTGTTGGTGACCCTCCGTCACAGGGGCAGTGCTCAGAAAGGCATCGACAAGCTCGCCTCTGCTCCGACTAGTGTGCGGCATCCATTCCGTCCAAGGCGTCGCTACCCCTCCGTCTAGGGCGTCGTCGAGACAACCAAGAAACCTCATGTGTTACTCTGTAGTGCCCTGCCGCGAGATGGCCGAGCCCTGTCTGCCCTCCTCGACGCGCCTTGTAGACTTGCTGATGCCCACGCTGTCCGCTGTCGCAACTGCAAGGCATGCACGAGATCGTCCTGTTGCACAGCATAGTGAGCCGCTAGCGTGCGATTGGTTAGCAGCGCCTAGCATCGATCCCTCTCTTACCGGAAAAATAAAAAGACATAAACGGTCGAAGCAGAACCTACTTGAGATGATATGGCATATTTTAAAGTTGGTGGAAATCAAATTTAGGGGCATTCTTGGAGTAGGAGGTGATATTTGGGCCCAATTTTTTTGGGACGATACTAGCTAATCCAAGATTTTTAGGAGTAAAATTTTAAGATGCTCTTACATCACTACTTTTTTTTTAGAATTACACAGTACAACACAGACACTCGCGACGCACTATTAATTTGTGCTTATATTCATCTTCTTTGTATTTGTTTGGGGGTTAAGTACAACATATGCAGCTCACTAGGCAACCATGTTATGTACAGCTAGCTACAGATCGACCAATAATATGATACTGTGTATGATCGCCAGGCCATATCATTATAGTAATATATGCAGTGGAGAATCAAACAACTTTCTGTTCCTTCCATTCTTGATGCAAGTCGCCATACGACTACTGTAGTGCACTAGTGATGATTGTTATATCTAATTAGGAATATTATACACAAACACACACACACTTGAATTGATCAGTTACTAGCCTGCACTGCATGCAGAGGAAAGAAAATCACACTCGATCGATCAGTACCACCAGTTCTCTGCGAGTAATGTTTTTAGTTACTCCTCCATTCCATGCCTTGGATGCATTAATTAGGTTCGACCAAACTGCTCTCATCTGTAACGATGTGCGGCAGTGAATTGAATGGACTCCATTTGAATTATAATTGGCAGTATATATTAAGAAAAGCATTTCTAAAAAAAAAACTATGGATGTGGACTATTGAATTTGTTTCCATGTAAAAGAAGAGAGTGCTAGTATTGCAGCCTAATTATTAATCTCTGGGTATATACGGCTGGTTTTTGCTGGAATAGCCGAAGGAGACCATCCAATATTATTAAGATAGGAAGAAAATGTTACAAGAAAAGTTTTACATTGACAGTTGGCTATCAAGCAAGGATGTACACCAGAGCACACGCCCCGGATCATGTGCCAACCACCTAAACACATGCTACAGAGAGGGAAGCCGGGCACCGAATTGGCTATCGCTATGCGAGACCGATCACCACCACCACGGAACGAAGACTCTAAAAATTACGCCCTCAAGAGGTAAAAATTATGCCCTCAAGAGGGTCGCGACACCGAAAGACGCCGTCGTCGTCCGTCCAAAAAACTAGACAAGGTTTACACCCAGAGCTCTTTGCTAAGAGAGGAGGGGTACCTCAACAGTGTCCTCTGGAGGGTTAACACGCCCAAAAGTATGATCATTGTTGGCCCAATGACTTGGGCTAAGCTTTCGCTCGGAACCCCTACAACCCCTGCCTCCATGGTCCGTCGCCCAACCCTAAACCACCATCCAAACATCGGCAGGTTATACTAAACATATACGGCCGGTTATACCACAGTCCATGCACTTGCTGATCTACTGCACATACTACATATGCTCTGAGTTTTAACTCATGGGGTTGCTAGCTGCTAGCTTAATTTAATCGATCCTTGTCCATTCATTCATTCTACCTTGTCGTCTAATCCTTGGAAACGAGAATCCAACTCTAGCTACTCTAGCTAGCAGTGTGGCAGCTCCAAAATGCATTTTGTTTGATTAATAATTTTTACAGATATCTACACAAGAATCATGGGTCAGGCATACATATATACTAGTTGGCAGCCCGCCCCGCGTCTTTGCCATGGGTTTTATAGATTTATCGTCAAACAAAATCATAGTTTTAAATGGTTAAGTGCAACTCTATGTATATATAAAATATATGATAATGTGGATTTATATATGCCTTATGTTATTACAATACCATTCATGTTTTGTTTTTTCAAGTGTCATTGTGTATTGTTATAATATATGAATATTATCTTCATGCGCAATATGGGTATCGTTGTAGTTAAACAGTTTGCATCTCTCTACCCCACTCAAGTTTTTTCTGAAAATGGATTCAGGTAACTATACCTAATAATTATATGCAACCTTATCATGCATAATAAAATAAAACATACATATTAAACAATAACCACATATTATATCCGGAAAACATGGTGTTATGCATAAAATATGTAGCAGTGCTACGTGTGACTATGAGGTGGAGCAAAGGGAGGTGAATAGATGGATAACTAATAAATGATTGAATTGAATGAATAAGTAGCTTCTTGGTTCAGCGGTTGTTATCTTTATACTAATATGATCTGATGGCTTAAAATTGTTGATTATGTGGCTTTATAGAAGTAAATGCTTCTTAATGGGTACCAACTATATATAAAGATAGGATATATATTCAGTACTACTTAAGTCCAAGGGATGCACATCCTATGCAATACTGTTGATATAGTAGCAGCGGATGACATGTGGGCCCGGACAATCCCCACTAAATTCCAAGTATTAATTACAATTAGCGGATGACATTGTAATCGTTCGATATGATTGTCGATGAACTACATGCACACAGTTTAATTAATCTAGCTAGCTGTACTTGCAATTGCTTGCATAATCATCAGATATATGATGAATTTCTCATGTAAAAAGAACCATGCCGTCCGTCGAATTAAAGGTACTATGGAGTATAGCTTTTTATCTGGAGGGCATGCATGGATATGCCTCTTGCTGTTGATGAAAGCTGCCTAATCATGCATATGGAAAAGTACACAAGATAGATAGCACATCGACAGTGAGGATCGGATGAATTAATTGGGGGAGATACAGTATATGTATATGAATGGATGGGTGAATGGATTGATACCTGAGATCGCCATGGCCATGCACCCATCAACAATTGTTGATCAATCTATTTAGGGTCTGTCTGTCTGACAGATATATCCATCAATCAGTCCCGTCCGTGCCCGCCGACCCACTCAAAGATCAATCAAAACAATAACTATGCATCAAAGTAAAATTAACAGGGTGGTAGTGAAAGGAAATGGAAATATATATACATAAAGCCTAAAAGGAGAGATGAATGGATGATGGAGTAACTCTAGTATAGCTGTAGGTGAGTGACACTAGTACTCATCATCATCATCATCGGTTGTTGTTGATGTATGACAAGACTAGCTATTACCTATCTCTTGCTAGCTATATATCGCACTATCTAGCTTCGATCGATCGATCGATGGGGATGTGGGGTGTGTTAGTTCCTTCGTCTTCTTTCCGTTGTGCTGGTATATATTCATATATGCATGCAAGGGCATGGCATGGTGGCCACAATATACTCTAGTTAAGTCGTCGTCGTCGTCGTCTTCTTCTTCAATACTATATACATATAATCCCTGTCCGGCCGGCCTGATTAATCTCCTCTGGAATTAATATGGAGATCTCTTGCTAGCGAGATATATAGCGTCGATCGACCATGTGTGACAGCTTGTTTTGGCAGTCGTCGGCCGACCAAGGGGACCTCTCGGATGTGGTGAGGGCCAGCCTTCAGCTGCAGACGGCGCCTCGCCATCAGGCTGCATCGCCGCCGTATGTGCACCTCTTAGGAGGAGGAGGAGGAGGAGGAGAAGACCAGCTTGCAGCAGTGAGCCAACACGCTGAGCAGCAGCAGCAGAGCATGGTGGATGCTTCTGCAGCTTGCGACCTTCTCCATGCGCTGTTGCCACCACCACCAGTAGTGCAGGTGCAGCAGCAGGGAGCGTCGAGGACGAGGACGACGATTGAGGAGGACACCACCGGCGACGGCGAGGAGTTATTTGCTGGTGCTCATTATGTCGTTCCGCCCATCAAGCGAAGGTACGTAGGTATTCTTTAACTTCTTATACTGGAGTAGTACCTAGCTAGCTGTAAGGATGTATATATATATATACAGGAAGAGCCAGACGAAGAAGGTGGTGTGCATCCCGGCGGGGGCGAGTGGCGGCGGCGGCGGCGAGGTGGTGCCGTCGGACCTGTGGGCGTGGAGGAAGTACGGGCAGAAGCCCATCAAGGGGTCGCCCTACCCTCGCGGGTACTACCGCTGCAGCAGCTCCAAAGGTTGCTCCGCCCGGAAGCAGGTGGAGCGCAGCCGCGCCGACCCCACAATGCTCGTCGTCACCTACACCTCCGACCACAACCATCCATGGCCAACCCACCGCAACGCCCTCGCCGGCTCCACCCGCCCCTCCTCCTCCAACTCATCCAACATACGCCTCCAAGACAGTACTCCAGTTCATCATCAGAGTCAGACTGGCCACGATCGTCTTACGACCACTCACCTCAAGCAGGAGGACGTGATCATCTCCCCCTCCCTGCTGCAGCCCGACCACCATCAGCTGTGTACCATTATTGACACCAAGCACCACCTCTTGTTTCATCAAGACTATCCTCACAGCTTCGGCTTGTTCGACTAGCCACACTTTCTTGTAAGCTACTAGTAGCTAGCTAGCTACTTTACCATCTATATATAGCCTAATGTAAGCTAGCGTACGTGCTTAATTACTTGTTACAGAGCACGCCACAATTGTTAGTTAAAATGTTACTCCCTCCCGTCACAAAAGGAATATCGTTTAGAATGCCTCCACATTGCACAATCATGTGATGATTAATCTTGGTGATGAACAATTATCAAAGTAAAGTATTTATTTAAAATACAGTGAATAGTTTTTTTTATTGTGGACGGTTTTTGTCGGCTCTAGGAGTCCAGTCAAACCGGTGGTGTTCGTGCAGTCTAACTGGAGTGCCCGACGGTCGAACCGGCAGACTCCAGGAGGGAGTCGGTTTTGGATTGTTTTTGTGGAATTTATAGATTGTTTCATGTATATGAGTTCTAGATGGTTTTTATTCGTATGTGATACTATTGTGTGCTGATGTGAATCAAGTTGGTGCGAACTTATACTCAAATATGAAATTTTTTGTTCTTCATGTGTAGGTGTTAGTTGAGGCCATGGGAATGTAGCTGGTGATGGATTGGGACTTATCACGCTAGACAATGGGATGTTCAGGCTAGAGAACAATGCATGTGGAGGTGAAGGTTTTCATATGACATACACGTAGAGTTGTGCCTATGGAAAGATAGGTCAAATTTAAAACGGAGTCCAAGTTTGAGAAGATTGGAGTGTGGAGTTGTATGGTGACATTGTTTGCCTGGTTTGATAGGTTTCCTATGTTGATTAGGAGTGCTAGTTCTAGTTGGATTCGTGGCTAGGGGCAGTAATGTTATGGGTATAAATAGAAGACTGGTTGAGACTAGAAGGATATCAACGTTTTGGGAGAGGAAAGTTACTATTTGCTTCGGGCCTAGTTCGTGAGTTGAGAGGGAGGAGTGTTTTAGATGCAATTTATAAACATATATTAATGCAATAAAGTTGATCTACTTTCAAGAGTTTCTTTGATATGTTTTTATTTGGATCTCAACGGTCACATCGACGGCAAAGCGGCGGTCCAACTGGTGGTGCGGTGGTGGTCAAATCGGCGGTATCCACGTCTATAGACCGGTGGCGTCAGGAGGTTGTAGCGGTGAGCAAGGCAGCCAGATCAAAAGAGCATCGTCGGCCAAACCAGCGGCATCTACCCAGTCAAATCGAAACACACACGTCGGTCAGACCTGATCTTCATTAAATTTGAGGGTAACTTTTTAATTTTGCAAAATAGATTTGGTTTTTGGTGTTCCTACCATTCACCCCTCATCTAGTAGGCTTAGTTCTTGTTATTCAATCCTTCGAGAAGTTAATTTGACTATAAGGCTTCCTCTCCCTCCTTCCCTCCCGTTCCTCCTTGTCTCGTCGGCCGAGACGGGGCAAAGCCGCGTTAGAGGCGAACGGCGGCGTTGACGTAGGCCCTAGCTAGCACAGGTCGTGGTGGGTATGGAGGCATGATGGCAGTGACAACGGAGGTGGTGGGGGCATTCTGAGAGGTGGAAGGGTCGACGGTGGTAGCTACTAGCGGCATACGAAGTGGCAGTGCTTGGGGCCTAGGTGGCGATGGCGGTGTTGGTGGTGGTGCTGGCAGTAGTAGCGGTTGGCTTGCTTGGTGGTGATGGTGGTGGCTGATCAGCTCAGCGGCGCGCTAGGAGCAATGCCAAGGGTGGTGGCAGAGGTTAGGGGTGAAGACGACTCGATAGTGGCGACTCTCCAAACAAGATATGCTGTGATGTTAGCTCGGCGAAGGTTGTGGTTTGTGATGACAATGGTGTTGTGGCGGCAGCTCTCCAGCGAGATAAGCTACTGCAGCTCGACGGAGGTTGTGGTTTGTGGTGATGACAGCGTGGATGCGATGATTCTCTAGCGAGATAAGCTTCCGTGACTTGTCTGATGTGAGATTCTACGGTGACAGCAGAGGGGTAGCATGATCGCTTTTGTGCGATGTGGCGATGACTTTTGGTGAGATAAGCTGCGGTAGCTTAGCGGAGGTGGTATTTTACGACAACAACGACATAGCGGCGATGGATGTGCTCATGCTAAGGGGGGCATTGATTGTCCGTCTGGTATGAGGCTGGTGCTTGGTGATGTCAAGGCAGCTGGGCGGACTAGTCCTGGCCCCTTCCTTTGCTCATGGCAGAGCAAATGAAGTTTTTACGGTTGCTACAGTGTCAACGAGAGAGTGTGCAGGTAGAAAGACATGCTAGCTCCACATCCGATGTTTGAAGTGATGAGGAAAAACATGAAGTTAGTGTTTTTGTCTTTTCTTTTTGGTGGTTTGTTTTTTTAATCTCGATTATGAGATGTGGAGTGTATGTATTTGTGTAATCTTTGGTTGTGTATATCCATTTATAGATATAGAAACCGATTCTCTATCCATTATTATGAAAATGATGTGTCGATTTTGGACATATTAAAATATTTGTAGCCAAGTTTATCCGAGCAATAGATTTCATATTATAAAACCTTGGATTTATACAAAAGAAATTAAATAGTCGTATTAACTTTGAAAAGTCCAAAACCCATTTTCTTCTAGTGACTAATTGAGGGAGTAGTAGTATGATCCTATTACCCTGTTATTTTTACTGAAACAAAAAAAAAAGCCTTTTGCTGCTATATGATAATGAGGAAAATTGAGGCAAAAAATATTTCGAGAAAAAAAAACTATCGATGCTATAGAGCCAACTAATGATAGTGAGCAAGCTGCATGCCGAAATTAAAGGTCAGTTTGATATGTAATTTCACGCTGACGCTGTTACCAGCTTGGTTGTTCTCGATCAATGTCTTGATTCAACATTCTACTGAATGGAGAGTGATATGCATAGGGTAACTAGCAAACAAGCTAAATCGATTATTAACAACGACGTGTGCCTGAATCTGGATCTCTATATATCTCCATCACTTCGCAGTGTCCCAATCTGCATTTCGTAATGAATGAGATGGCGATATTCAGTCCAAAGGACACTGTAAACCCCACAAAAGAAGGGAAGAAAAAAAATTGAAAAGAAGGAAAAGAGAGATGGGCACAGGCTGAAAGGAAAACCTGAGGTCCGAAAGCTAAGATAAAAAGCTCAAACGACAAGAAGAATCTTGTTACCACAATGCAATCCCTGTTGCTGCTAGGGTGCTAGCTGATGAGACTGGACAATGTAGGAAATATATAGCGTCTTGTTGATTTTCTCGACCAATTCCGTCTCAAACACTCCCTGGAACTGATGATCAACAAGGCACATCGTGTCCGCTATGCTCTTATCTTTAGGTTTATGTGTGCATGATGTAGTCATCATCATCATCAGTAACTGAATTCAGAAACTCAAAATCGCCTGGCGATGATCAACGGCATTCACCCTCGAGCAGAAAATCTACTGGCCGCAATCTGAGAAAACAACAACTATGCCTTTGTGTGACCAGAGTGTCCATATCTAAACTCTCAGAGAAATATTGCCATGTTAAAAGTTGGCCTGAAGCTTGGATGAAGACGTTAAGTAGAATCGATGTGTGTGCAAGACCAATTTCTTCACCAGCAGCAGTTATCCCACTATTATGCTGAATATTGTACATAGCACAAGACGGGTGGGCTTTATCAGCCAGATTGTGCAGAAAACAAAACCAGATGAGAATGCATCAAACAACAATTGGGAAAAAAATAACATTTCAAATCAGTGTGAGGAATGCAGTAGTTGGCACTCAGTACTCATCAATCTGTCTCGCATGCCAAACTCCATCATGTCTGTCCTGATTTCCTAGCTGCAGAAGTTGAGCTTCTTTATCACTTTTGCATAAGCTAAGTGCACTAATGCAGGCTTCCGAAGTCTTCTTTTCGCTTCCTTCGACTGCAACAACATAAACAATAGCATCACATACAAACTCGGTGTGCACTGGCCGGCAGTACCAGCTAAATAACATAGTGAGTAGAAATGAGAAGTTAAAGTGGCTATGAGTAACTTTGATCATATAAGAAAGACATGGATGCATCAATGAACTTTGGAAAATGTTTAATGAGTTCTGCAATTGGCTATGTGGAAATGAGTTTGATTCGATTCTGTGTAGCGTATAGGAGGAGGAAGGGTAGCTCAAGTGGTGTTGTCAGATTTTGTTACAACTTTTTGGAGACCGAAGTTACAGGACAACTGAAAGGTTTACCGAATCGGTCCACTATATTCATCTCTCTCTCTCTCTCGGGCGTGGAACCAATAGATTGGCGTTGGACTATGGTAAAACTAATCATATCGAGGAAGAGAAAATGGCAGGGCAACCATGTTTTCATGATGAGACATATGTGGTTTTGCAAAGATAACAGAGCAGAGAGTTCACCATCCAACATATAACAGTAACAAATCAAAATTTCCATTTAGACAGCATAAATCGAAAGTTTGGTACTGAACACTGGTACAAGCAACAGGCATTCAAGAGAGAAGTTAAAGTGGCAGGAAAGGCATGGGGGAGAAGAGAAGATGGTCATTATGATTTTCTGGAGACTGAAGTTACGGGACATCTAAAAGGTTTACCGAATTGGTCCATATTCATATCTCTCTCTCTCTCTCTTGGGCACGGAACCAATAGATTGGCGTTGGATCATGGTGAACTACATATTGAGAGAGAGAGAGAGAGAAAATGGCAGGGAAATCCATGTTTCCACGATGAGACATATGCGGTTTTGCAAAAAAAGATAGTAACAAAGAGCAGGGAATTCATCATCCATGATATAACAGTAATAAACTGAAAAATCATGATACATCATTATTAAATCGAAAAATTAGGTTTCACTAGGAAAACAATTGGATACGTACAAGCAACAGAGAGATGATAAGGTCCTAGGCCTAGCAGGAAAGGCATGGGGGGAAGAAGATGGAAGATGGTGTACCTTGAGGTGAGCATTGTGGCGCTTGCCGGCTCTCCACCTGCGGACCTGGCCGTCATTCATGACTCTGAATCGAAACTTCATGGAGCTAGTAGTAAAAAAGTAGTAAGTGAGAAGTTGATAATAGTGATTGAATGATGGAAGAGAGGAGTGGAAGGAGGGATGCGTACGAGGGGGGCTTGATCTTGTACTTCTTGACCTTGGAGGTGGTGGGCGTCCGTGGCGCGCGCGATCTGTCCTTGGCGGCGAAGTGGCGCACCTGCTGCGTCTGCCATTGCATCGGCGGTGGGGAGGAGGGATGGAGACCCAGAGGAGGAGTCAAGAGGTGGTGGCGGGAGGAGAAGGGCAATGGCCTGGGGCTGGGGATGAGGTGCGCCGGAAGAGGGCGGTGGGCAGGGGCGGAGACAGAGGAGGAGAGGAGGCGGCGGCCGAGGCCGAGGCCGGCGGCGGCGCACCACCGCCGCATCGTGCAATGCCTCTCTCTTGTCTGTTGTTGTTAGGGTTTGTTCGAGAAGGGGAGGAGTCCAAGAGGGATCGAGCGACGAGAGAGATGAAGGCCCATATTGCATCCAGCCCAATTGATATCCGGCCTAGTGACGTGGGCCCAGTTAAGCCCATCAGTCTGTGTCGCTTTCTCGTGGCTGTCGTGGGTCACCAATCCTTTTCCCTTATAAATATATGTATAAATAATTGAAAAAGAAAATAAAAATCCCCACGAGGTCAAAACAGCAGCTCACAGGTTGCAAGTGGCAGTGGAGTAGTCATCAATTTTCCGTGGAGTATTGTATTTGTATGCTACTACCTCCATAGTTTTGCACTATTTATGTTCAACGTTTGACCGTCCGTCTTATTTGAAAAATTTATGAAAAAATTAAAAACATTTAGTCACACATAAAGTACTATTCATGTTTTATTATCTAATAGCAATAAAAATACTAATCATAAAAAATTTTCAAATAAGACGGACAGTCAAACGTTGAACATGAATAGTACAAAACTGCACTTATTTTGGGACGGAGGGAGTAGTATTAATTTACTACTCTATCCGTCCCAAAATATAAGTATTTTTATCACACTAATAAATCAAACATTTTTAACTTTGACTATTAATAGAAAAAATAAAAAAAGTTCAATCATGTAAAATTGATGTTACTAAATTTATTATTAAACAAACTACAGTTTTTTTACTTAAAACATCTCGTTTTTATAGTATATACTATTGGTCAAAATAATATAGATCGTATTAGAGTCTAGAAATGCTTATATTATAGGGTGTAGGGAGCAAGTTAATGAGGTGACAGAGACCGTGACGATGCAAGCCGACAAATACAACTACTAGGAGTTGGGGTCTTGTTCGCCACCATTACACCATTCCATTCCAGTGGTAGAAGATCCGAGATCGAGGAGGAGGTGAGGAGAGGAGCAAGAAGAAGAAGAAGAAGAAGAAGAAGAAGATGGGCATGGAGAGCGGAGATGCCCAACTGCCGCTGCTCCACCACCAGGTTCTCTCTTTCTACTACTAATATATATCCCCAATTCTAAATCCTTCCTAATTAAGCTTTTCTTTGCTTCCATATGATCGGCAGTACTAGTATATACTCCAACTCCACGGTAGAAAGGGAGGGGAGGGAAGGGATTAATTTCCCATTGGATTGGATTGGATTGGATTAAATTGAGCATTCTCAATTTCTCACCGCCCTGTATCGATCAGTACTCACTGTCTTCCTCCCTCCCTCTGCTTGCAGGCTTCCGCATCCAATCAGCACTATACCAAGCCCCCCTTCAACTGGAAGGCTCCTGCTCTTATCTTGGGTAGGGTAACCCCAGCCCCCACCCCCTTCTTAATTAATTTATCTTCCTCCTCGATCCACCAGTCGCATGGATCTATCTACACATACATAATTAATTAACCATATACTCCTATGAAAAATGAATATAACGCCTTTCCACACTTGTCAGAATACTTGTCTTGTGATTGCAGAACAACTGTCTAGTTAAATCTGCCAATTTGGCATTTTTTTAAATCTAATCACGGACTCCATAGTTGTATCCTAATATAAATACTTCATACATCTTCATTCATTGTAGCCTTTGAATTCTTGGAGAGCATTGCCTATGCTGGCATCTCCCTCAACTTGGTCGTTTATCTTGGAACCGTCCTCCATGGAACTACCGCCTCTAACGCAGCCAATGTTGATACATGGAACGGAACCACTTTTCTTACACCGGTGCTTGGAGCCTTCTTGGCTGATACATACTGGGGAAAGTACAAGACCATTGCCATCTCTACAGTTTTCTATCTTATTGTAAGTGCATCCGCCATGTACTAGTATCGTTTTGTGCATCGTTTAATACTAGCTAGCTATCTAGTAGTAATTCCTCTCATTTGCATTTGCATGTGTTGTGCTCATGCCATATAAGTATGTACTATCTGAGTTATATATGTCCACAAACAAACAGGGGTTGCTTGTAATTACCGCCTCTGCTGTCATCCCATCACTACAACCTGCTCCATGCAATGGGAGCTCATGTCCTCCTGCAACAGGGTTTCAGTATTTTGTCTTCTTCACCGCGCTCTACCTTATTTCGGTTGGCACCGGGGGTGTCAAATCAGCATTACTCCCCTTTGGAGCTGACCAGTACAACGATTCAAACCTCGAAGAGAGTAAAAAGAAGCAATCTTTCTTTAGCTTGTTCTTCATTGCTATCAACCTTGGAGTGTTCATTTCGGGCACTGTCGTCGTTTGGATACAGCAAAATGTTGCTTGGTCTCTCGGATTCGGCATCTCCTCAATATGCCTTGTTGTTGCCACAGTTGCCTTTTTGGCAGGAACACCAGTGTACAAGGTCCAGCTTCCCAGTGGAAGCCCACTCAAGAGTGTTGTAATGGTTTTTGTTGCCTCTTTTAAGAAGAGAAAACTGGAGGTTCCTGCCGATAACGCACTCCTGTATGAAGGGGATGATGCTGATTTAAGCAATGGACAATCAGTCAAACTAGCACATACTGATGGTTTCAGGTACTTCTGTGACTTAATCTTTATATACGCTTTGCAATTCAAGGCGAACATATATATAAGCTGGCCTTAGGTAGTTCTTGTTCTTCTTCCTCTAAAAAATAGCTGATATAGTTGTAGTTGTCTTGAATTTTTTTTCTTTCGAGAACTCATCACTTTATTTATAAGATTAAAAACACAGTTCAAGGGGGGACGACGTCCCAGTGTATCGCCGCAGTAGATAGATTGTACAAAAAAAAAACAACAACACTACCCATTCATAAGGCAAAAGCCGACTGAACTAAGGAGTGAGATAAACCGAACAACAGTAATGGATGGGATGATCGACAGGGGGCTGTGTCACTTGTCCTGAATTTTGATAATCTTAATTTGTGTAAAAGGTTACTTTTGGATATAGACTTATATTTGTTTCATTTCAGGTGGTTAGATAAGGCGGCAGTGGTTTTTGAGGAGGTGGAAGAGATAAATAAGGATGAGGGTGGGGGTGGAGGGTGGCTGCAGTGTTCGGTAACGCAGGTGGAGGAAGTGAAGATTCTGCTGCGGATGCTGCCGATATGGGTGACCAGCGTGCTGTACGCGGCTTCCTTGGGTCAGACGGCCACCACCTTCGTGCAGCAGGGGAATGCCATGAACACCAAGATCGGATCCTTCTCTGTCCCGGCGGCATCCCTCAACTCCGCCGAGGTCATCTTCATGATGATCTGGGTGGTGTTCCAGGACACGGTGGTCGTCCCGATCGCCAGGCGCTACACCGGGAACCCCGCGGGGCTGACGCAGCTGCAGCGGATGGGCGTGGGGCGGTTGCTGGCGGTGCCGGCGCTGGCGGTGGCGGCCGTGCTGGAGACGTGGCGGCTGCGCAGCGTCAGGGACGGCGGCAACCTGAGCATCGCGTGGCAGCTGCCGCAGTTCGTCATCCTGGCCTGCTCCGACGTCTTCTGCGGCATCGCTCAGCTGGAATTCTTCTACTCGGAGGCCCCCGTGTCGATGCGGAGCCTCTGCTCGGCCTTCTCCTTCCTGGCGCTCTCGCTGGGCTACTACGTCAACTCCCTCGTCGTCTCCATCGTCGCCGTCGTCACCACCACCTCGAACAAGGGCTGGCTCCCCGCCGACCTCAACGACGGCCATCTGGACTACTATTTCTGGCTCTGGACGGGGATCAGCGCCATCAACTTTGTGGTGTACGCCGCCTTTGCCAAGAATTATACCGTCAAGAGACTCGCCGTCCCGCACTCGCACTGATCGTCTCCCTCATCCACCCAACACTGCCTTGTATTATTCCAATCAACCATTCTTGTATTATTATTCCACTTGATTCGTTGAGCATGTATATAAACCAAATAAAAAATAAACCAAATAAAGGGCTGAATCCATGCATTACCTTCTGCAGTTTCTTAACAAAAATCTTTTTTTAACGGAAAATAGCACTAGAGTGCCTTTTTATTGAATAGAGCAGGAGAAAATACAACCCCTAGGGGCAACAGGAAAAAATCTTTCAGCTTTTAAACCAGATCTCTGCTAGAATTACGTACATCCTACCGAGATCCATCAGCAGACCAAAACTATGAAAACACGCATATTCCCAACTTGTGAACATTGTATTACTGTTAGGGCTCACAAGGATTCACTCAAGCACACACACAATTTGGCAACACTATGATAGTTTCCTCTCAGATCCAACAGGATCGAGCCGCTGCCGCCTACGCCTCCAATTGCCAATTCAATGTCTTAATTCAATTCAACAGTATTTAACTAACACCAACATCACGCCAGCTCACATGCGAGCAAGTGACTCACGCAACCCAGTCTGGGCCTTGGACCTTGGTATTGGGCCTCCTCAGACGAGCTGAACGACAGCCCCAAGTCTTCAGCTTGTCTTCCTGCTTCTTTTGCCTTCTCAATACTTGGCTCCCTTCTCTTGTCCTTGTCTTCTTCAGGATCACACTTCCTGACAAGCCCTTCCCCTTGAAAATTGGCTTGTCCCCAAGCCAATGCAGCTGGAAAACGGGAACGCAGATCCTCCATATCTTCCCAAGTGGCTTCCTCTGGGAGAGAATCAGACCATTGAGTTAGCACTTGAGTGACAGTTGAATTACCTTTCTTAGCCAAACGCCTGTCCAAAATATGCAAGGGAAACTGCAATGTAGAAGTATCAGTGGGCAGTTTGGATTGAACAAGACCAGAGAATCCAACAGCGGACTTCAATTGGGACACATGGAACACTGGGTGGATAGAACTATGAGGTGGTAATTAAAGTCTATAAGCCACACTGCCCACACGCTAAATCACTTGAAAAGGCCCAAAATACTTGAATGATAATTTGTGATTAGCTCTGACAGCCACAGAAGTCTGTATATACGGCTGAAGTTTCAAGTATACCCAATCACCAATAGCAAAAGTTCTGAAACTTCTTTTCTTGTCGGCAAAGTGTTTCATTTGCTGCTGAGCGCGGTGAAGGTGTTGCTGTACAAGTTGTTGCATCAACTTCTTTTCCTTGAACCATGTATCCATCTCAGGAATAGAACAGTCTGAAATACCAATGCCAAAATGGTTTGGGGGATGACCATAAAGGACCTCAAATGGAGTAGCATGAATGGCAGAGTGATAGGATGTGTTATACCAATACTCAGCGAGATGCAACCATGCAGCCCATTTGGAAGGAACTGAATGAACAAAACAACGCAAGTATATTTCCAGGCATTGGTTAACCCTTTCGGTTTGACCATCGGATTGAGGATGATATGCAGAACTGAAATGTAACTTGGTGCCAGCTCCCTCAAACAAGTGTTCCCAAAGTTGGCTAGTAAAAACCTTATCTCTAAAAAAAATGATAACCAGGGGCAAACCATGTAACTTAAAGATATTTTTCATGAACAGCTTAGCAACAGATAGAGCTAAAAATGGGTGAGCTAAGGGAAGGAAGTGACTGTACTTAGAGAATTTGTCTACAACAACCAAGATGCAATCAGAATGCTCAGACCTGGGCAATCCTTCATTGAAATCCAAGGATATAGTTTGCCAAGCTCCTTCAGGAACAGGGAGAGGTTTAAGGAGGCCAGGGTACTTTGCTCTATCAGGTTTGGCCTGGAGACAAACTTGGCACTGGTGAACAAAGGTTTTTACCATTTTCTTCATGTTTGGCCAAGCAAACAGTTGTTTGATTTTCCTATAAGTAACTAGAAAGCCAGAGTGTCCCCCAATGGGACTGTCATGCAGTGCAGACATGAGTTGAAGCTGTAAATTATCATTGTTACCAATCCAAACTCTGCCCTTATATTTCAGTAACCCAGCAGAGAGAGAAAAATGCTTCCTGGAAGTTGGACAGACAGATAATTCAGTGAGGAATTGAAGGGAAAAGGGATCCTGAGCATACCCTTTTGTTACTTCTTGCAACCAGAGTGGGGTGGAGCTGGAAATGTGATACAATTCACTGTTATCATCCTGAAACTTGCGAGAGAGAGCATCAGCTGCAGCATTACTGGTACCTTTTCTGTAACAAATTTTATAATTGAGGCCAAGGAGTTTAGTGAAAGCTTTATGTTGCCAGGGTGTGTGTAACCTTTGGTCAGAAAGGTGCATAAGACTATGATGATCAATAAGGATAATAAACTCCCCCAACTGCAAATAAGACCTCCATTGATCAACTGCCATGAGGATTGCCATGCACTCCTTCTCATAAGTAGACAAGCCTTTTGTTCTTGGACCCAAGGCCTTACTAATGAAAGCGATAGGATGATTGTCTTGTGATAACATAGCCCCAATACCAGCTTCAGAAGCATCAGTTTCCACAATGAAGACCTTCTTGAAATCAGGCAAGGCTAGGACCGGGGCAGTCACCAGAGCCTACTTAAGCTGGTTAAAAGCTGAGTCAGTTGCAGTGGTCCACACAAAAGGAACATCCTTCCTCAAAAGATTTGTAAGGGGCTTACTAATGAGACCAAATCCCTTCACAAATTTTCGATAGTAACCGGCCAATCCCAAGAAACCCCTTAATTTCTTGATAGTGGTTGGTACTGGCTAGTTTAACACTTCCTGGATCTTGCTCTGATCAGTATGGACACCGGTAGCACTGATGGTGTGGCCAAGATAAGTATGTTGTTGTTGAGCAAATGAGCACTTGCTCAATTTAACCTTCCATTGATGTTCAGACAGTAAGGCTAGTACTTGGTGAATATGATCCAGATGGGACTCAAAATCAGGGCTGTAGATCAAGATATCATCAAAGAACTGTTTTCAGAGTATCATTCATTGCACTTTGAAAGGTAGCCGGAGCTCCCGTCAGCCCAAAAGACATTACTATGTATTCATAGTGTCCAGTATGAGTTTGGAAAGCCGTCTTATACTCCTCACCAGGGGCCATTCTAATTTGGTGATACCCATCTCGTAGGTCTAACTTAGAAAACCACTTAGCCTGAGATAATTCATCTAAAAGCTCATCAATGATTGGCATGGGATAAGTACCCTTGATGGTAATGGCATTTAATTTTCTATAGTCAATGACAAGTCTCCAAGTACCATCCTTCTTCTTGACCAACAGAGCTGGGGATGAGAAAGCACTGTGGCTAGGCTGGATAACTCCAGATTTCAACATATCAGAAATTTGCTTTTCAATCTCATCCTTAAGAGCAGGATTAAAGCGGTATGGCCTCAAATTAACAGGTGTTGCCACAGGTACAAGAGGAATACTATGGTCACAATATCGCTTAGGAGGGAGTTCAGTAGGTTCTGAAAAAACATCCTGGAACTTGAGAAGTAAATTATGTACTGCTTCAGGCATAGTGTCACAGATTTCTGAAACAGAAGATGTCAATTGGACCAAATACAGAATAGACCCCTTTCTAGCCATACCCAAGCATTGTTCAGCAGAGATAGCATTGCAACTGTTAGTCTGGGAAGTTATACCTTGCAACCTGACAGGCTGGTTGTTAACTTGAATTTCCATCCATTTCTGTGACCAATCCACCTGCATAGGACTGAATTGCTCCAACCAGTCCATGCCCAATATGATATCATAGCCACCCAAGTTCAAGAGTCTGAAATTACTAGAGAAAGAATGCCCTTGCATCCACCACTTACAATTAGCAATCTCATGGGAACATAACAAGGACCCACCATCAGCTAGTTGCACAGACAAGGGCTTCCTGAGTGGAGAAACACCCACCATCTTAGAACCAACTGTTTCATCCATAAAGGAATGAGTACTGCCAGAGTCTATCAGCATCAATAATTCAGTACCCTGCACCCAGCCGATGAGTCTGATAGAACGAGAGGATTCAGTCCCCCAAACTGCCTGTTGAGAAATAGACATCAAATCTCCCACTTCATCAATTTCTTGTTCTCCACCAGAAGATTCAATTTATGTAGGAGATTTTGAGTGTAAAATATCAAGAAGCTCCTGCACAACATGTAATTGCACTGCTGTGGCACATTTATGATCCTTACCCCATTTTTCACCACAGGTGAAACAGAGCCCTTTAGACCTGCGATAGGATTTCAGAGCTGACAGTCTGTCATCTCTTGCTCTTGCAGCTTCAGTGCCCCTTCTATCTTCAGTAATTTGAGGAGAGAAGATTTTCTGGGGTGTGGAGGCCTGTCCAACTATCGGGGCTGGTGAGTTGTTTCTAATCATAACTGAATTGTTTGGTCTCTTGTAGCCCTGGAACTTAACACCTTCCATAGCCTCTTCCTGAAGTAATGCGACTGAGCAGGTTGAATCCAAATCTTGTGGCCTTTGAACCAAAACTACCATTCTGATGTCACTTCTAAGCCCTTCAATAAACTTAGTCACAAAGTAAACAGGCAACAGGGAGTTGTAATAAGCTAGCAACTGATGCATCAGACTATCAAATTTTTCCACATACTCTGAAACACTGCCCTCTTGCTTAATATGGAACCATTGTCTGATAAGAGCTTGCTGCCTATCCTTAAAAAATCTGGAGCATACCAAATCACACAAAGACACCCAAGAAATCCCACTCATCTGATTTCTAACAGATTGAAACCAAAAGGCAGCATTACCAGAAAAATTGAGTGTTGCAATCTTAACCCAGTGAACTGGCAATATTCCATAGACATCAAAATATTGTTCACAGTTTGACTTCCACATTTGGGGGTTATCACCAGTAAATTGAGGGCAAGTCATAGGAGGAATAGCACTACTTAGATTCATTGTCCCCATTCCGTTACCAAAAGTGGGTGATGCCGAATCGCAATTGAAAGGAATAGGGGAAGGGGAAAATTTCTCAGGCGTACCATTAGGAGTAAACATTCCCGCAACACCTCCGAACTGCTCCTCCTTAGCTCCTCCTTGAACACCCGAAGCACTTGCAGCAGAGAATGGTTCAAACTTGACTTGCCGCATCGTGTTGCCTTCCAGCTGCTCGAC